TATAACAAGAAAAATGGCCCGTTGAGGAAGGATACAACGGGCGCTAGGTTGATAGTGCTGTCTATTTTCTCGGTACTTTAATTTATTCAAAATATAGTCATAGACATATCCCTAAAACATGCACCTAATCTCATTCATGACAAAAGTCGCATTAATAGTTTCTTTCAGGCAACTCTACTTGGGAGGAGGGGGGCGAAGCCCCCCTGCCCCCCTGCCCCCCCCCCCCCCCCCCCACACACACACACTCCAAAACATGTCTACCGTCACATTCAACGAAATATAATTATATACTTACTTCCATTACTTTATAACTCAAGATTTGATATCTGCACTTGTCGCCTTGAGATTAAAATTTACTTAAGGCACATTATTAAAATAAGCGGTATTTTAGAATTGTAGGTCTATAATTCATGAAAAAAAAACATTCATAAAAAACGTTTTAATATCAAGCTTTTATGTAATGATGCACTAAAACACGGGTTCCCAACCTGGGGGTCGCGACCCCCCTGGGGGTCGCGAAGGGCTTTCTGGGGGGTCGCCAACTGGTATATTAAACCTTAGTAATGAGAAACAAAAAATAAATATTTAGAAGAATATCTGAAATTCGGCTTTACTAACATCACTGGAAATGGAATAGAGAAGAATCAATTATTACTCAATACTGTACAAAGTTGTTCTCAGTCACGAGTTTATGAACTCTTCAAAACTAAAACGTCATTTGAGACGAGTCATTTGGAACACACCAAAAAAGATATAGAGTTCTATCGTCGACATGAAGCTAGTTGCAAGTGTCAGAGACTTGATCGAACTGGAAGTTTTCACCAAGGAAACACAGCATTAGTGCAAGCATCACATGAAGTCACGATAGAAAATGTCAAGCATAAAAAACACAATAGGAGAAAATCTCATCAAACGCTGCATGTTGAAGATGGTGAAGTTAATTCTTGGGGATTCCAGTGCAGTAAAGATGCAACAAATATCTCTCTAATAATAATATTCAGCGGCTTATAGCAGACATGTCCGTAGATGTTAAATAACACATTTTTATTGAAATCAAGCTTTCACCATTGTTTGCTTTTCAAGTTGATAAATCACCAGACTTGAGTTCGTGATCGCAGTTGTTGGTCTTTGTCTATATTTATTCAGATGATATAAAAGAAGAGTTGCTATTTTTTGAAGATAGCATGGAAAAAATAAATACGTTTTTTCAAAACTGGATGATTAAAATGGGTTAAAACGGCTGTTTGAACAAATGGTGCGCCATCTATGTTTTGGTCAAAATCGGGCTTTCAGAAAACAGAAAAGATTTAGCTCCCTAACCACTGCCCTCGCCATCAAGACTCCATTGCTAGTAAAAGTCGTAACTTATATTATATCTAGAGCTTTCAAAGAACTGTGCAAATACATTAATAAAGATCACGAGGTTCTGCTTTTCTACACTACATCACGCTGGCTGTCAAAAGGAAATGTAAATCGTGTTGTGAAATTGAAAGCTGAAATCAAGTTGTCCTTCGAAGTACAAATGAAACAAGACCCTTTTGGTATACTTAAAATGACATAGAGTGGTTGGAGAGAGTATCATACCTAGCAGATGTATTCGAACATCAACATAAGCTTAACCTGAAGCTTCAGGGAAAATGAACGCATATTATCACTTTCCATGATAACCTTGGGGCATTTTTTATCAAGCTGCAAAATCGGCGAAGAAAATAAATCTTGGAAATATTGCCATGTTTGAGAACTCTGCAATGTAGTAGATGAATCTGTTTGTGAGATAATTAACATTTTGAAAGAAGCGATTTCTGGGCATTTTGAATCTCTTGAAAACGAACTGCAGCGCTATTTCTCTGCGCTGAAAAAAGAAGAATCTGCATTGACGCATTACCCATTCTCTTCTTCCCTTGATGTTGCCAGCATTCTCGATGAATTACAAGATGAATTCTTTGATTTGCAGAATGATTCCGCGCAACATGAAAAACTGCACACAAATTTTGGTGTAGTATTCACCATTCATACCCAAACGTAATATTGATTGACTTTTCGAGAATAGATTTTTCAACACTATTCTCCGAATAAAAACAAAATTAAGGAATAAATTGAATGTTGATAATGAAATAGGTTGGCGTTAACAAAAACTTAACCGCGAATGTTTAGTAAATAACACGCAATTTTACACATGGTATTAAAACAGTTATCAAGGGTAGTTAACATTGAAAGTCTACTAGAAAATCTTAATTTAGTGCTTGTTAATTTCCATACTAATTTCGGCTTTTTAATTCTATGGGGGTCGCGGGTCACTTACTTTTTATAAAAGGGGGTCGCCACTCGAAAAAGGTTGGGAACCACTGCACTAAAAAGTAGAAAATAAATTATAGACTACTATTTAAATAACTATAAAGAAAAGCGTGGGTCACTTTAGTATCTATTGGATACCTTTACTAATGTTAAGGAAGACACCCACGCTTTTCTTTATAGTTATTTAAATAGTAGTCTATAATTTATTTTTTACTTTTTAGTGCATCATTACATAAAAGCTTGTTATTAAAACGTTTTTTACAAGCTTTTATTTAACTCACTTCCTCTGTCGACAGTCTGTCGACAGTCTGTCTGTCTAGATGGAAACGCAGGAGTGAAAATTCGGACAGTTCTACTTGACCGATACGATTCACAGTTGGCACGTGGGTCAAGACATGAAGACAATGCAATCTGAAACTAAATTTGACTTAATTGGATGCCTAATTAATTTTTTATTAATTAATTAAAATTTGGACCGAATCAATAGGCATGTCTATGCCGACCGCACCACACGCGTCATCACGTTCCATAGCTGCGCCATCAAGTTCAGTAGGCGCGCCATCACGTTCAATAGGCGCAATGGTTTTTAGTCATGTAACTCTATTGTGAATAAAACATGTAAAGTACTGAAAAAAAATTCATAAAAAACGTTTTAATAACAAGCTGTTATGTACTTATGCACTAAAAAGTAGAAAATAAATTATACACTACTATTTAAATTACTATAAAGAAAAGCGTGGGTCTCTTCTCAAATATTAGTAAAGGTATCCAATAGGTAGTAAAGTACTAAAGTGACCCACGCTTTTCTTTATAGTAATTTAAATAGTAGTGTATAATTTATTTTCTACTTTTTAGTGCATAAGTACATAAAAGCTTGTTATTAAAACGTTTTTTATGAATTTTTTTTTATGAATTTTTTTTTCAGTACTTTACATGTTTTATTTACAATAGAGTTACATGACTAAAAACCATTGCGCGCCTACTGAACATCACGTTCAGTAGGCGCGCAATGGTTTTTGAACGCAGCCATTACGTGATGGCGCAGCTATTGAAGGTGATGACGCGTGTGGTGTGGTTGGCTAGACATGCCTACTAATTCGGTCCAAATTTTAATTAATTAATAAAAAATTAATTAGGCATCCAATTAAGTCAAATTTAGTTCATATTGCATTGTCTTCATGTCTTGACCCACGTGCCAACTGTGAATCGTATCGGTCAAGTAGAACTGTCCGAATTTTCACTCCTGCGTTTCCATCTAGACTGACGACAGACAGAGGAAGTGAGTTAAATAAAAGCTTGTAAAAAATTCATAAAAAACGTTTTAATAACAAGCTTTTATGTAATGATGCACTAAAAAGTAGAAAATAAATTATAGACTACTATTTAAATAACTATAAAGAAAAGCGTGGGTCACTTTAGTATCTATTGGATACCTTTACTAATGTTAAGGAAGACACCCACGCTTTTCTTTATAGTTATTTAAATAGTAGTCTATAATTTATTTTCTACTTTTTAGTGCATCATTACATAAAAGCTTGTTATTAAAACGTTTTTTATGAATTTTTTTTTCAGTACTTTACATGTTTTATCTACAATAGAGTTACATGACTAAAAACCATTGCGCGCCTACTGAATATCACGTTCAGTAGGCGCGCAATGGTTTTTGAACGCAGCCATTACGTGGTCGTGATGGCGCAGCTATTGATGACGCGTGTGGTGTGGTTGGCTAGACATGCCTACTAATTCGGTCCAAATTTTAATTAATTCATAAAAAATCAATTAGGCATCCAATTAAGTCAAATTTAGTTTCAGATTGCATTGTCTTCATGTCTTGACCCACGTGCCAACTGTGAATCGTGTCGGTCAAGTAGAACTGTCCGAATTTTCACTCCTGCGTTTCCGTCTAGACTGACGACAGACTGTCGACTGACGACTGACGACAGAGGAAGTGAGTTAAATAAAAGCTTGTAATAAAAAGAAATGTTATTTTAATTAATTATATTTAGTGAATGCGTGGTCGACTGCTAACCCGAAAGTCTCGAGATCAAATTTTCTGCATTCTGTCAAATTTTGACCGGACGTAGTAATTTACGCTATTTCTGATTTCTCAAAAAACAATTATGAATTTATACAGTACTATTAATATTCCACACTATTATACACATATTGTTTGCCGTTCACTTGGTGCACAATTCTTTTTTCGTTTAATCCCTTAGAGGTCTACTTAGTAAACAAAAATTGCTTTATTGTTACAGTTGTCGAATTAGTAGACTATTTTACTATTTTGGTCGATATATAGTATTAAAGAGATCTAGTCGCTTAGTAGTAGTCTATTAGGCATGGGATAGTGTATAGTTATTCAAGTAGTTATTAGTAGTATGTAAGATAAATAAACTTAGCTAGGTTTAGTAAGACTACATTTGAAAACTGTAGGTTTACATAATAGTAGCTTAAATAATATCCAGAATTTATGTTTAATCTAGATTATTCTAGATCTAGTAGTATAATAGTAATAGTAACTTTAGGCCTCTAATAATAATACAAAAAATAACTGAATACAATAGTTAAATGAAGAACTGGCTGTCTTATATTATTCCTATATCGTGTTTGTTACCCAAGCTCATAATTGCGCACTTTCTTGCGGAGCTCGGAAATTGTTGCTAAACTTTTAAGCATCATTTGTGAACATGCTATTCGCATGAAAACAGACTAGAGATGGACGTTCTTGTAAAAATATTCAAAGCCCGTTTGTTTGCTCTGACTGTTATTACAGCCTTTACACTCTCTGAAGTAGCTGTTGCAGGTAAAATACAATATAAAGTTGATGCTGAATATATAGTTCTAATGTAGTTTGTACGTCTGCGTATACGGTTATTGTTGTCTCAAGCTATTACTCGTTAGCCATGCTGACTGCAGGTGGATTCGGTAGGTATCCACTAAGCTCTATTTTTCTATTGACCAAAGGAAAATGTGAGGGGGGGGGGGGGGGGGGGATTACCGGAAAAATAATTGGTAATCTATCGTTTTAGGTACCTAAAATCGTCCGCGGCTAGTAATGTGAAAAACAGGTAACTCCTTAAATTTTAATAATTATTTCACATTTTGAGGAGGATTAATGTTTTGAAAAATACGAAAATGTTTCCTTGTTTCATTTATGTACATGTTTTTAAACAATTGAATTAAAACTTTTCAGTAATAAATGAAGACTAGCGATGTCTCCAACCGATGCAACCATGCTCATTACAATAGCAGCCATCTTGTTTATTTTCTTTATTGTAAACTTTTAGCGCAAGATTCAGGGGAAGCCACTCTAACTTACAGATGGCCGCTTTTTATATAGAAAATCCTGCTCGCAAACTCTGCTGTTTAAAGATAATTTCTTGCCTATATTGATATATTTAGCCATTGATTAAGTTTATTATTCATTTATCTACAGTATTTAATACAAATATATCACAATATACTTCTATTAAATCCTTGACAATAAGGTAACTTTTTCGTACATTACTAGCCGCGACGATTTTGCGTACCTAAAACGATAGATTACTAAATAATTTAATATAGGGCTGTATCCTAGAACTACGACTGCTAACCCGATAGTCTGGTGCTCGGATTCCGGGCTCTAGTCCATAGGAGACCACACAGCTCTAATAAGTATCTGACTGGAGAAAGTAAAGGCTGCTGGGCATAGAACCAACCACCATTTCTTTCTATTTCGAGGTCACAGTTTACATCATTTGCCCTGGAGAGCGCCAGGTCTGAATGGATTAATTATTACTCTTTAACGTACTAGACTTATTGAAACTAACACATTCAAACGGCACTAATCAAAATATTTACAGCAGTATAAATAACAGTAGTCTTAACTAAATAGCAAGTTATAGATTTAAAGTTTAAATTTTAAATTTTACATTTGCTACGGCCATAAAAATTTCAAGGTAATGTGACGGATTTTCATTTGTAAACAGAAATATATCGCTAAAATAATAACATAACAATATAAACCACGTTTGTAATTTTTATTTACATCAAGGCTTAAAATATGAATTTTCTAAACAGTTAATTTTATTTTAACCTATAATCATCCCTCAGTTAACTCGCTTTTTAGGGACAAGAGCCAATCCAAGTATATATATGTTACGGTCAAAGCCCGAAGTGCGGCCAAACCCCGGATTGGCCGGCCAATGCGCGGATTGGCCGGCTCTCTTGGCCAAAGCCCGAAGAACTTACAACTAAGATCGTATTTCGTACATTGGCCGGCCAATGCGCGCACTGGCCGGGACGTACTGGCCAAAGTCCGAAGTACTTAAACTTGGCACCGTATTTTGTACATTGGCCGGCCAATGCGCGCATTGGCCGGGATGTCCTGGCCAATGTTGTATCTAGACTAAGTTGTGATCGCGTTTTAATTATTCTGTGTGCGGTTTCATTGTGAGTAACGTATTGTTTAGCTCTTGTTTGTATAGCATTCTATATGCAAGGCGACATGGATCAAAAGGGCCGTCAGACCAAGAGACAGACATAGCAGATGGCTGTCAAAATAAAAAATGTAAATTCATGTTAGTTTCCATATATGGGCTACAACTGTATGTGACAGCCTCCTCCATGATGACGAGGTGAGACAATCATCAAAGAACAAAATCAAAGACAGTCGGCGTCACCGACCACGTGCAACAAGACGGAACGTTCAAAAGACTTTTCCGCGTTCCTAGATGTTTAAAACATGATGATGACATGGATGCAAACAAATGAAACAGCTCATTGGGCTGAGAGTCTCAAATTCATTTAATTTATGAAAATTCGTTCTTTTCATCAAGGAATCCAACAATCACCATACGAAGCCTTGTTTGGATGCAAAGCAAAAGTGGGACTTAGCACTTCAAATCTAACAAGAGAGGCTCTCAATAAAATAGTTACTGAGGAAGATCTTGAGAACATTGAACAAGAAATGGAGGTTGCCATAAATGCAACGACATCCTCAGCTAACACATCTGCTGCCGTGGCGGAACGTCCAGACCAGTTGCGTGACAATAATGTGGCCAATAGATTCTGTATAGTTTGTGAAAAACATTGTAGTGCAGCTCATTCTTGTGGATCCTGTGGCAACGATGTGCATGCTATTTGTGGAATACCCAATGAAGCAGACGAAGGGTACGGAGGGAACATTACCTGCAGATTGTGTCACAACAAACAAGACATCATGGAACACAGGTCAGCAGCTCATACTGGCTTGCAAAATCAAGGTGCTAAGATGCTTAAAACATCAAATACAAAATTTAAAGATGGTGAAGTGGGTGACAATGTAGGCATCCGTGTTCCAGATGTTGACAGAGGTCGCGGTGATCCCCGAAGCGTGATTGCAGTTGTCATGAGCGTCGAGGGCGGTTTCTACAAATTAGGAACGTAACATGGTGTTCTAAAACAACTGTATGCTAGAAGTGATTTTTCAATTCTTCACGAAAAACTGCTCTTATTGTCGTCTGTTGGCACTGAGCGTCGAGGGCGGTTTCTACAAATTAGGAACGTAACATGGTGTTCTAAAACAACTGTATGCTAGAAGTGATTTTTCAATTCTTCACGAAAAACTGCTCTTATTGTCGTCTGTTGGCACTGAGGAAAAATCACTACGAACCATCGCATCTTCATCGCATCTTCACAATCATTGACTGGGGGCCAAGGCTACACTCGCTGCAATTGCACAACCAAGTGTACAACAAATCGCTGCAAGTGTAAAAATAACAAGCTGCTATGTAATTCTAAATGCCATAAAAGTTCAACTTGTTGTAACAAATGATAATATTGATTGATTGAGACTATAGTACAATAAAAAATTTGAATGTTTCTGTCATTTACTTTAATTAATAATCAATAAAGACTTAATTTCATGATCCTACCGGCATAAAAAAAAAACCAAAATTTGCTCATGATCTTCTAATTAAGACTTTGGCCGGTCCACCATGGCCAGTCCGCGGACTGGCCGGGACTGGCCGGCCAAAGGCCGAAATCAAGAGCTATTTCAGACTTTGGCCGGTCCACAATGGCCAGTCTGCGGATTGGCCGGCCAAAGGCCGAAATGAAGCAAAGTTTCGGACTTTGACCGACCTATGGGAGGCGATATTGGCCAATGCGCGGATTGGCCGGCCAATCCTAGCATTGGCCGACTTCGGGCTTTGACCGTAACATATATATATCCTTATATAGTTCTTACAAGTTGACACGTAATACGTAATTGTGTTGGATGGAACATCTTCCAACAATAAAAAAAGAACGAAGAAGAAAATGAAAGACAGCAGTCTAAAAAGTAACGCCATGCAAATACTGGAACGTGTGTAATGCATCGAAGATTGCTAAGAAGTAAATAAGATTTTAAAACATTAAATTTTATTTTTAAAAAATAAATGCATATCAACCTTTCTATTTTTAGATCGCACTCAACTTTTAGAAAGGTTGAAAGACAAGACGTGGCCTTGGTTTGGTGACTGTTATAAAAATCTGTGCCCTGATTTTAAAGTTAATCCGACTTTCTGTTTGAATTTAAGGTAGGCTCAGTAGCGTAGCGAGGGAGGGGGCGGGGGGACATATGTCCCCGGGCGCCGAGCTTAGGGGGCGCCAAAATGGGTTGGAAAAATAAATTGAAAGGTTGAGGGGGGTGCAAATTGAAAGTTTGAAGGGGGGGGGGGGGGTGCAAATCAAAATCTCGAGGGGGGGGGGGTGCAACAAATCGAAAGTTTGAGGGGGGTGCAAATCGAAATCTCGAGGGGGGGGGGGGGTGCAAATCGAAAGTTTGAGGGGGGGGTGCAAATCGAAATCTCGAGGGGGGGTGCAAATCGAAAAGTTTGTCCCCGGGCACCGGGAAGGGTCGCTACGCCTCTGGGTAGGCTCATAATTAATTATGCTATTTTCGGTTACTATTGACGGCAGGCCCATACTTTAACATGCTATTTTCTGTTAAATTAAAGTCAGGCCTATATTTTAATTAACATGTTGCTTCTGTTATAAACTAAGCTAGCACCCAATAAAACCATTATAGATTTACCAGCCCGCCACACTACCCAAGATTGTGATTTTTGAATGGCATGCTGTACTAAGGAAACAATTATTAACTAACTTTTCAAAGTACAGATTTCTCTTTAGACCCAGCGATCTATTGGGCAGATCAAGTCGAGCTCATATTTTCATAACCTCGGCATATGAAGGATCTGCAGAATGCCCAACCATTCTTTACTTTTCCCAACGTAAGTTAGGTACCCATCAAAGCTGGATGGACTCAATGACTTCCTACGCTCACAAGTCCAACATAACTCTAGACGTTCGTTTATCAGCTAAACGCTCTACCATTCTACCACGCCGTCCACATACCTTAAAATAATTCATGATGTCTTAAATACCGCATGGTCGGATTTGTTTGGGGTTTTGGTTACCTAGTGAAATTATAAATAGGGGGCCTATAGTTCATTTATACCCACTGTTCGATAAACTTTTGAAATTTATGGTTTTTTTAAATTAAGTTTTAAATGTTTTCAATAATTTGAAGACCAGAGCCCGAGTCCATCTTACAGAGAGCGGGACTACCAGACAGCTTAGATCTAACGACTGATTTAGAAGTGATTTTTTCAAGCCCTAAAGGTAGGTATTAAGTTGATATGTATTTATTACATTGTAACCATTTAAAACCCTATATAAAACAACATCTTCGCTATATAACTTTTGTATGTTTTATGTAATCCAATTTTTTTTATTAAAACCAGTCTTATATAACAATTCCCAATGTATAATCTGTTTGATACAATCTTTTGATGTATTTCGTAATCCCCTAATTAATTATACAATAATCCTTGTTATCAGAAGCTGTTGATGTGTGTGGGAAAGCCCAAATGATGGATGAAGTCAAGGCTTTCAAATTGCCGGACAATGGACATCCAGTCCAGTCTTTGTTAGAGGTGAGATAAATAAAATGTGATTTTTTAAATTCAATATTTGCTTTTTATAATTTTCTTTTGGTGGAATCTTTGGCTTGTAAGTAGATGGTGTTATATTTAAATAATGCTTTTATTTAGTTTACAATGTGTTTCTGTTAGTTTGTTTGCGGGATTGTGGAAAATCTTGTTTCTAAATGTTAAAAGGTTACTTAATTTAGAGGCGTCGCGATGCGGGGAAGGGACGAGTGGTGCGGATCGCAACGGTTGACACCATTTAGGGGGGTGACACCAAGATTAAAAAAAAAAGACTAGATTTATAGAATAAACATCTTTTTTTGTGCCAGTTCAATGAATGGTTATTTAGATTTAGAAAGTATTGTAAGTACATGATCACGATCCAGGCCATGGGGGGGGGGGGGGGTTTAACCCATGACGTAAACATGCACACTATAAAAAGAACAATGCTACATCCAGCTGTATTAACAACCTATTATAGATAAACATCATTATTATTAATTGTGAACACTTTAAAGTTTATCCCTGGGTGGATGACACCAACTGCAAAATTTACATAGAAAAATAAAGGGGGGGGGGTGACACTATGAGATGCCGCACCGGTGCACCCGACCTAGCGATGCCACTGACTTAATTATATAGCAAAATGGGAGCTATCGACATTAAGTGATAGTGATTACTCCAACAAACCAGCCTACACCTGTAAACTGTTAGTCACGGTTGGTTGGGTTTTTGCCTGAGAATCGCACACGGACCAACAAAAGGCAGATAAATGTCCGTTAGAGATCGCAAGCGATTGTTTGGATTTTGAAGCAAATGACTTCGTATTATCGCATGTGAAATTGACCTCTTTAAGATCAAATAACTTAAACGCAAACATTTTAAAAAAAAACGTTTTAATAATAAACTTTATAAACGCATTGTAAAGTAAAATAAACCGGTAGTGATCTCCCCTAAACTTTCTCGAATATTCTAATATAACACTACTGGGGATGGCAACTCGGGACATAGACAATATTTTTAATCCCTAAAAAGATATTGACATCGTTGTAAATGTTCATGCGTAGAAACGACTTAAATCTCGGACTACTTAATCGTTTTACTTAACGTTAAGCTAATTTCAGTTGCTATAATATTAATTACATTATAAAGCTAAACAAGAATAAACTGTACATAGGAAGAAAAAAAAATATGTAATGTAAATATCATCATTCCTTTTCTAGCGCGGAGCAGAAATCTATCGCAGTCGGCCAAAAGTAAACTGGAGTCCAAAAGAAAACGGCACCTACTCGCTAATTATTTATGATGTCGGTCATTTAGTGGTTAAAGGAATTTGGTATGATATTCAGTACACCAACGGACATTTTGAAGGATGGGTAAATAGTTTTTGTATCTTTTGAAAAATTTACCAAAATTAAAGTGAGATTATAACCTACACTATTTTTCCTACATCTTACATATCCAAATATTTAAAAACAGTTAAACATATTTTATAAAAATAGTGGTGCACACATGTATTGCTTTGTTATTTTATAAAAATGTTATTGAAATTAAAAAACAGCTAAAATATTCTCATACAGGTAACATTCCTTATTTTTGGCAGTAAATCTTGCTAACGCATATTACCTTCAATATTTATTATATTTTCGTATAAACATGGCTTACAAAAAAATGGTACCTGATTATTCGAATTTAATTTATTGTTTACTATTGATTAATTGAGCAGAATTTTACAATAACAGTAATCGGTTTAATAAATGCGCAAAGCGGTTTAATAGAGTCAACAGCTCAGAGGCGTAGCGAGGGGGGGGGGGGGCGGGGGGTGTCACCATTTAGGGGGGGTGACACCTAGGCAAAAAATAGCAAAATATATAGAGAAAAACTTGAGGGGGGTGCAAATCGAAAGTTTGAGGGGGGGGGGATGCAAATCGAAAATTTGAAAGTTTTCCCCGGGAAGGGTCGCCTCTGGGGGTGACACACCGGGTGACACCCGACCTCGCTACGCCACTGCAACAGCTATAACTATTACTTGTTTGTGGGGAAAAAGAAATGTAGGGCAGAAATGTTATATAATATTATAGCGATGTTAGACATATGGGTTTACTATTGTCTCATTTTTTTACTATGACAGACTGACGTCTTCTACCGGCCACCGGCCAATACACTGCCCGTGGTTAACCCAACACTTATAATACTGCTGAAGCAAACAAAACTAATCGGTCCTTTTAAGACGATAGGCGTGGGTATCTGCATATCATCAAAAGTGGGTGAAATGTGCAGGGAACAGTTTAAAAGTCTCATTGGAGATGGTAAAGGTAAGCAATTAAAAATTAAGATGTGTTCTTAGTGGTAGACATCAGTTATACAAAAACTGCCGATGCATTTCTTTACAAATGTAATCAAATTTTTAAAGATATTTTCCTATTACACTGTCGACTCAAAATAGGGATCTTTTCAAATTAATAGGACATGTTGTCGTGACTCTAAATATATTATTACACGCTTAAGGCGGTTGGTGGGACACTTTGGTCTACCCGCAGTTCTAGCAGTTGTGTTGCACGTCTCAGTGTCTGCCTAACTTGTCCTTGAGTGTGTTCTGTGTGTGAGTGTGTGGGTATGTTAGCTGCCTGTTAGTGACTACACGCGTAAATAACATTCAAAAGTAAACCTGTTGGCATCCAGTATTTCCTTCAGGTGCAGTACCCCCCCCCCCTACACACATACATACCGTCGAGCGAATTAGAATCTATGTAGATAACATAATTTTAACATTAACTGCCTCCCCTCCCCCTTGTGTATTCTGCCCCTTTCCCTCACCAGAAAGTTTCGAGCCCCCCACCCCCCACCCCCAACCGTAAAAATTAGTCTGAAAGAAAAACTAGTGTCGTCTGGTGTTGTGTTATAAGTATAGGTGCCCGTGTAACTCCGGCCTACGACTAATGTCGTTAACTCATTTCCCCACATCTAGATTTTAAAAAAAAAACCTACGACTAAGCCTTATGCGTTAACTCATTTTCCAGATTTAAAAACAACAACTGATAATAAACGAATTATTTTATTTTTAAGTAAAATATAAAACAACATGTCAAACCACCTACAAAACGTTTAATTGGAATAAAAGACCTAATCGTTACGCTATACTTAACTAAACTTCAAATAAATCACAATAAAACATGACAACTAACCACCTCATCACATTATCTATATCTATCTATATACTACTAAAACTCAAGTTTGTTTACATGTTTGAATATTTATTTTTTTGCTTTTTTGTTTGTTTGTTTGTTTGTTTTTTTGTTTGTCTGATCGATTATTGTGAATACTTCTACTCTATCTGGAGAGCTGTAAAATAGTATGTAGGTAGAGAATAATTTTTTATTGCAGACAGACTGTTAATCACACATTTATATGAAGACGTTAATTAATTTATTGATTTATTCATAGGTAGATTAACCACATTTTTTTTAAAAGATTAGAAAAACCACTAGACTCGACGGAACCGTGACGTCACATTTTTTGGTTTATATTTTAGTACATTAAAATGGCGGCTTCCATCATAGGCCTATTCAAAAGTTTAACGCGTTCTAAATCTAATTTTCTGTCGGCCATAACTTTAACAATACGTCCGTTTGCTGTTTTTGTTACGTTCCAACACTTATATACTTTTTCAACTGTCTTTTTCATTTAGTTTTACAATAAATTTCTCTACAATCTGACCAACAAAGTTATTTATAGATCTAAAAATATCATGTGACCAAGAAAGTTATTTATAGTATTTTATAGATCTAGATCTAGAATCTAGGTCAAACAAAAGATTAGTTAGATACATACCAAAGATTAATTAAATCAAAATACAATCCATTTTATAATCATAATACATTTTTAGTCCTTAAATACTTGATATAAATCTTTGTGATTTATCTATCTAGATCTAGATTCTAGATCTAGATCTAGAAAGACTCCAAGAGTTACGCAAATAGATCTACTAGATCTAGATTCTAGACTTAAGCAAACGAGTCGTAGAATCTAGATCTAGATAATTTCAGACCTTCTTTATTTTATATAAATCTTTGTTTGGCTAATTTAAGATAAAATTTAATTTGAAAGTTACTACTACTAGACTTAGATCTAGATCTATGCGCGTAAATCAAGTTGCATAAGGAGACTCAAAGTATTAAACTATAGTATAAAAATTCATCTGTGACGTCACGAGTAAATAGCAAAGTTGTTAGTGTAATCGGCTCTCATGCGGGTGGCACAGGTTCTAGACCAATACGTCAATGATAATTTTTATTTTCAATTTTTATTTTATTTTTTAGATGTGAATGATAAAGTTGCCTATCTGAACTTGGCGGGATACAGGGCAGGTGAAGTAGAGTTCATCTGTTTCTTTGTCCTTAGCATATGAAGGGATAGTGTGGTCAGATACATGCTCGGCTGGAATCGTTTTTTAAACGATAAAAACATGTTGTCTGAGACTTGGCGGGACACTGGGCAGGTGAAATAGAGTTGAGTAGGTCACCTGTGACGTCAGTATATGAAGGGATAGTCCGAAATCGGTGTTTTCGGTGTTTTTAAAAGATAAAAAACAAATTTTTGAATGTGGGGTCTGTTTTTTTGTGACGATAAGTGACACTGCAGTAGCGTAGTGAGGAGGGACGACATATTTTCCCGGGCGCCGACCTTAGGGTGCGCCAAAATGGGTTGGAAAAATAAATTGAAAGGTTGAGGGGGGTGCAAATCGAAAGTTTGAGGGGGGGGTTAAATCGAAATCTTGAGGGGGGTGCACATCAAAAGTTTGAGGCGGGGTGTAAATCGAAATCTTGCGGGGGGGGGGGGGGAGGTTCAAATCGAAAAGTTTGTCCCCGGGCGCCGGGAAAGGTTGCTACGCCTCTGAGTGACAGACGTGATGTTTTTTTATGGATGACCCCCGAAACCCACAGTTATCCAACGGATGACGGGTAGTCTAGTAACTAAACCTAAAACTCTCATACAGATCGCATAACCTTTGCTCTTGAATACTTGCAGGTGTAGTTGGACTGCAAGTGTTTTATACCGATGGCTCTTCTATGTTTGAAAAGTATAATGTGTGTATTGACGGCTACATCTGTGACACGCAGTGTATCGGCAAGTTTCGGGAATGTGAGTTCACATTTTCAGAAATGATCAATTGATCATATCTGCAGTGTGGTTTATGATTGATTTAGCTATAAAAGCACCAGACTAATCCAGTGTACTCAGTATCGGTTTATATACATTATGTATAATCCTTTTTGTTGATAATATTAGAAACAGAATTTATGCTTGCAGCTTTTAGGAATGAATCTGAATAACCGGTTAAGAACTCAAATTTTCTGGTCTATGGTTCTATTAAGCCCTAAATTTTTAATTAAGACTCGAAATTTACGTCAACCTGTTTGGAAACTCAGAAAGCCACACTCTCCCTTAAACAAGTTAGCATTTTTAGTTTGATGTCACCCCACCCCTTATTATTTTACAATGTTTTCACTAGATAAAACGTTACTCTTTTCCCCCTTTACAGTTGACTACGTTTTCGATTTGTTGTCCCCTTTTTCCGAACACTTACCTGATTACTAAACTAATTTAATACAAATTATTTAAACACCATTTTGATTTATTTTTTTCTTTAAAAGACGCTGCACATAAATTGTCAAACATTCAGTTCATGGATCTGGATGCAAATACTATAGACACGTACGTCAATGTGCGCTTTGAAAATAACATTGCTGGCATGCTGGGCATATCATGCTGTTCAAGGTCGATGCATTATGCAACGTAAGCATTGAAGATATATAAGATTTTGTTTTCTTTAAAAGAATAATAACTGATCAACTATTCTCGCAAAATATCGTGTAGCGTCAAAACGGTTAATGAAAAGTGATCCCGTCAAATCAACCACGTCGAAAGGACAGTGAACAAAACCAGACCCCTTAATATAGGCTTCGGTCATTTAGATTACCGAAAAATAGGCTCCCGTCATTTTGGCTCAAAACAAAAGAGCCTTTGTCAATACGGTTTTCGTAAAGACAAAGTATCTCGGCGAAATGTCATCAATGCTTTATTAAGTTACCTTAGTCAACACTCTTAAATAATTCATCTTATTTATCTCTTGTTCGACGGGCCTTGGTTTTTATATTGTTTTATCTATTTTATCAGTATATGGGGAGAGAGGTTCACGCTGTACGTTTACCTACATACCATTAGTTGTCGCACCGGGTGACATCCGACCTAGTGACGTCACTGAGTACAGGATAGAAGTTATACCAAATCACAAACAAATATTAACATTGAAAAATGTACAATGGATTTCGGGCCCCTATCCAATGCCGCAAAGAAGTACCGCACATCATGGAAGTCCACTACATATCTAGCGGCCCCCTATACGGCCTGGGCTCCCTCCCGCACTGCGGGGTATGGCGACACTGTAGTTCCGCTTCTGGTCGGGAGCTAATATGTAGAGAGCTGATTTGTCGGGAGTCAATATGTCGAGATCCCTGTTGTCGGGACCCTATTTGTCTATATCTAGATCTATCTATTTAAACATTCTAACATCATTGCTGTGCTACTGTCATCGCATGCTCTCGTAAGCGAGAGGAAAATCCAGTCTCAGTCAGCATTGATTTTAAAAATCTAGCCCGCTCATGTTTATACAAACATGAGCTGTGTCATTGTGAACTGGTATAATCTTGTCAGCAGAAGAGATAATCTGCAACATGTATTCATGGATTGTTGTACTTGCAAAAAGTGTAAAAGTATAAACAATTCTAAAAAGTGTAATTTATTTTTTATTAAGTAATTTTAATTACAAACAAAATTTACAAATTTTCTGAAACAGTCCTAGCACTCAAACACACCTCATGACACCATCTTTCACACATAGTACATCCAACCCAGTTCATTAGACTACTATTTATACATTTTTTATTTGGCTACTTCTTCCAATCCACAACATGTCACAGTTGACCTCCCCGTTCATCCCACACACAACACTGGCGGCGGCTATAGTACAAAATTTCTATGCAACAATACAAAATATGTTTGCGGCGGCAGCGGATTGGAGCACGGTGATCTTCAAAGACGGTAAATCAAGCGGCCTCGGTGTTCCACACAAAAGAAAGAAGTTGATCTATCGTCGGCGGTATTTCGGGCGGTTTCGAACAAGGTGGTATTCTAAGTCGACACAAAAGATGGGGGGAGTTCACAAATCATCAGTATGTCTAGCGACGGTAACATCGGAAGTTTTAACAGTGTAAATGAAACGTCTTTGAAGTCTGCACCAAATATCACTGTAAATCGGGTGCGGTAAATTTTTCGAAGAAATCTTCGCATTTTAACACCATCCAGCGTATGTATCGGGTTGTGGTAATATGCGAGACAAAAAGTCACGCGACCGACCGTTTTCGCGCCTTTCTCGCATTTTCCCGCCTCGCCATTTCACTTTTCGCGTCTCGCAATTTCCCAACACCCACCTAAAAGATCGTGGCATCGGATGAAAGGTGTAATAATGCATAAAAGACAAACACACACACATATGTATATATATATATATATATATATATATATATATATATATATATATATATATATATATATATATATATATATATATATATATATATATATATGTAGAGAGAGAGAGCATCCACCCCATGCGAATGGCTATCTCTGTTTCTGTCATTGATCTGATCACTGAGTATCACCCGACTAATTCTGGAGAGAGAGAGAGAGAGAGAGTGTGTGTGTGTGTGTGTTTATGTTTTGTTTTGTATGATAAATTATTTTGTATGGTCGGCCTACCTTGTGTTTTGTTCATTTGTTTTCTACTGAGTAGCCTACCCTTTGAGTGTTTGCACTGTAGCGAAGTAGTTAGACTTTTAATTTCTGACCAAATTTAAACAACAATAATTTTAGATATGGATTCGTTCGCGCAAGACCTGGTGATGATTTCAAAGTCAGCTCCTATGATAGACTGTGCGGGGACGTTGAGTGTCACAGTTCGATGAGCACTGAAATGTCTAGTACTGAACGAAATATATTAGGTACACTTTACATTAACTGCATACGAGAAGTCTAAATTATAATAGAAAGCGTTTTATTTATGAGTATGTGAAAGTGAACGTGTGTATGTGCGTGCTTTTGTATGTGTACATGTTTGTGACTGCCTGTTGCTATTTAAAAATGCAAACGAAAATCGTAACTAATTAATATGAATGTTGTTGCGTTTATGTCTAAATATATGTATTTTTGTGCAGTGGCAAAACTAGACAAAAAATAGGTTCCCCTATATGCATAAGGTGCAAAACTTTTTTTTTTCTGACATTGTACTACTAAGCGGCCTTTACCCACCCCCTCCCCCCGCATTGCGGGGTCTTGCGGTATAGTAGTTTGTGTTTGTATAATAATTTGAATCTATATGTATTTAGAAAGATTTATATAGTATATATGATAAAATACGTTAAACATTTAAAACTTCTCTAAAACATTAGGTGACTCGGATTACTGTACCTTCTATGTGTTTGTGCCCCACATCAAAGATGGCGTGCTTGAAGTTAAATTTACATACTGGATGAAAAACAGCAAAATTAGTAAGTGAAGTGCTCTGATTTACCTCATCACTGGATCAAGTTAAAATCAAGTTAAAATGGGAGTATCACCGTGACAACCGAAAATCGACACAAACTATTCGGCACAAAATATTGTTTATTCAGACATATATTTTAACTTAGTAATTAAGAGGATTAAGATTTAAACTCAAGAACATTTGCTTTAGCAAATGTGTTCATAAATATGTAGTCCCACTATAAGTCTTACATTTGCATATTATTTACATTTGAGTTATATATAATATATCATTTGTTAATAATATTTCTACTCCAAAGCAACATGCTGTTATGAAACCCATTGTTTTACTAGAAGGAAATAATGAATGAACATTTCCAATAAAACATCTTGCTTATAGTAATACAAATAATAATAAAAGGGCTATGTCTGGAAACAACTATACATTAATTTTTTTAATTAGAATGAATTTTCAATTAAGTATTATATCTCGTTCAAAACAAACAATTATTAAAATATTTTGTTATGGTTTAACCTTCAACTTTGGTATTTTGTGACTATTCCTTAAATTTTCTACAATGTTCAAAATAAAACAGTACTATATCTATCATAGCTGTAAAACATAATGAAGATAAGGGAAGAATCAAGAATATGAGTTTTTGTCAATTCTAGCCATAACAGCATATAAATGTAGACCAAACTTAGAGAAATATGGCTGATAACTAACCATCAACCACAAATACAGTAAAGTGTTGTTATTGGCCGTGCAAATGAAGTTAGGGGAAATGTTGAGTTAAGATAAACTATTTAATAATGGTAATGACAGATATACCATCACAACAACAAACGTAATAGGGTTTGTATGACTAATTAATGAATATCATATAAATAATACCAAAATGCTGTAGTGGTCGTCCATAAAAGACATTTGAGGTGGTGGGGGAGATTTGGACATTTTTGTCCAGAGATACGGGGTTCAGAAAGTAAGATGACACTTCCATTTTCAAACACTAATGTTAAGAAACTGAATTTAAGCTTTTATTTTCATTATTAAAAATTGTTTTACAAATTTTTATAAAATAATTCATCATAGATCTACATTAAATGTTGGAAAAACCCATAGATCTAAATATTTTCTAAAAATAGCTGCTTTGAAAACAACATAGCAGTGGGGGGGGGGGGGGAGCGGGGAGAGAAAGAGGTGTTGGCTTAGGTTTACTTTTTTGGGAAAGGGGGAGGTCTGGCTTTTGGTAAAGATAGACGGGGGGGGGGAGGGGGAGAAAATATGACATCGTTAATAGATGACCCCCTAGTCAGAGGTCGATTTAGATTGATTAGGCCTAAATTAAAATGTTGATATTAATTACGCTTTACTTATTATTACAATGGAATATAGCCTAGTAGTTTATTTATATTAAATAATATAGCATCCCATTTCATCACAACACCCTTACTATACTAATCCAAATTAAAATTAAAATGTTTGGTAAATTACTATTATATTATTAGTAATTTTGTGTTTGAATATTTCTAGCCTTAGTAAAACCGGAAGTAATTTTGTATCTATTTCACAAATGTTATAAAATATTCAATTTTGGTTAAAAAATTTGCTTTCTGGCAACAACCAAGTGGAACCACTTTGGAACAACTTTTTCTACCTATTATATTATCCTAGCAAGATCCCAAGTACATTTGTTTATGTTTTGAAAAAATTTCTTATGAAAGAGTACAAAACATATGTTCTCGTTTATTTTTAAAAACATCGGTCCATACATTCGCCTACGTTTCATAATGTTTAATTGTTGTTTGCATGAAATTACCACGGTAAAAATGTAACATGTTGGTCTAATATTTTTTTGTGAATGATTGTGTGACCTATTTTTGGTCTGTGTGATACTCCCCTACTAATTTGTGTAGATTATTAGAAAAACCAAAAAAAAAACATTGATTTTTAATTGTATTACTCCGAATAGGTAATAGTACTATTGTTATTAAAAGGGAGTTTTAACAATTATTCTCGGAAACCCCTTATTGACTGACAAAAGAAAATAACGAAACCCTGAATAGCAATCATAATCAACATTTTCTCAAATCGAAATTATGGATAATTGCCTTATTTTGAAGCCCAAAGCACGAAAGAAAACAAAATAAACCGGGAGTGATCTCCCCTAAACTTTCTCGAATATTCTAATATAACACTACGTGGGATGGCAACTCGGAATATAGACATGATTTTTGTTTACTTAAACTTTTAAAAATATAATAAAATCTAGTAGAAAAAAGAATTGCGCACCAAGCGAACGCCAAAGCAAAAAGTGCATAATAGTGCGCAATATTATTAGTACTTTATAAATTTACATGCGTTTTTTTTTTTAGAAATCGGAAATAACGTAAATTAGTACTTCCGGTCAACGGAAATTACTCAAAATTTGACAGAAGGTAGAGAATTAGATTTTTTTTACTTACATGTGAAATTTCATTTATCTATCTGAAATAGTACTCAAGTTATAGGCTTTTGAAAAATTCAAAGTAGAAAAAGTACCACTTTCGGTTATCGGAAATCGCTCAAAAGTTTATACGGATCTACGATTTTGATAAAATACCTATATATGAAATTTCATCAACCTAGCTGTAACGGTACTCAAGTTATCGTGTTTACACACAGACACACACACACACACACACAGACACACAGACATACGGACAAGATTGCAAAATTATGTTTTTCAGTATCAGTGAGGAGTAAAATGTCGAGATTTGTAAAAACATACAGAATTCAACATTATATATATATATATATATATATATATATATATATATATATATATATATATATATATATAAGTGAGTTAGGTACCCATCAGAGTTGGGTGGACTCCGGGACGGTCTACTGAGTTGAACCCGGATTCGAACTCGAGACTTACGGGTTAGCAGTCCAGTTCTCTATCGCTAGACCACTCCGTCCCTAAAATTGGGAAGATTTATTCTCGATATATTTTGAAATCACACGTTTTTCTTTTAGACTCTTGGTCTCCAGAAATGGAATCTAAAGCTCAGCTATATTGTTCAAAAGAAAAAGGCACCAGACATATGTACATGTTGCTTTTCACCCACCAAAATGTGTATCGCGATACCCCAACAGTAAGGTAATTCGTCAACTTAAATTTATTCAAAGTTTTGGTTCTCTCCCATTTATAAAGTTTAACATCAAGCCGTCCAATTATTTCTGATCTGGTGATAAGTATTTAAAATCGTAAATACACGTACTATTAGATTTGTAAAAGTCAGTTTTTTTACATAATTGTTTTAAAAAATCAGACTGTATTGGTTGTGTTTTATCTAAAACATTAGCTGAATGAATAAAAAAGTATAAAGTAATTCCTTTTAAGATAAGGATAAAAGCCTGTAACTGTATATCTGTATTCTCTATTTATGCAGTGCGGACAACAAGATTGTCTTTCCTGGAGACTTTAAACTGCGTGGAATGTCATGGATACTTTTTGATCACGATTATTATACTTTTACTGGTATGTCTTTAAAAAAGAAATTTTTTTTTCGTCTAAATAACACCCATCCTTTTACACGAAAATTATCTCCTTTTAATTTAATCTAAATTTCGTAACTCCTGTGTTAACCGGTCTACCAATATGTCATTTGTCTACCAATGTGTTATTTGCTCTCTAAAATGTGTCTTTTGGTTTATAATTTGTCATTTGGACTAATAATGTGTCTTTTGGTCTAACAACCTCTCGACTGTCCTAACAATATGTCGACTTGTCTACCAATGTGTCATTAGATATAATAATGTGTCATTTGGTCTAACAATGTATCATATCTATATCTAGATTTGTAAAGTTGTAATTTTGTGATGGTTTAGATTTCAGTACATTTAAGACCAATTATAAAACTACCGTCATACTTGGTCGTTTCAAGAAATAAAATTGATTCAATATTAGTTATTAACTTAATCATTAAGTACGATTCACACATTTGTTTTGTTATGGGACGCCGTGGTCGGATGTTAGAGTACAATACTGCTAACCTGAATGTCTCGAGTCTGGCTCCCAGTCTCGGTAAGGTAGGACGTTCGTGGCGCAAAAAAAAAACATTATTTAATATTTGCATGAATCAAATACTTATCTCTTTAACATTTGGTTTGGCGAAATACCATAAAAGTTAATGCTAAATTTATTTGTATTTCACCATACAAAATTTTGAAAATTTGCAAAAAAAATCTTTTTTACAGAGTTTTCTGCTACAACAGCAACCAAGCGGACTTCATTAGAGTTTGCAAAAGAAAGATTAATAACTATTTAATAAATATGTATGTTAGTTTTGTAGCAGTGAGAACACAAAGGTTGTTTTTTTCAACATGGTCGCTGGTGCCATTGCAAAGATATGTTGAAAAGAGTCCCTGATCCATTCAAAAATTTCCCTTAAATACCCTAATTAAATACACACAAACAAATAAAAAGACTAATTAATCAAGAAGTTTTTGTCCAGCCTACCCCCTTATCTATAATTTTTCTGCCCCATCTATCTCCAGCAGTCTCGTACGCAGGGTGAGGAACAGTAGGAGCGACCGCTAACCAGAGGCGTATTCAGGTTTTCGGTGTAGGGGGAGCAAAAATAGCAAAAAAAAAAGGCGCCGAATTTGTAATATCTTCTATATAAGTATATATATATATATATATATATATATATATATATATATATATATATATATATATATATATATATATATATTAGCTGTATGTTATCGCTTCGCTATGATGTAACATAAATTTAGGTAAAACCTTAGTTTAGCGTCGGTTATTATTCCGGAATCGTATAGCAGTAAACAACAGTAAAACAATGCCAAAGTCTGTCACACACTTCCAGAATTCATCGGAAGTACTGTAAACCATACTTTATTTGGCGTCATCTTTTATTTTTTTACAGAATGTTTAAAATTTGGATAGATTTATTTTTGTAATCATTTTTATATTTTGTAATCTTTTTTACTATTTTCGTAATCTAGATTTTTTTACTTGGCCTAGCAGCAAGGTATCTAGCTAGATCTAGATCTAATTAATTTATGGTCGCAAATCCGCTGCAAGCCAAAAACATTACATTTGACTTCATTATTTTTATTTATATTAATATATGTTGTTTTTTTTTTTTTAATTTTAAGTTCTACTAATTTAATTCTACTATTATATTTATTCTTGTTTCCTTTTGTCGATTAAACTTAAAAAATTAAAACATTAATTTACTACAATCGACTTTCAATTTATTTATATTTCAATTATCAAATAAACCATTGTTTATCGTAACTCTAGTTACCGAAACTCAACAAACATTACCCTATAATTTCCGACGCTAAACTAAGGTTTTACCTAAATTTAAAGTAGCACTCTGAAGAAATTAAAAAAAAACACACAATGTCGGAAACAAAAAAAAAAATTGTATCACTCTAAACATATATATATATATATATATATATATATATATATATATATATATATATATATATATATATATATATATATATATATATATATACATATATATATATATATATATATATATATATATATATATATATATATATATATATATATATATATATATATACTACAACCAAAAACAATGAAGGCAGCAAAATCTATTTCGTAATCCTTGTACAAAAAATTACATAATATATCCAGGGACATCTATTAAGACAAGCGAAAAGAGGAAATAATTAATATCTTAATATAAATATGTATATGTCTACACATTGTATTATAAATATCATAACAAATTAATAATTACTTTAGAATCTAATAAAGTAGCTTAAAACTATTCGTTTTTACAAAAACAAATTTGTCTACAATCAGAATTAAATATATTGTCATCATAAATGCTAAAGTATTACAGCATAATAAAAGTTGTTTAATTCAGAGTTGGTGTAAAAGCCAGCTTTTCAATTAAATAGTAAAACATACGGAATAAAAACCTACGTGTAACTAAAATATCGGTCTTACATTTCAGATCATGCTCTTTTTAATTAGCTACTGACTTTTTGTGTTTTTTTAAAGATAATGAGAAGGTATGGGTTAGATCACTGTATTGCTCACACAACTTTTACTGGTAATTGCAAAAACAATATTCACAGAGATTTACGTTTCAAAAGCTATGATTCTGGCGGCATGGTACTTTGGTACATCATTAAGCGTTCTCCCAAATGTACTTAACAGACGTCGGGGTGGGTTGGGTGGAGGAGGAGGGGTTCAACTTCATTCACCACTGTCCGGTCACTTTCGGTCAATTATCCAACCCAGCGTATACCTAGGTGTGGCATTAATATCGCTCAACACAATTGTGGTGGTGAGGTGGGGGTGGATAACCAACTCGGAGTGAACATAGCGCCAGTTTTTAGATGACTTTTCTAAACATAGGGGTCATCCATAAATGACGACACGCTTTTTTGGACGATTTTTACCTCCCCCTTCCCCTCCGTCACACGTCGTCACAAAAAGCCAGACACCCCCCCCCCTCTAAAATGACGTCACACCTCAGCCTACAACCTCCCTGAAAATTGCAATTAAATTTTTAAAACAGCTATATTTTTCCAAAATCTTGTCTGAACTCTGTCAAAATAGAGTATTTTAATAAATCGGTATTACAATTTATTAAAACAGTTTTCTAAAACACAAAATAACGTCTAGAATTCGTTTTCTAACATTGCTTTTTGTATAATGAAAAAGTGTGACGTCGAACCATCTGAACACCCCCCCCCTTACCCCTCATCACACACGGTCACCAAATTACGGACCCCCCTCCCCCCTACGAGTGTGACGTCATTTATGGACGACCCCATACATATTCAATTATGTATGTATACTGATTCAAAAATAGATTTAAGTAAGTAGCGGATAATTAACTGTGCGATCAGTGTTAGTTTAAATTGAGTTGTTGTTTTTTCAATACAAAATATAGCATTCAAATATAATATAGATCTAGATCTAGTAAACTAAAATAATAACTAATAGAAAGTTGATAATGTTTCATATAATTTGTAATCTTAATCAAACTGTCATAATACTACTACTTCATCGTGATGACGTTGTTGACCTTGTCAAAATTTCCCCACCGCTACGCAGTTCGCCCATAAGAAAATTTAAATAGAGGTGCCACATTAGTTGTATTTGTGTGTGTATTGTAATTTAAATAAATTGCACGATTTAAACTTTATGTATGTGAAGTAATTATGTTTGAAGTTTTATATGTAACATTTTTTAATTCAATTATCCGTAAGCAAATACATTATACAGTTGCCTTAAACTTAACACCCCTTTGCCAAGTGGTACTACCCGTAGAGGTTTTTTACTTTCTCGTATATACGAAGTATAGAGAAAGTATTGTAATCGTGCACAAAAATCATTTGAAATTTTAACAATTTTCACCGTATTACACCTCAGTCCTTCATCACATCCGAAGTATAGAGAACTTATTTTAATCGGGCAAAAATTATCAATCCAGATTTATCAAAATTAAGAGGTTTTATGCGTAATCCAGTCTGAAAAACTGGACTTTGCAATTCTGTCCGTATGTCTGTGTGTGTGTCTGTGTGTGTGTCTGTCCGTGTGTAAACACGATAACTTGAGTACCGTTACAGCTAGGTTGATGAAATTTCATATATAAGTATTTTATCAAAATCGTAGATCCGTATCAACTTTTGAGCGATTTCCGATAACCGGAAGTGGTACTTTTCCTACTTTGAATTTTTTAAAAGCCTATAACTTGAGTACTATTTCAGATAGATAAATGAAATTTCACATGTAAGTAAAAGATCTAATTCTCTACCTTCTGTTAAATTTTGAGTAATTTCCGTTGACTGGAAGTAGTAATTTACGCTACTTCCGATTTCTCAAAATACTAATGTAAATTTTTAAAGTACTAATAATATTGCGCACTTTTATACGCGTTTTTATTCGGCGTTTGCTTGGTGCGCAATGTTTTTTTTTATGAGATTATATTCTATTTTTAAAAGTTTAAGTATTTAAAATGGATTAAAAATCATGTCTATAGCCCGAGTTCCCATCCCCTGTAATTTTATATAAGAATATTCGAGAAAGTTTAGGGGAGATCACTCCCGGTTTATTAAACATTGCAATGCATCGTAATGGTTATTATTAGAATAACAAACTGATACAGCTGCTAATAAGTGATGTAAACGTTGACTCTACTAGTCTATTACTGTTGTTTTTAATTGCTGCATGAAATAAATCTTGTGATTAGCATAGATGTGCCGACCAAAGATAATTTTTTAACAAATATCAATGTTTAAAACTTTGAATTAAAAGAGTTCCCAAAAAAGGCGCCACTTTGCTCAAAATGGCCAGAGGGGGAGCTCCGCTCCCCCTGCTTCCCCCCCCCCCCCAACCCCCCACCCCCCTCCCCCCTGCGTACGCTAGTGCCGCTAACCTACATGAATTTTAACGATAGTGTGATGGGGTTTTTATATACGATTTATATACAATCTATATTCTGACTTCTATTCTGAATACTGTAACTATTAAACGTGTGAAGGAGGAAGGAAACACTCTTATTCTCCGACGACAATAATCAACGATGATATTAATAACTTCGTTCATTAAATAAAATTAACTTTATTATCACACACTTATAGATCTGTTACACAATATCACAATACGTCCGTCTTCTACTATATAACTATAGCTAACCCCCAACTAACTTCACTACTGCGTCCTACGTCATCGGTACATTGTCGTGTCATGTTCACGTCACACTCACGCCACAAATATTTTATTAAATACGCGCACAATACTCTCGCACCAAATCGTCTACCGTCAAGATTATACTGTCCTCAGTAACCTTTACTAGTCTAGTCCAATTCTATTTATCTACGCTATGACAGATAGTGGCGCCTTTTTACTTTCTCGTATATACGAAGTATAGAGAAAGTCTTGTAATCGTGCAAAAAAAAATCGAGATTTTTACAAATCTCGACGTTTTACACCTCACTGATACGGAAAAACATAATTTTGCAATCTTGTCCGTATGTCTGTGTGTCTGTCTGTCTGTCTGTGTGTGTGTGTCCGTGTGTAAACACGATTACTTGAGTACCGTTACAACTAGGTTGATGAAATTTCATATATAGGTATTTTATCAAAATCGTAGATCCGTATCAACTTTTGAGCGATTTCCGATAACCGGAAGTGGTACTTTTCCTACTTTGAATTTTTCAAAAGCCTATAACTTGAGTATTATTTCAGATAGATAAATGAAATTTCACATGTAAGTACAAGATCTATTTCTCTACCTTCTGTTAAATTTTGAGTAATTTCCGTTGACCGGAAGTAGTAATTTACGCTACTTCCGATTTCTCAAAAAACTATTGTAAATTTTAAAAGTACTAATAATATTGCGCACTATTATGCGCTTTTTTATTTGGCGTTCACTTGGTGTGCAATTAATTTGTCTACTAGATTTTATTCTATTTTTAAAACTTTAAGTATTTAAAATGGATTAAATATCATGTCTAAAGCCCGAGTTCCCATCTCCTGTTATTTTATATATGAATATTCGAGAAAGTTTAGGGGATCACTCCCGGTTTATTTGGAGAATAAATAGAAATTAAAACAAGTTTACAACACAAAATAAACAACAACGAATAAAGTCATGTTACTTAGAAAAATATCACATCTTTAGTGTGTATACTTCTTAACTTACTTTTCGGTGTAGCCTGTTTGTTTATGTCTCTGTGTCTGTGTGAGTGTCTGTGTCTCTCACTCTGTGTCTGTCTGTGTGTGTGTCTGTGTGTGTGCTTGTCTCTGTGTGTGTCTATCTGTGTGTTTGTGTGTGAGTTTGTGTGTGTGTTATTAAAGTCGTTTTTTATATTAACAAACAAAAATTACCTTTAGAAAGAAACTTGGTAAATTGAAATTCAGGTTAGAAAAAAAGTGGAAATGGAATCATTAAAGATAATGGTAAGCAAACAAAAAAGTATGTAACGTGTATGAAATAACAATTGCGTGACTAAAGCAGTAGCAGATTATGGGGGGGGGGGCTGAAAGGGCTGCAATTGACTGATTAATTGTTGGCAATTAGGCCTACTAAAAAAACTAAAGTTTTAATATTTGCGTCTCAAGCTTCAATTTTTTTTAAATATCTAACACGCGCACACACTGTTATATAAATATGACCTGACATCGCCTCCTACCCTATCATTGTTTATCAAACGCCGACGTTCCATAAAATAAAAATAACATACTCGGGACCAGCGATTGTTTATGACAATAAAATGAGTTGATTTTAGCTTTAAAAACACAAACAGCAGCCGAATTGTGTCATATGATTGACCCATATTTTTGTTTATAAAAGCGATGCTCCCTAAAAAATTAAACTTTTTATTTCTTGCACACAATTCGTTTGATCAACTAGTTTCAGGAAATAAAACTCTGAATATTAATAAAAACAGGCTAGAAAAATATGTTTGACTTCAACATATGATTGTATAAGTGATCTGCCTAATAACTTACAATTGGCGCTTTAATCCTAACGTTTTTAAAGGGAATGAAGCAACCAGTTTAGAATAATACTCACTTCTTCTGTCGTAAGTCGTCATTATGACTAGATCGAAACGCCCGAGCGAAATTGCAGGCACTTTTAACAAACAGAAACTGTTCGCCATCACGTTCAATGGCTGCGCCATCACGTTCAGTAGGCGCAATGGTTTTTAGTCATGTAACTCTATTGTAAATAAAACATGTAAAGTACTGGGAAAAAAATCATAAAAAAAACGTTTTAATAACAAGCTTTTATGTAATGATGCACTAAAAAGTAGAAAATAAATTATAGACTACTATTTAAATAACTAGAAAGAAAAGCGTGGGTATCTTCCTTAACATTAGTAAAGGTATCCAATAGATACTAAAGTGACCCACGCTTTTCTTTATAGTTATTTAAATAGTAGTCTATAATTTATTTTCTACTTTTTAGTGCATTATTACATAAAAGCTTGTTATTAAAACGTTTTTTTTTATGAATTTTTTCTACTTTTTAGTGCATTATTAAATAAAAGCTTGTTATTAAAACGTTTTTCATGATTTTTTTACAAGCTTTTCTTTAACTTGCTTTCTCTGTCGTCAGTCTGTCTGTTTGTCTAGATCAAAACGCCGGAGCAAAAATTTGAGCACTTTCAACTGACAGACCCAGTTCAACATTAGCACGTGGGTTAAGACATGAAGAAAATGCAATCTTACATTAAATTTGACTTAATTGGATGTCTAATTAATTTGTTATTAATTAATTAAAATTGTGTCCAAATTAATAGGACAAATTAATTGTCCGCACTATTATACACGCATCATCACGTTCATTGGGTGCGCAATGGTTTTTAGTCATGCAAATCTATTGCATTAAAAAATTTAAAGTACGGAAAAAAAACAATTCATAAAAAACGTTTTAATAACAAGCTTTTATGCACGAATGCATTTCACACCCACACAAACCCACACACCTAAGCACGCACGCATACCTACGCACACACACATATTATATATATATATATATATATATATATATATATATATATATATATATATATATATATATATATATATTTAGCCCCAAAAAATTTCAGCTTAATCCGCCCTGGACTAATAGATATAATTTGATGTGATTCTGGTGAATTTTTAATTGTTTTGGTATTAGGCTTTATATCATATTACCACCATTTTAGATGTTTTTCGCAATTTATTTAATTGTTAATTATCACATTAACTGAATTATTTATTTTTAAAGATTATGATTGTAATGATCATACCCGAACCTGCCCTCCGAATATGTCAGAGCAATCAACGGATCCAAGCAGAAGGATTATAACCTTCAATGAAACCATGTATGACACACCAGCTGAAAGCTCTACAAAGCAAGTGATTTCTTGTCTCCAGAAGAAACCTCCGACACCACCACCACCGAACAAGTCTGTCAGAGCCCAAAAAGAAGTGAATGTTGTGATTTTTGTTTTGTTCATCGTAACTGTTATTTTAAAAATTTAAACATTTTTAAAAAGTGTATACAATTTTGTATTTAGTCAAATGTTTACAGCTTGCTAGTTGAGTGATCTCTAATTTGACTCAGGATTTTATGGTTTTAAAAAAGAGTAACGTCATTATCTTGTTTGATTTTTTTTTACTGTTGAGCAAAGAGTATGCTATTAAGTATTGTATTTCTTTCGTTTTGGCTTATTTATTTACCTGTTAGTATTTTTTGGTTATTATTTTAAATAAAATTTACAATAAAAACTCAGACAGCGTTCGGCTCTTTGTTATTTAGATAGTTAAGAAAACAAATATTACGCCGCCCGCTTTTTCTTTGTAAAAGCTATGAAATCACTCAAAGGCGATTGTGTCCATGCTGCTCATTCTCAATAAAGTTTGTTAAAGTTTGTTCGTGTTTAGTAAAGTATCTTGTCTTGGAGTGGAAGACAACATTCGAAAAGGAATGACACAAGTACCTTGGCAATGTACCGATAATTCATCGATTGGTTATTAAATAGTCAATGCTAAACACATTAAAGCATTCCTTCTAAGTGGAACGAAATTTCAATATTTTTTTAGATGGATTGTATCCACTCATCTCGTGGATGAAATAATATTTTAAAATCTCCAAGAATTCTCCTCAGCGCAGAAATTCCTAATATTTTTGCTTAGAGAAAAATTATTATACTAAGAATTTTCCTCATAGAAGAAATTTCTGACTAACAATTAAAGTCAATTCAATCCGGGTTTAAATCAGTTGAACGTCCCTGAGTCCACCCAGCTCAGATGGGTACCTAACTGGAGTCTGGGAAAATAAAGGAGATTGAGCTTAGTTCTGATCACAATATCAATTCATGTTCCGAGGTCATTTAAAAAAGATCAACTCTTCTACATCTGTTCCGTGTGTCTTGTGAACGAACAGAAAAAGAAGAACAATTAACTTCATAGAGATAATTCTACAATGAAGAAAATTTGACTAATATTTCACTTCCCAAAAAGATAATACAAAACAGAATGCAAAATAATGCATCACACACAAAAATACAAAACACATCAAAATCTCAGTCTTTACGCGTCATCGAGTCGGAAAAACTGGGCTTTGCAATTTTTTTCCGTGTGTTTGTGCGTGTCTGTAAACACGATAACTTGAGTACCGTTTCAGTTTTAAGTTAGGTGTCGCAATTTCATGTATTAGTGACTTTTTATACACATGCTTCTGTCAAATTTTGAACGATTTCCGATAACAAAAAATAGTATTGTATTCTATTTCTGTGTAAAAAAAAATAAAACTACAAAATCTTATATTTGGATTGCTTTCAATTTTTTAGAGACCAGCAATAAACAGAAAATGTACTTTATTTATGTGTTCTAAAATACAGATAACTTATTATTAAAGCTAAAACGCCGTTAATGATTAGACGTCCACGTAATTTTTCAGCTTCGTCCGATGAGCTAAACCCCACTTTACTTTCCATAGGAGTCTATTTTTTATGATTGTTTAGTTAAAATATTTTTGTCTTTTCTGACAGAGGGTACTTTGAAAATTACTTGCAACATATTTTTCTAATCTTTTTAGAATAGCTGAATATTTTTTTCTATTAAATGTAAAAGGTCACGTGATCGTACACTTCGTCGCCAGTGTCAACAATGTGTGGGTATAGTTTAAAGTAGAAAACCCCGCAAATTTGATGCATGGGTTGGGTTTTAACGATGATTTTAAACTAAATAGTACATGATGTGTAGCTTGAAATACTTTACATTACCAAAGAAATCGATTTTTAGTGTGTTCTTTAATTTCAATTTTAACTATATGTTATGCTAATGCCTCCAAAACTTACCTGGAAAGGGGGGGGGGGGGGGGGTAAGCAAGATCTTTACTACAGTTGTAACAATGTCCATATATTAATGATCAGTGCACGAGTGCAGATGCGTTTACACTTTGAAGTCAGCTTGAAAATAAACCCTTATTCGATACCTTTAAAAGAATATAGCCCTTGTCTGCGAAAAAATCCTTATGTCCTATAAATTATGTAGACCGCTTATGGTGGCTATTGATTACATATTTTCAGGCTATAGTTGTGAAGAATGACTGTTAAGACACTAAGGGTGAGAATGCAAGACTAGCATAGCTATCTATTTAGCCTACGTATTTATATTTTGATGTAGCCCTACCATATCGCAATAGTTGTTGAACAAGTTATGTATAAATACATATTTATAACATAAAGACGATTTCAGCCTGCTTTTCCTTTTGAATTTGCTTCCATAGCCTTTGTCCAACCAAAAACAGCTACAAGGCAGCAGTTGTTTTATTTTGGAGTTGTCTCTCCTAGAGAGAGTGACTGTCCCCAGCTAACGAGCCTCATCTACCCGATGGTTCGAACTCGAGACTTTTCGGTTTAACCATGAGCTTTACTGACTCGACCACGCCGACCCCTATACCTGCTACGAGCTATGGTTATTCTTTATTTCTATGAACTCAGATCTACTGTAGGTGTCATAATTTATTTTTTTTTTTTAAAAAGACGCATTTTCGACAGATTGTGAACCCCTGCACCTTTCTAATCAAACGTGTTTTTAAAACGTACTTGTTATAGACATACTTGTTACGTAAATTTAAAGGAGCGTTGTTCTCCTACATTTTGATATACTTATCAAGTATGTTCTTGCATCAGACATTTTTGGTGATCTTTTAAAAATGTACAAAATTTGTGTTTTTTACTTCCCTTTTCAATTGTTTCAAAACGTGAGAAAATCCAATTTCAATGCAATTAATTTAAATGATGAACTTATTTTTGAGGCTTGAAAAAAACGAGTCTGTTCTCTGTGTATGTGTGTTTGTGTTGAGTTCAAAACATTTTGTTTGTCACATAGGCCTATACTTTTACAGATATAACCTCTCAAACATGGCACTTTTTAGGGTGTTGGGAAAAAAAGTTAAAAACCAATGTTTTAAAACGTCATAACTTTTTTTACTACTTGAGATATATGCACAAATTTAGTGCCCACTATCTTAGAATCATGAGTTCTTGATATAGAGACTTTCAAAAAAGCTCTGGTACCGTTTTAAAAAAAAATCAGTTTGACGCCCCTAGTATGAGTTTTTATGAAAAAAGGAAATTTTATTGAATTTTCTTCTATAATGAATAATCTTTTTTTTAACAATTTCCATAATTAACACCTTACATATTCTTAGAATAAGCAAAGAAACGCTTATTGTTTTAGGAACATTGCCTGACGCTAAAAATTTTTAAACACGATTTTTAAACTATTATTATTTATTAATACATGAAGAATGAGTAAAAAACAAACACTAAACTAACACTACCGCTAGATAATATATAAACCCCAGAGTTTCCTCCAGGCATCCCTTCAGGGTGGCTCAACTCCACCCCCCTCCCCCCGAAGAAATTCTACCGCACCCCCCCCCCCCCTCTCTCAAAACAAAATGGAAATGATGATATAGAGAAAAGTTGCTTTTACCAGTGTCCGCCTCCGTCCCCCCCCCCCCCCCACCCAAAAAATATCAAGTGGCCGCCCGGAGAAAAATGTCTGAAAGAAACACTGATGAACTCTGTGCATAGTAAGAAATAAACTCCTATATAAGAACTGGGTTTTTATTTTTCATTGAATAACAATGTACCCCCAGCAGCATAAACCATCCCGGATTTAGTTTCTATGTATTCTGAGACAAAAGACAAACTTGTTTTTTGGCAACAAAACAATCATACTATTCTGGGAGAGCATCTCCGAATTTATTAACCCAGTTTGTTTTTACCAATCTTATAGGACTTAATGCAGCATATTTAGATTGAGATCAGAGCAGTCTTAATTGATTAACTAAACCTTTAATATAAGCTGTTTTATGATTAATGGGGTATTTCTTAGACTTCATTTCCAGCTTCATTACAACCCAAAAATGAGAGGGTTTCCATACAGTTGACTTTACCACTTTCACAGAGACAGACATTCTGTGTAGAGCTTTGCTCGGTGGCCAATTCTTTTGTTCCTTTGAAGTTAGAGTCTTTCTCTTCTATCCTGTAATACATAGAGATTTTTTAAGCATGGTAATATTTTCAAAATCAGCACATAGAAGTCTATAGAAGTCTTTCTCTTCTATCCTGTAATACTTGGACATTTTTATTTTCTCGTATATGAAGTATAGAGAAAGTATAGTAATAGTGCAAAAAAATCGACATTTTTGCAAATCTCGACGTTTTACACCTCTTTGAGTCGGAAAAAACATAGTTTTGCAATCTTGTCCGTATGTCTGTGTGTATGTGTGTGTGTGTATGTGTCTGTGAACACGATAACTTGGGTACCTTTACAGATATGTTGATGAAATTTCATATATATAAGTATTATATCAAATTTGTAGTTATTCTACTTTCAATTTTTCAAAAGCCTATAACTTGAGTACTGTTTCAGATAGATAAAGTGCGCGCAGTGCGCGGCCCTTGAACACAGGTGCTTTGACCATAGGGGGTTTGACCATAGGTGGTTTGACCACAGAGGGGTTTGACTATAGGGGCTATTACCAAAGGGGCTTTAACCACAGGGTTTTGACCACAGGTGTTTTCTATGCAGATGGTCTTTGATCACAGGTGGTTTGTCCAAATGCGGGCGTTTGATAACAAACGATTTGTCCATATATGGTACGGATTAATTTTAAACATTTGAGACAAATACACACGATTGGGGATGGTGTAGCAAGAGTAAATAACATTTGTGAAGGATGGCATTACAGTCTTCAGTCTCTCCTCCAATGTAGTCACCCAACAATGTGGCCTTTCCTTGAAGGTCTACAGATGGACTGCACACGGCAAAAGACAACTTTCTTGCAAGGTGTCGCAGGAGCAAGCTACCCAGCTAAGAAGCTATACAGAATGCTGCACGAAAGATTAAAAATTACAATGTGCTGTTCAGACATATGCTCAAACAGATGTACTGACATTTGTTCAAACAGTACTGTTGTTGGTATGATTTTTTTATCCTTAATGTATGCTATGTATTTTCAGATACATCTACTTTATTTGTTTGTGAAACTTTTTATGTCTCATTATTTTTGTTCCATTTATACTTAAAATAAATCTATGAGGCCTAGCACCAGCTTTTATGTGGAGACTAACATATCGTTATTGACTTTTTTTAGTACATGTTAATTTCAACTAAAAGACCCTCAGGAAACATGTATAAAATCGTATGAATTGTATCATAAACTTAAATCAAATAAAAGCTTCTAATTTCTTTTTTTAATTCTATATATTATGGTTAACCTCCCCCTTCTGTGGTCAAAGCTCTGCTGTAGTCAAAGCCCCGCTGTGGTCAAAACCCTTATTGTCAAAGACATCTGTGGTCAAAGCCCCGCTGTGGACAAAGCCCTTATGGTCAAACCTCATATGGACAAAGCTTCGCAGTTATGGAACCCATATGGTCAAGTCCCCTATGGTCAAAGCACCTGTGGTCAAAGCACCGATAAATGAAATTTCACAACGCATGTAAATTTATAAAGTAGGTACTAATAATATTCCGCACTATTATACACAGATTATTTGGCGTTTACTTGGAGCGCAATAATTTTTTCTACGAGATTCTATTCTATTTTTCCCACGTTTTCTTTATTTTGCTTTCGCGTCTGTTTGTTTGTCTTTCCATCAAATCTTGCGATCGAAATTTTAGGCACTTCCCAGTTAGCTACCGCGCTGAAATTTTCAGGGAAGCTTTGTTTCCGATGACAATACAATATTCAATTATTATTATTACTAATATTACTAAATTGATCCATGGAAAAATTTTATTGATCATTTTAGACTCCTATTGATTTGTACAAAAAAAGGACATAAGCTAGTAATTGTAATTTGATAAAAACAAGGTTCGGTACTTTCCCTCTTCTGGCTTACTGAAAAACAAATGAAAAATCATGAAGGAGCGAGCACGCGATTGGCTGAGTAGTGGTCACGCGGTGCTTGTGTACAAACCTATGCAAATCTGACTGATCCGGAAGTAGAATGTTGATGGTCCAATGGTTTGCACGCGAGGGCAAAATGGTGAAAGAAACGGCAACACAGAAGAAACGTCGATTGGAAAAGGCACGCCAGAAGTATCAGGCGCCCCACGTTTTTCATTTTTTCTCATAATGCGCACGCAGTTTGCGATCGCTTATAGTAGAGTGATCGCTTGAATTATTGTAATGTATAGCATTTATTTTCTACTTTTTAGTTCAATCAGAAAACGTGGGTTTAAAAAAAAATTGATGATAATTATTAAATGTAATTAAAAATGGATTAAAAATCATGTCTATACCCCGAGTTGCCATCCCCCGTAGTGTTATATAAGAATATTTTAGAAAGTTTAGGGGAGATCACTCCCGGTTTATTTTTTTGAAAGTATCGTAATAGTTTTAAAACCAGCAAAGTCAATCTTCTTTTTTGTTGTAGGGTTTTCAGATTAGAAAAATTCATAGCTGTCTTCAAAATTAAACTAAATTACAAAGGGATGTATGCTACACATTCAGCATTCATTCTCTATCAGAATTAAAATTAATTTTTCACACATAAGGTTACACCACCATTTAAATTAATATGTGAATAATATAAATGTCATGGGAAACTTACAGGTAGGTTTTCATTGCTTCTTGAGCATTCATATCCCTTGTAATGGCACAGAACCCTGAAAAATATTGGCAATTCATTTTAATAAAGCATGTAAAATGGGTCTTTAATTACTGAAATATGGCATTTTTAATACCAAGTAGTAATGACCAATATACATATAATATAAATGTACGAGCCAAACAGTAAAACATAATGCATGAATTCAACACCACGAATGCTGCAATTGAAATTATTTTGCTTTAAAACACAATCAGTAGCTCGTGAAGGACGAGTATCCTCATCCTCCCTCCCCACCCCCTTCCGTGAAAGCAGCCGTCCTTGACGACAGTTTAAAGGGGAGAACGAAAAGATCAAGCAGAACGTGTTGTCTCCATTTTGTTTTTAAACGTTTGAAGACTAAATTTCAATTATCTGCCCTTAAAAGACGTCACTAATTCGAACCGGCTCTACGATTGTAAACATTCGGCATGAACCATAGCTCAGCAGACTGGTGGAAGTTGGGGTGATAGTATTATGGTCTGTTGCGCATGCCTGGAGAGCGAGGGAGGGGGCGTGAGGAGGGTTAGCCCCTTAACGCCGACAGTCGCGTTTTCGCGACATACCGATTTTGCGCAAAGCATTTGCGCATAGGTACATTTAGGTCGTTGTGTATTGGGTACATCCAGACGGTTGTATCGGTACCAACGGTCACGTTGTCAAGTCGAAATGTATGACGTCACACTCTCTTGACTCACGCGCATAGTAATTTTTTTCGGGCGTTTGTCGCATTCGAGCAAGTGTCCATTCGGAAAATCGGCCTTCGGGCAAACGGCATTCGGGCAAGTGTCTTTCGAGAAAACGTCCGGCTCCCGTTATTGAGTACCCACATCTTTAGCACTGAGTACCCACATCAGTGACACTGAAAAACCACAGTTTGAGCACTAAGCACTCACAGCAGTGATACTGAGTACCCACTGCTAAGGCTGAGTACCCACATCAACGTTATCGATTACCAACAGCTCCAGCGCTGAGTACCCACAGCAGTGACACAAAGAACAGACTGCTGCAAGAACACTGAGTACCACAGCTTCAACAGTGAGTACCCACAGCTTCAGTACTCAGTACACATGGCTTCAACACTCAGTACCAACTGTTTCAGCTTTGAGTACCCATACCAGTGGCAATATGTAGTTACAGCGCTGTCATCGGTAATCAATAGCAGAATCAGTCTAGCACAATAGACGTAGCGCGAATCATAAACATAGGGTACCATCAACAATATCAGTGAGTACCCACACCGGTGGCACTGAGTACCCACAGCAGTGACACTAAGTACCCACAGCGAATTCATTGAGCATGGAGAATATACAATGGCTGAACACTGTCATTTAGGACAGTATTTGTTCACGTGCTTTGTGTGTATAGCAAATATAGGTCAAATGAGAAATTTGCGTCTTTATTAGTTGACCTTGAATAAGAGTTCACGAAAATGACGTAACCGGGGACAACTAAGGCTCTACACGTTGAAGGAAGTCCTTTCATATGTAGTGTGTTATGTAGTGTAGTAGAACCATGACAGAAATGCTTCAAAAAAGAGTTAGTCAGTGAGCAGGTGCAGCAGAGTTATGTATCTCTATGCCTGAGCTATATGGTGTAGTTTTCATGAATTTTGCAAGTGATTCTACATCTCCTTGCATGTCCGTATGTTCAGTTTGTGATATTCTATTGTTTGTGCGTGGATATTTAGAGAAACACGTGACAGTAAAAATAGTAAAATGACCCGGACTAAAAAAAAATTAAATTACTGTTTGGTCCATAAGTGCCTGATGTCGCGACATACCGTAATTAGGATAAAAAAATAAGTCCAAATTTAAAAACAACTATATACCTCAAATTCAGTGTGATGAGAGAAAATCAGCACAAATAATTTTTTACACGCTTGGAACATAATTCTGGCATAAAGGGGTTAGCATTTGGTTGCGTGCATAGTAGTGTCCGTATATATATATATATATATATATATATATATATATATATATATATATATATATATATATATATATATATATTTGATGTATATGGGGTTTCATTTTTGTAGTCTAATCATGACACAGTACAGGTTAACATAGAAACACCACTGTCGTTATATCCCTCAAGCAGAATGAAATTAAGAAGTTAACAATATAACATAAGGAACTCTAACTGTGTAAAACTAGTTAAGTGTTGACTGAAATTCAATACATTTGTTAAAATGGTTTTTAAATATAACACTTACATTTTGCTGTAAAACCAGTAAGCTTACCTTGAACCTGTTTGTAGTTGGATGGTAAAGAAGAGATTTCTATTGTTAATGAAAACCTGTCCAGTTCCAGCCATACCTTTACCGTGTCACCATTAGGCAGGAGCACCTTTTAAATCAAATATTATTTTTTAGAAAATATGCTCAAAAATCTATCCGAATATAGTATGTAATTAGCTAGCCTATTGATAAATACGAATTTATAATGTTTTCCTTCCTAAAATCATATTAATATGCAAAATAAGTATATTTCTTTACCTCGTATGTGTCTTTTTTAGATTTAGTAATTCTGACACCTTTCATTAATTTTTTTATGAAGTCTCCTTGTGGTACCAACATTTTGCCTATGTAATTTTCTTCTATGAGTAATCCATCTTTTGCACTGCAAAAGAAAAAAATAAATCAAAACAGAAAATTCCTAAAATCTATCATTTTATAGCAAACTAACGTTAAGTTAGTATAATATACTTTTATGGCTAGGAGTAGCATTTGCTGTTGTCTAATGATAAAAAACAGTTGACCGTTGTTACAATAAAATAAGTCTATCAGTCAATTTTTCTAAAAACCCATATCTTTTTATTCTTAATTATGCTTTTGCTTCAGCCATATCCTCAGCTTGCTGAATTTTTTACCACCTTCCAGGAAATTTACATTTGTGTGATGTTTTCAGCAACTTTTTCAGTAAGTGTGTCTTGACTCTCCTCTGGCTTAAAAGTTCTCCAATAGTAACCTTATTCAGTGCAAGAAAAGCTGTAATCCTACATGGTAGAGCTGACTTCAAAAAGCTTCCCTTTAGTGTCCAGAGAAAATCAACAATCAGCTTTCCTCAGACTAGGGAACCTGGCAATCTATCCAGTTTAAAATCTCTGAGCTGATAACAGCAACTGAAAGGTTTCTTGACAGACCCTATCTTATACATGATAAACCTAAAGGATAATAATGGAATAAAAAAAAACAAGAGAGATAGCTTGAAATCATTTCCTTTGATCCACACAGATTAAGAGCTTCTACGTCTAATTCTTGCATTAAATCAAAGTCTTGATCTTAGTTCCCTAAACACCTAACTCCGACCGCCGCTAATTGACCTGAAAATACGTCTGTGCTGCGCCTAAAGTCAATAGCATACATAAATCCTAGCGTGGCCATATTTTCAACAAAATATATTTAAAACAACAGAAAACCCTCATCTCTTATGAAGCAGATGTTGAGTGCGATGTTTATATTAAGAATAAAATATTAAATGCCTACATACCTTTTAAAATTCAAAATCTCTGTAACACATACCATAGATACCAGTCAGGGGGTATAATTTGTAATTTTTTTGGTTGCCCCTATGATGTAAATTTCCTGGGGCCGCAACTATTTTTTATGCTCTTCTGTGAGCGATGCTCCCCGTGTTGCCCTGTCATTTGACCTCTGGATACCTAAGTAGTTGTATTTGTGTCCGCGACTTTCAAACCCCAGACTGCTAATGACACGGACCGTGCAGTTGCTTAGGTTAACTCGGTAATGTGGACCTAATGAAAGACTATCGGGTAAGGCTTTCACGTTCATGTATTAGCCGCTTACGGATTTGCTGCATATGCAATAAAGCCAGGTTACATCAACAAAGGCGTCATCAGGGTTCAGCCCTTGTAAACACTACACCTAACTGGGTGATATCATACCACATCCACACAGAGGCAGTGTTACAGTCCAATCACAGTAAACAAATATTAGTCAAAATACTAATAAGATTGTAATAATAAGTATAGTTGTTTTTTTAATGCTAAGTTGACTTTTTCTTACGAGTACACAATTACTTGGTCCCAAATTTGTATACTGACAGCTTGATTGCAACCAATCTCAACTTCGTGTTTCTCAACCACTGTTTGTTCCCATAGTCCCAAAAATGATGGAACGAAGTGTGTTGTCTCAACGATGTGGGTACAATATATTTGCTTGGTTCGTACCTGTTGTAATTTTACACACAAAATAACAAAAAAAAACAACACAAGGTGTTGTTAGAAATGAGGTCTGACTTGCAAAGTTGGTGCTCTTAATAAACAAAAAGCTTTCAATTATTTTTTTTTGTAATGAGACCTTTTCTTAAAGTAAATCACTTAAATCACAACTAAGGGTATAGGGTGGTGGGATGATATAGCTTACTGCTAACCCGAAAGTCTTAAATAACGTATTCGAGTCTGTAGGGCGTCCCTGTGTCCATCCAGCTCTAATGAGTACCGGAATCAAGTTAGGATAATGCATATGCTGACCACGCTATCACTTCATATGCAGAGGTCATAGCTAGGGGATGCGGTTGAGGGTCGGTTACAATATTTTTTTTTATAAGCTTATTTTGTGCTGCATTACTGAACTATACACTGTCAAAAATTTTTTTAAAGAATGCAACACACTATCTTCAAGGTTTTTGTAATAAAAAAAGAGTCAGTGGCTGGTAAAATATTTAAATAAGTAATGGGGGGCATAGAAAGCTGTCATTATGTCTTTGCTACATCTGCCCCATGTGTTTTCCGAAATGATGATGAGATGATAAAGTAATTAATATTGAATGCTAGAAACTAACTTCTGTGTTTAGAAATGGATGTTGGTACATTCTATACTCCCATTTTGACACGTGCAAAAAGCTGAAATATTGGAGAAAAGAAACAATAAATGTAGATAGTCAAACACACAGACAAAACGAAAAAAAACACGCACACCCCACCCCCCTACCCGTCGCATATACATATATATACACACACACATAGACGGCCCCATTGAGAAAAACAGAGACAAAAAGAGAGACAGTGTGAGTGAAAGAGAGAGAGAGACAATGACAGAAAGAGAGAGAAATACAAAGAGAGACAGACACATGCATGCACACACACACATATTCCATTATGATTTTAAGAGAATAATAAAACTGTTGTTAGTGTGACTTAAACAATTGTTAGGATAGCATATATAAACGCAAGCAAAGCATCACCAGTAAATGTAATATATTAAAAGACAACTTTCATTAACCTCATTATCTGTCGCCGCCATTATCCTAAAGCTGACTAAAGACCTAACTCTGATAATAATATTAAATTAAAAACTGGCAATAGGCATAAGCCATACTTTGACTGTAACCCTGACCCAAAAACAAATACCAGAAAAAATAAATCTGTAGTCATATATTGTTACATTACTTCAACAGATACACTTTCCTGAGTTAACCTTGATACTTTATTATACTAGGCTGCATAGACGACACGACTTGTATCTGGGTCTGTCTGCAGTTTAACTTTGTTCTTTATTCTTATTTACAGAGAGCCCAGACGACAAGTCCTGTTCCTGACTCTACCTTTCCTTAACTGACTAACCCGTACACATCAACTACACACTACTAAAGACACAGCGAACACTCAAGGGACGTAACCGTGATATACTTAATACAAGGGACGTAACAATCACTAGCAAGACATAATGTAACATATAGCAATTTTATAGAATAATTTTATTATTTTTATTTTACCACCAAATATTTGGGAGAAATTTTAAAAAGTTCTTCAAAAATTAATTTGCTCAAAATTTTACTTACGAAGTTTCAAACGTCTGTATATGTGGATCAGCAATTGATTCACAAGTGGCTTTTGATTGTTCATTTTGTTTTAGATTTACCTGGTTGGATTCATACCGTTCATATGCTGAAACAGGAAATAAGTATAATCGATACCATTTTAGTTTATATATTGTTCTTGAGTGTGCTTAGTTTGAAACCATGTTTGTTTTTTTACAAAGTGTTCACAGTGCGCCCCCATCCCCACCAGTCTGGTGAGCTTTGGTTCACGCCGAATGTTTACAATCGTAGAGCCGGGTCGAATTAGTGACGGCTATTAAGGGCAGATAATTTAGTTTTTAAACAATTTGAAACTATGGGGAGGTAACACGTTCTGCCTGATTTTTTTTTCATTTTCGTCCTTAAACTGTCGTCACGGGCGGCTACTCCCACATGGGCAAAGGGAGGGGGAAAGATAATAGTCCTTCACTATCTACTGATAGTGTGTAAAGGGGATACGCTGAGTAAAAAAAATCACCAAATTTCTGGGTTTTTGTCGTAATGGTTTTTTTTTGCATTTTTAGTTACTTTGTTAATTTTTGTATTAAGAAAATTATAAATAAAATGAGGAGAAAAAAGTATCTGTTTAAAATAACATTTTTATGACCCTATTAGTTAAATAATAAACATTTTTTTCCCAATCTTACACACTCTCTGCGAAAAGTTTCATATCCGTCATCAAATTGTATTTGGCATCATTTGAAAGCTGGATTTCTCATATATTTGTTAATCTTAATTTCCATAATCTCGAAAATACTCAAAGCTTACAATCGGCTTTAACAATTACACAAATATGGTATTTTCGTGACCTACTTTTAGTAACTTTTTGATGTTTTTCTCAGTTCGCAGTTTAGCACTAAAAACCTACTACTTTTTTTCATGCAATAATAAAACTTTTTTTCACGAAGGGGATTGTAATGGCTTTCATAGAAACATGTTTATTTTAAATTATATGCACATTTTGAAACTTTTAAATACTAAAAAGAGTACATTTTAGACCTTGTGAAATTCTGACCGGCAGCTTTTTCAAAAAGTTGTCGTGACATGAGTTTTAATATATACTTAAGTATAAGCAGTTTAAATTTGATTGCTTTAAATGCATAAATAAAAAAGCCTTTAAAAAGTACCGAAAAATAATTCAAAATGGTGGAGGTTTTTTCGGGTTTCCACGACAACCGAACATGTTTTCAACCCTTTTTCTGCAGTTTAATACTTACTTTTATGGGCCAAAAATGGTAAAAGTATTCATAGGCTTTACTCTTAAATTGTAAAAAATAGAAATAAACTTAGCATATCACTTTAAGCAAAATATCTTCAGCCGCACGATTTGTAGTGTCGAATTCATAAATAATGAATTACTGAAAAGTAGAAAATAAAACCGATTCACTTATGTAAACTAAATTTTAATGCCTTTAATTATTACTTAAAGTCATTTATGGATGACCTATAAAAACAAAGATTCAAATTAAAAACAAGCTTTTGTTCAATCTAAATTCTAAGCGACAAGTCTTTCCGCTGCTATTTGCCAGTGCTTTGTAAATTCATTTACAGACAATAAAATCAACTTAGCAAAGACAACTAGCATGCATTATCCTTAAAGAAATACAATTGTCACATTTGTTAACAAAACCACTTGAATCTGTCAAAGAGATCGCTTAATTGGTCGAAGTGAGTGTAACATTCCCGCACTTTTGTGATGGATCACAAATAAAAGTTCTTTAGCATCTTTTGTGTACAAATTACATATCACAGATGGAAAGGCAAGATCAGACACAATGCACTCGATAGATGGATACAATCCGCCAAATGAATGGATACAATACAATAGTAAAAAAAAAAGTACTCTTTCGAACTTTACGGTTCATGGGACAGACAAATTATAGTTCCCCTTTTGTAATGACCACAGCATAGTCAGGGATAGTTTGGTCAATACTATTCTCATACGCCTTTAATTTCCCTAACGTTTATCAAGTGCCCTTCAAAGCTTGGTGGACTAAACGCTTCGTACTGAATCGAGGCTGGTAGTCGAACTCTAAACGTTCGGTTTATTAGTTAAACGCTCTAACATTCAACCTCATCATTTCCAGGTAAATGGAAACAATCGACCAAGTAAATTAATACTATCCACCAGGTGAATTAATACTTTTCACCAGATAAATGGATACAACCCATAGAAATATATATTAAAATTTCGCGCCACTCTTGTTAAACCCTTGACTAGTTAGGAACCAATTAAAGAATGGATCGGTAAAAGTGCCATCATATTTTGTTAATTCCCGTCAAAATTTGTCTCCTGACCAAGACAGCGTATGTTACTAAACACGAAATGTATTTTTAAAAACTTATTCAGAATGGGCATCTTAGGCAAAAAAAATTACTGCTTGTTTTATTTCAGAGCTTACTAGACCACCCGTTATTCTTGAATAATTGTGTTTCGGGTGTCATCCATAAAGGAGGTTTTGTTTATTTGACGATTTTTATCTTTTCCCTTTCCACTTTTACACATCTGTACAAAAAGTCAGACACCACATTCAAAAGACGTCACATCTCAGGCAAAATGTACTGTCTTTTAAAACACCGATTTTAACTGAGCATGGGTCTGACCACACTATCCCCTCATATTCTGAGATCTAGATCCACAAACATTCCTTGCATTCTCGAATTAAAAGATATGTGATATTTATGGGCTAAAATAGTTAATAAAGAGTTTCAAATCTAGACTTTGTTTTTATTGTGTATTACTTATTGTTGTTTGTTTGTTTATTTTTTCAACTAATTATTTTGGTTTGGCCTTAAAGTTTGTTTTTCGGTATAATTTGTCATTACGTTTCAATGGACGTCACTATAAGTCCCTGTGTTTTTATGTAAAACTATTTTCGGATTGGCCTTAACATTAAATGACGTCACTATGCCGGTGAAAGTTTTTAAGTTTTTGAGAAAACAGTGTTTGTTCTGAACTTTTATAATTAAAATGGTTGTTTCTTATAATAAATATATCAATAAATAAATTAAAATTTTAAATGAATTTGTGATTAACAGTTTAGTAAAAAACAGAAAATTATTCTCTGCCTAAATAATTATTTTACAGCTCTACACATAGTGCAGATTCTCTCCTGTAACCAAACAGACAACCAAACAAATATATATATATATATATATATATATATATATATATATATATATATATATATATATATATATATATACAAACCTGTAAACAATTTTAAAAGTATATAGATAGATATTAAGCAGAAACTGCAGCCATAATATTTGATTTTGTTTTTTATTTAAGTTTTAAAAGGGTGTAAATGCCAAAGATCCCAACACTGTCTGTGAATTAATAGCAAATTTTATTAAAAATAATAACCAACAATAAGAAACATATCAACTCTCATAATCTTTTAAAATATCTTTTTAAAATAACAAATTTTAATGATGTGTCGCATGTGTGATGACTTAACTGGTACAATGTTAATAACTGACTGGCGTGGAGCACGACCTGATGTTTTGGACCAGTTAAAATACATTTTGACACACCATTTAAAAAAGGTAAAAACTAAAACACACACAAATCAGAACATGCATTTCTTGTTGGTTCCTGACGGACTTATTCGGTGGAGGATTATTTGGTGGAGGCGGAGGTTTCCTCTGGAGGCAAGAAATCACTTGCTTTGTAGAACTTTCAGCTGGTGTTTCATACTGTGTTTCATTGAAGGTTATGATCCTTTTGTTTTGACCACTTGGATGATTCGGCTCGTTCGGAGGGCAGGTCCGGGTAGTATCATCACATTTCTCATCTTTAAAAACAAAAACATTATATTAACGGAATAATTATTACAATTGAATAAACAAAAATAATATAAATAATAAGATAATAAGATAATAATAATAATTAATTAATTAAAATTCTCGTAATGGGGATAATATACCTATTGAATAAAGCAATATGAGCAGGCTTAATTTCAGACTTTTCCCACATACATTCATCTCCAATGAAAATGTAAGAATATCTATTTTAATATAATTAGTAGTAAGGTTTGTCATTAAAATTTAATTTAATTGAAAATTGCGTGATTGGGTGTCAACAAGATTAAATAGTGATTTTATATCTGAGAGTCGACCTTGAGATACGAAGGGGCAGAAATTTGTCTTTTAGAGATCACAAGCCATTGATTAGGTTATTACCAAATATTTTAAGTCGTAGCTTAAGTGGTGTCAACTTCGTTCAGAAACTAAGAAATTACTAACAAGTTAAAAATAAAACAAATATAAAACTTTTTTAATAATATGGATTTAAAGGCACTGAAAATTTAAAAAAAAAACAACAACATAGTTTGCTTTCTTCATTAAAGGGATATGTTCCTTAATAAATCACAAAATTTCTGGTTTTTTTTGCACTTTTGAATACTTTTTCCATTTTTGTAATTAAAAAAATAATACCTTTAATGAGAAAAAAATGTATGTGTTTAAAAAGCAATTTTCTTGACCCTCTTAATAAAAAATATCCCAACCTTACAAACTCTCTATGAAAATTTTTGTATCAGTCATCATATTGCATTTGGCATTATTAGAAAGCTGGAATTCTCATGTATTTGACAATCGTAATATCCATCATATCGGAAACAATCAAAGCTTACAATCGGCTTTACAAATTACACTGCTATGATACTTTAGTGACCAACTTTATGCTGTTTTTCTCAGTTCGCAGTTTAGAATATTTCAGTACTTGTTCTTCATGCAATAATAAAAACTTTTGTCAAGAGGGAATTTTGATGGTTTTGATAGCAACAATGTTTACGGTAAATGATATGCAAATTTTGAAACTTTCGAATACTAAAAAAGTACGACTTCTTAGAACTTGGGAAATCGTACTATTAGCCATTGTCAAAAGATGTCGTTACAAAAGTTATTATATATACTGAAATATAAGCATTTTAAATTCGATTGCTATAAGCACATAAATAAATAAACCGGGAGTGATCTCCCTTAAAACTTTCTCAAATATTCTTATATGAAACAACAGAGGATGGCAACTCGATATATAGACATGATTTTAAATCCATTTTAAATACTTAAAGTTTTTAAAATAGAATAAAATCTCGTAGAAAAAAGGATTGCACACCAAGTGAACGCATAATATAATGTGCATAATAGTGCGGAATATTATTAGTAGCCTACTTTATAAATTCACACGCGTTTTTTTTTTAGAAATCGGGAGTAGCGAAAATTACTACGTCCGGTCAACGGGAATTACTTCAAATTAGACAGAAGGCAGAGAATTAGATCTTTTACTTACATGTAAAATTTCATTAATCACTTCCTATTATCGGAAATCGCTCAAAAGTTGATACGGATATAACACATATATGAAGTTTCATCAACCTAGCTGTAACGGTACTCAAGTTATCGTGTTTACACACAAACACACACACATACGGACAAGAATCCAAAATTATTTTTTTCCGACTCGGTGAGCTGTAAAACGTCGAGATTTGCAAAAATCTCGATTGTTTTTTGTTTTTTTTTGCACGATTACAAGACTTTCTCTATAGGCCTACTTCGTATATACGGGAAAGTAAAAAGCCTTAGCATTTTTAAAAGTACCGTTAAATTCAAAATGGCGGCGAGTTTTTTGGGTTTTTATAACAACCAAAATGGTTTTCGACCCTTTTTTTTGTAATTTAATACTTACTTTCATGTGTCAAACATGGTAAAAGTATTCAAAATGCTTTAGATCTTAAATTTTGAAAAATAGAATAACACGGAGCATATCCCCATAAAAGCATTGGTGGCCCATGTGATCTCTTACATATTTTAGCAACCAATGCTTTTATTAAAGATTGCAAATTACTTTTATTTTATTAATTTCGGTGCTTTAAAAAAAAGCTTATTATTATAAATGTTTTTTATTTTATTTTTTATTTTTTAAAGACATACCAGTAAAAGTATAGTAATCATGATCAAAAAGTATCCATGACATTCCACGCAGTTTAAAGTCTCCAGGAAAGACAATCTTGTTGTCCGCACTGCATAAATAGATGTAATATTTATGTATATTTCTTAACTATAATCGTAAATCCGAAACTACTTTATAAACAGAAGCTGCATCAAAAGTTTAAATAAACCTGTAAATAACGAATTACCTTACTGTTGGGGTATCGCGATACACGTTTGGATGGGTAAAAAGCAACATGTACATATGTCTGGTGCCTTTTCCTTTCGAATCATAAAGCTGCTCTTTAAATTCTGTTTCTTCAGATCCAGAGTCTAAAAGACAAACAAATGTGTGCCTTGATAACGATAAGTGAATTTTTTTAAAAAATATTATCAAGCATAAATTGATTTGAAAACTGTTCTGCATCTTCAATTCTCAAGTCTTAGTTATGTGAAGCTTTTGTGTTTTTTTGAGAAAATGACTGTTTTGTAAGGAGTTATTTTATTGTATTGGTGGGGACGGGGGTGCATATATTGGTCGATATTATTATTAATTATGTTTGAACTCTAAATTTTATTTGAAAATGGAACAGTATTCTATTTTTATACCAATATATCACTTTTTAGAAGCTATTTATAAACTCATGGGTATTATTTTGTTGATCGTAATTAAATTTGCCTTAATTTAACTTTTTTTTGTTTTAATTTCGAAATTTCTGTATCTTTTTTTAAAGACCATTCGCCACAATCCTGCATTGAGCAAATATTATTATTTTGATTTTCCCTTTTCTTTCTGTACCTATTGCAGGGATTTAGAAATACATTTCTTCTTCTTTTCCTTCTTCGTTCTCAGTGTTGGAAGGGATTTCCTACAATATAATTGTCACAATGTTTTTGTGTGACTGGGTTCACGATATAAATTCGCCACAGGCCTTACTCCTACCTTTCATCTATCACATAAGAAATCACCAGACAAGCCTTCTTTTACAATATATACATATTTATTTTGTCTCCACATAGACAGCGTGTACAGCCAGCTTACGCCATGTTCTCCCTCTCTCTCTCTCTACTTCCCACGCATGCGCACAGCTCCTGTCTCTTTCTGATGCAATCTCAAAAACACACTCCCAAAATACGATCTAACAATGTTTCACTGTTATACGCCCTTTCTCCCGTTAAAAAAAAATTAATTTATTAATTTTTTTTGTTATAGATCACATTCACTATAAAATCTTCATAATAACATAACAGTGAAACGAAAATCATGTGGAAAAAGAAATCTGTTAATGAACATCCTAAATTATTTTATATGTACACTAATGAACTAAATCAGAACTATCAATAAGCCAATACTATATCCCATAGAGGAGTATTTCCCATGAACCCCTAAAACCACAACCAGGTACTCGGTACAACCTCGAGATACCAAAGAATACAACGGACTGCATCCTCAGTCTCGCAAAACAAAATCAACTATCTAGCAATGAAGATCAATTATCTCCAAAAAACAACATTAAGCTACTGGGTTCATTATCCAACCAAGAAAATCAAACCTCTTAGGGTACAATAATTTAGCACATTGTACATTAGATATAACGATATAACTTAATCACATATTTCACTTGCTATATCAACTAATGGTGCATGACGACGCCCAACCAACTATTAGTATACAAATATAATATCCAATAAAGGACAATTTTCCATGACCCCGGCTAAAACAAAATATCTCGGCAAACCATCGAGATCCAAATAACCATAATCAATATCCATCAAATAACTATGTTACGTATCAACCCGACAGCATCCAGCATGAATGGGTGACTACGACAATACAACTACTCTACAAGGGAAACAGGGAAAATACTGGGTCCAACAACCAAATCAGAAAATATATCCTCAATTGATATCATATCCAATTAACCAAAGAGTTCCTAAACCTAGCACTAACAAAGTAACAAATTACTTATAGTCAATACGTGGCAAAGTGTAAAGAAAAAATTGTAACTTAGGTAAACCTTCTTGGTTTAGTAAGAGCAAATAACTCTAACTAAGGAACATCTCCTCTTAGTGTAACAAAAAAGAAATCATTAAACCTCACTAAGGAATATTGCCTCTTAGTGCATCTCAAATAAATCTAACTAAGGAAAACTCTCTTAGTAGAACAAAATTATAGCTATGCAATAGCTCCCATGGGCAAATCATATCTTTGATTTCCCTACTTCAATGGTTGAGGTCACCTCCTCATCATAACATATGTAAATTACCACATCTGTCAGGTCATACTGCCATAATCATGTTCATTACTTAACAAGATATACAGTATACATACAAATCATAAAAATACAACAAAATGTATGTTCATTTTCATTACTAAATTAAAATAGTGGTAAAAGCATATTTATGCAAGTCATTTTATGACTTATTCCTATCTTGCTCACATTTTTAAAATGTTAATGTTCTCTGGAAGTACACATCACATACTACATTATTCAAAATTTCCTTATAAGAATTGGCTGATATGTCTCAGGTCATTATTTTCTTTAGTCAGTTCCATGTTTGTTTTTTCATCTTCAATCTGTCTTGATAAAAAATTCAGCTAGTGTATTGTGCAGTCCCTTTACAGGTTAGCTTTTCTTGACATAATGTTCTTAGACAAATCCATTTTCCTTATGAAAGCAATATTTACCAAGTCAAAATTCCAAACACATAGTTAAGCTCTGTTAATTGAATACAGCTTTAAACAACAATAGGATCCATTAGCATTACTATATAAAGTGTAAAAGAAATACACAACTGTTATGTTCATAAACATCAGTTAACAAAATACAAGGTCCAATAACAAGCTAAACATTTTTTAACACATTATGATAACAAACTCCATTTTATCTTAAATGGTTTTCTAACTTACACATTTTTCTAAAGTCAATAACATGTAAAATAATGTATGTTAGTAGTCTTCAGTGTTGGTAGCTATACCCTATATCACTGATGCTTAAGTACCACAGCACACAACATAAAAATTAACAGATTTTGTTAGCCAAAAAGGAATGTGTACAGCCAATCAATGAAATAAATTTTTTAAACTGTTGAGGTCGGTGATACAACTAAAGTGGTTAAAAATTGTATTGTTACATCCACTAAATCAGGTTATATATGCATGATAACTGATGTTACATATTAAGGCATGAAATTAAAATCTTAAAGGATTAGTGAGTTCAGCATATTCATCTACAAGAATATTATAAAAATTGCATAGTCCAAACAATGATTTCACTTCTTTCTTTGTAGTAGGAGTTTTGATATTTAATATTTTGTCCTTATTTCCTTCAGTAGGTCTAATTTCTTTATTTCCAACCTTGAATTCTAAGAATTCTACTGTATGTACTCCCACATGCAGTTTCTCTGGTGCTATGGTAAACACATGTTTTCTAAGTCTTTCTAGTAGTTCTTTTAGTGTTTCTATGTGTTCTGCCCATGTGTTATTATGTATGCATATGTCATCAACAAAGAACACCAGGTTTTTCATTCCCTCTGTCATTTTATTCATGAATTTTTGGAATGTGGCAGTACTGTTCACAAGTCTGAATGACATCACCTTCCATTGACATAGACCCTTGCTTGATGTAAAGGCAGTGTATTGTATTGACTCCTTTTTCAGTCCTATTTGCCAGAAGCTTCTGTTCAAATCACAAGTGGTGAAAATTGAGGATTTACTAATAGTTTCTAAAATGTCTTTAGGATCATTCATAGGTTCAGCATCTATCTTAGTTCTTTTATTCAACTCTCGATAGTCACAACATATCCTTGCTTTATTGTTCTTTTTTCTTACTATTACCTTGGGTGATGAGTATGTTGATTCTGTTCTTTCTATTTGCCCAGATTCAAGTAGCAAATCCAGTTCTGCTTCAACAGCTTCTTTATAAGCAACTGGTATTTGGTAATGTTTCCCTTTCATAGCACTATAATCAGTCAATCCTATTTTGTGTTGAATTGTTTCAGTAAAACCCATTTCTGTAGTAATCATATCATTGTACTCATTTATTATTTTGTCCATTATGTTTTTCTCCTTCACTGGGATATGATAAGTCTTAATTTCTTGTGTATTACAGCTTTCACTCATTATAGTACAGGCCATATGTTCCTCTTCTGTCAGTTTCTCTGGCTCTACATGTAATTTCTTCATTCTGTCCATGTGTATAGGAGTGTTATTTCCCTTTATGTTTATTTCATCATTTACATCAGATAGTGTCTTGATTATTTCAAAAGGTCCTTGACATGCTTCTATGTTTTCTTTGTCTGGCAGTTTGACAAAAACTAAATCTCTTCTTTCACCAGTTCTTAAATAGTTATGTTTGTTTTGTATATTTCTGTGCCGTTCACTGGCTACTTGTGCATTCTCTTGGGCTGTCTGGACACCATAAAGTATTTTCTCTCTAGTATGGTTCACTAGTTCATGAGGATCCAATTCCTCTTCCTGTTTATTCAATAATTCAAGTTCAAAAGGAGAAAAACCTGTTGACTCATGCTTAGTCTCTCTGTTTGCGAATAGTACTTGAGATTGGTCACTTTTACTTTTTTCTAACTCTAACTCATGCTGTCTCTGTATTTCTCTATCTTCTAGTTGCCTCTGTTTTTCTCTATCTTCTAATTGTCTTTGTTTTTCTCTATCTTCGGCTTCTATTTTAATTTTTTTCTTTATAGCCTCTAGCTCAGCTCTTGCTAGATCTATTTCCCTCTCACGCTCCATGTTTCTTTTAACTCTAGCCTTTTCATCAGCTACATTCTTTTCTACCCAATTTGCCTTCTCTGCCCCAGTGTATCCCAACAAATCAGCTATCCTAATACATTTGGCATAGAGCTCGAAATCCATCGTAATGATGCAAGCACAGTTCTTCATTTACACTACTAGATCTAGATTTAATTTTTTCTTGTACGGTGTAGAGCACCGACCACTTCTGACACCAAAATGTCACAATGTTTTTGTGTGACTGGGTTCACGATATAAATTCGCCACAGGCCTTACTCCTACCTTTCATCTATCACATAAGAAATCACCAGACAAGCCTTCTTTTACAATATATACATATTTATTTTGTCTCCACATCACTGTTATAATAATTAAACTATGGGACGGAGTGGCGTAGCGGTAGAGTGCTGGACTGCTAACCCGTAAGTCAGTAGACCGTCCCTGAGTCACCCAGCTTTGATGGGTACCTAACTCACGTTAGGGAAAGTAAAGGCTGTGCATAGTTCATAGTGCTGAGCACACTTTCCCTTTATATGTCGAGGTCACAGAAACAAGTGAACTCTACTTCACTTGCCCTATAGACCGTCAGGTTTGAAGGGGAACTTTCCTTTTTTATAATTAAGGTGTCGAGAATTATCTACCCTGGGGATCGAATTCGGGGCTTTTTGGTTTAGCGACCATAAGCTTTACCGACCCGACCCCTAATGAAAATTCATTTTTAAATACCGCAGTTAAATTATCTTCTTGCAGTAATAAAACACAGAAGTAGTAGTTAGTTTGTTGTTAGAAATTCAAATAATATACATAGCTTTGCTAATTTACAAGAGGGGAGATTTTAATTTGGTCTATAGTCACAACCTGTTTTATTTTAGTATTAAACACAGATTCAATTGCATTAATATCTTTGATATGTCATACATACTTAAGCTGTATGATTTCGATTGTTTTGTTATTCGAAACCGCCTTACACATTCATTTATATTTTAAAACGTTTTTCTTAACTCAGCTTCGCGTTTGTTTGTTTGGATGTTTGTTGTTAAAATTGACATCGAAAATTAGCCCACTTCTGATTGCTCTAGAGACCTGAAATTTGGCATGCATTCTACTTTCGCCTAACAATTTCAGATGCAATCATAAAAACTAGCAATTAGTGACCGTAATTAGCTTAATTTAATTACGCCCCAAGGACCATAAAATTGAGGACATGATTTCTAAAGATACCGACAACACTTGAGGCCTATTGACACAATTACTTCGACCCCAATCGATGTGAGCGCGCTGGCCGTGATCGTATAGTGGTTAGTACTTCGCGTTGTGGCCGCGACAACCCAGGTTCGAATCCTGGTCGCTTAAGATTTTTAGTCCGTGTATTTATAAACACTTTTTTAAAAACCACGTTTTTCATGTGTAGCAACGGACTAAAAAGGAGAAAATAAAATACTTAAAAAAAACTTTTTAAAAAACCACGTTTTTCTTGTGGACTAAAAAGTAGAAAATAACTATTTACATACATTTGATGACAAAAAACGTGGGTCGGGCAGATGGGTCGGGAAATTTGATGGTGAACGTACCCACGTTTTTTGTCATCAAATGTATGTAAATAGTTATTTTCTACTTTTTAGTCCACAAGAAAAACGTGGTTTTTTAAAAAGTTTTTTTTAAGTATTTTATTTAAAATATATATGGATAAGCCTTCAGCATCACGGCGTAAACTAAAAGCACTTACTAATTTTGCTGTTTTTCATCCAGTATGTAAATTTAGCTTCAAGCACGCCATCTTTAATGTGGGGCACAAACACATAGAAGGTACAGTAATCCGAGTCACCTAATGTTTTAGAGAAGTTTTAAAATGTGAGAACTCAATCATATTCTAACATGTATTTTTATATTCCTATATACGTGCATATGGTTATACATACACAGACAGGAAAAATAAAATCACGTTTGCATTTAATTTACAGATACAATTTCATTTGCATATAATATAGTCAGAGGCACATATTCACAGGCGCATGCACATACGGATGTACACGAGCAAGCAAACGGACATACACTAATACAAAATTCAAATATTCATAAACTATGCTTTCTTTAATTTCCACTTTTTATTAGTTGAGCAAACGAATACCTAATATATTTCTTTCAGTACTAGACATTTCTGTTTCCTTCGAACTGTGACATTGAAAGGATCCGCAAAGTCTATCATAGGAGCTGACTTTAAAATCATCACCAGGTCTTGCGCGAACGAATCCATATCTAAAATTATTGTTGTTTCAAAGTATATATATATATACACACACACACATGTATATATATATATATATATATATATATATATATATATATATATATATATATATATATATATATATATATATATATATATATATATATATATATATATATATATATATATAAATATATATATATATATATATATATATATATATATATATATATATATATATATATATATATATATATATATATATATATATATATATATATATATCAAAGTATGTGTGTTTAATTGTTTATGTGTCCTTTATGCATTACTACACCTTTTATCTCATCGTCTAGAAGCTTTGGGGAGTTGATGACAATACTCCAAAGGATGTTTATGCAGGAAGAATAAATTCAATTTCACAAGGGCAAAACCCCGGGAGTGTGCGATTTGTGTTAATACACAGTATGACGCCTCTATTAATTGGGCGTCCTGCATAGCGGGTAAGGGGTACTACTATATTCAGCGGTAAAACAGAAACCGGCGCAGCCGCCGGCGTTCCGGCTAGTGCGTGATTCGAAGTTACAATATGTGTAGCAAACACTTTTTGATGATGCAAATTCTACAAACGTGTTTCGGGCCGACATGCAGTTAAATACGTTTGACCGTATCAGCCAGATGTTGAAATAGCGGCCAAATGATTGAAAACGCATACACCTTTTTACTTTCTCGTATAAACGAAGTATAGAGAAAGTCTTGTAATCGTGCAAAAATATATATATATATTTTTGCAAATCTCGACGTTTTACACCTCACTGAGTCGGAAAAACATAATTTTGCAATCTTGTCCGTATGTCTGTGTGTGTGTCTGTGTGTGTGTCTGTGTGTGTTTGTGTGTGTGTAAACACGACAACTTGAGTGCCGTTACAGCTAGGTTGATGAAATGTCATATATAAGTATTTTATCAAAATCGTAGATCCGTATCAACTTTTAAGCGACTTCCGATAACCGAAAGTGGTACTTTTTCTACTTTGAATTTTTTCAAAAGCCTATAACTTGAGTACTGTTTCAGATAGATAAGTGGAATTTCATATGAATGTAAAAGATCTTCCTTCTTTCAAATTTTGAGTAATTTTCGTTGACCGGAAGTAGTAATTTACGCTTTTTCCGTTTTCTCACAAAACTAATGTAAATTTATAAAGTAGGCCTATTAATAATATTCCGCACTATTATGCACATTTTATTCAGCGTTCACTTGGTGTGCAATTCTTTTTTCTACGAGATTTTAATCTATTTTAAAAAGTATTTGAAATGGAGTTCCCATCCCCTGTTGTTTTATATAAAAACGAGCCGACCCGCTGCGTATCATACGCCGCTATTTAGTTGTTTTTTTTTTCTACTTTTCAGTAAATTATAATCTGGGAATTCGACAGTACCAATGCTGCCACTGAAAATATTTGCTTAAAAACACTACCCCCCCCCCCCCCCCACGTGAAAGCAGCCTCCTCTTAGTTACCTCCTCTAAGTTTAAAATCGTTTCAAACTAAATTATCTGCCCCTAATAGCCGTCACCAAACCCGTCTCTATGATTGTAAAATGTAAACAGCGTGACCACAGCTCACCAGACAATGTGGGGGATGGGGTGGGGGTGGTAGTGATAGTGATAGTGATAGAGAGAAAGAGAGGGGACTGCAAAGAGGCGCTTGCAGCTTGTTTTCTAACGGCTCCCAGAAGAGAATTATATATATAGATATTTGAGAAAGTTTAGGGAAGATCACTCCCGTTTTATTTTTTTTTTGTGCGTGTGTGTAAGAGAGTGTGTGCTTGGGCGTGTTTGAGTGTGTAAGCGTGTGTGTTCTCCTTGTATGTGTGTAAAAGTAAGAATATATTATCTGTTATTATTCTTTTACTGTAATAAAATCTTATACATTTTAAATACTTACTTTGCAGAATGTTGGACATCTAAACAGTATCTTAGTAACGGTATTTTGCATGCGTCTGTTTGCGTGTACATTCTCGTTGTATGTGTGTATAAGTAAGAATGTGTCTGTTTTTATTCTTTTATTGAGAACAAAATCTTATATATCATACATGCTTACGTTGCATAATGCTGCGACCTTGAACAACATTCCATCGTCAGACTGCCAGGAATCTTAGTTTGAAAGCGCACATTGACGTACGTGTCTATAGTACTTACATCCAGATTCATGAACTGAATGTTTGACACTTTATGTGCAGCGTCTTTCAAAGAAAAAAAATAGTTTAAATATTACTACAGTGCATTGAAAAATATTAAGGGAGCGAACTCTGTAATGCGCACAATCATTTATGGAGTAGCGGCCCTTGATTATTTGGTCCGGCACATAAATATTCGTGTAGCACTCTTAAACGGGCCTGATAAAAAGCAGAAAATAAATTATACACTACTATTTTAATTACAATAAAGAAAAGCGTGGGTCACTTTAGTATCTATTGGATACCTTTACTAATATTTAAGAAGAGATCACGCTTTTCTTTATAGTAATTAAAATAGTAGTGTTTTTTTTTCTACTTTTAATGCATTATTACATAAAAGCTTGTTATTAAAACGTTTTTTATGAAAACATTTTTTTGTACTTTACTAGTTTTATTTACACTAGAGCTGCCGGCTAAAAACCATTGCGCATCTATTGAACGTGATGACGCGTGTCTAACGGTGCAGAATAGTTTGATGAGACAGCCTACTAATTTGGACAAAATATTAATTAATTCATACAAAATTAATCAGACAACCAATTAAGTCAAATTTAATGTCATGTTGCATTGTCTTCATGTCTTGACCTACGCACAAACAACGAACCGTATCTGTCAGTTAAAAAGTGCCTACAATTTTGCTCGGGCGTTTCGATCTAGACAGACAGACTGACGACAGAAGAAGTCAGTTAAATAAAAGCTTGTAAAAAAAATTCATAAAAAATGTTTTAAAACAAACTTTTATGTAATAATGCACTTAAAAGGAGAAAATAAATTATACACTACTATATAAATAACTATAAAGAAAAGCGTGGTTCACTTTAGTACCTATTGGATACCTTTACTAATATTTATGAAGAGACCCATGCTTTTCTTTAATGTTATTTAAATATTAGTTTATAATTTATTTTCTCCTTTTTAGTGCATTATTACATAAAAGTTGGTTATTTATACGTTTTTTTATGAATTTTTTTTAGTACTTTACATGTTTATATTTACAATAGAGTTACATGACTAAAAACCATTTAAATAGTAGTTTATAATTTATTTTCTCCTTTTTAGTGCATTATTAAATAAAAGCTAGCTATTAAAGCGCTTTTTTATGAATTTTTTTTAGTACTTTACATGTTTTTATTTACAATAGAGTTACATGACTAAAAACCATTTGAACGTGATGACGCGCTATTGAACGTGATGACGCGTGTGGAGTAGCTCGATAGGACGGCCTAATAATTTGGTCAAAATTTTAATCAATTCATAAAAAATTAATCAGGCGACCAACTAATTCAAATTGAATGTCATGATGCATTGTCTTCATGTCTTGACCCACGTACCAATTACGAATTTCTTTTCTACTTTTTAGTGCATTATTACATAAAAGCTTGTTATTAAAACGTTGTTTTATGATTTTTTTTTTCTTAAAGCTAGTCAGACATTAAAAAAAACATTTTAAAATTTTGTTTATTGAATAGGGGGTAGCTGTGCTGCAGACCACAATATCATTTGTGAGTATCTGGTGTGTTCTAATTCTCGAAAGTCTGTTGCTGTGTACTGTGTTGTACACAGTGGCGCTTTTGACTGAGAGTAAAATTCGGCTAATTAGCGTGACGTCATTTATGAACGGCCGCTACGCTCTACAATATATTTGGCTTATGGGCCTAAAGCTATAGGATTAACTCTAGCAGAGAAGTAATGTATTATTTTAAACACGTACTTTCATAGTTCAAACAACCTTTCTCATCCTCCCCCCCCCCCTGCTTTCATGTGGTCGCGCTAACCGTGAGACCCGTCACAGCTGACCATGCGAGCACAGTCTACATGCGCTGTTATTTAAATATCTAATTTTAATGCGGTTACTTTAAGTTTAGTACTAGAAAAAAAGAGTAGATCTACATCGTCATAGTCTATAATTCAAAATAATGATTAGGCTTATTGTGATTTGGTTACACGATCTATTAGAACCTATATCTAGTTTGCTTTTAAACTCGTTTTAAATTGTTTGAAATGTTTAAAAATATTCTTGAAAAGCCGTGAATTGTTTGAGAAAATTACTGCGGTCTCTGCATTCCCCATTAAGCACCTGAACCCCACCCCCTTCCTAGTCCACACATGTCTACAAAATGGATACCCCCCCCCCCCCCTCAAGATTAACTCCTAAAAGTTGCAAGTATGGATTTTTATGTTTATAACAGATTATCAACAAAGAGCTCATAACATAATGTAAAAATGCCGATAGTGGACGCACAGTAAATTCGTCTGGGGATATTTAGCTCATCATCATCATATATTCACATTGGACAGATGAAGTAGAGTTCATCAGTGTGAATTACCTCGGCATACGAGGGCATAGTGCTTCCTTGTGGCAATTGTTTCCCTAAAATGATTTAGGTACCCATCAGAGATGGGTGAACGCAGAGATGTTTTACAGACTCGAGCCCGGTATCCTAACTTTAGACTTTCATGTTAGCAGCCATAGGCTCTACCATTTCATCACGCTTTAATAGCTAAATCAATCATAAACTCTGCACTATAGATATGATCATTTCTGAAAATGTGAACTCACATTCCCGAAACTTGCCGATACACTGCGTGTCACAGATGTAGCCGTCAATACACACATTATACTTTTCAAACATAGAAGAGCCATTGGTATAAAACACTTGCAGTCCAACTACACCTGCAAGTATTCGAGGGGAAAGTTTAACATAATTAATGCCGAGATACAACAATAGTTTTGCGAATTCTATGAAAGTTTCAGTTTTAGATTTATAGTGTCTGGGTGTTTTGTCGTTATGTTTTATTGGGATTTATTATGTTAGGTTTAGTTTAGTATAGAGTGATAAATTATCCTTTTAATGTATATTTAAGTTAAAAGTTTGCAAGCGGTTCCATGTATTGCTTTTACATTTTAACATAGTTATCATTAGATGAATACCCTTTTTACAAAAATCTAAGTTAAGGTAATGAGTTAACCACTCTGGATTTAGCTGGAAGTGCGCAGAAGCCTGCCTCGTGTAAAAACCTTATCAAGCATGTCAAAACAGCGTCTGTCAAACATGTACGAGCATTTTCGCCGTGCTCAGTCACTGACAGGCAGGCAGCACCCACAGAACTCACTCAAGGGACATAACCATCATATAATAATGTAATACAAGGGACGTCATAGTTAGACCGTAATAGCAGCTAGTAACTTCGAGCGTTCATTGTCACTTAATGTAGATAATGTTACATACCTCCCTTTCTCCTGTTAGGAATTACATATAAAAGGAGGAAAAGTACCAGAGTGGTCAAAAATGTAATCGCAAAGAATTGATTTCTGTAAAGGGACTACAATTTCTGAGGATACGTTGAGATATAACAGGGAAGGGCAAGGGAGATGTTGAGGTGCACGGCAGAAAACAACTGACAAAAGCAGGACTGTTGGGGGACTGCCAAGAAATTTGCCCGAGAGTGACACAAGTGGAAAGAGATATCTGCTGTGGTCCCATGTGTCTTGGGCGCAAAAGGACAATGTGATGGGAGGGGCTTTAAAATAGCAAATAATGCTTAAGATACACTAAAGCATAGGAAAAAGGGGGACGAGGTAGGAGAAAACAAAATAAGTATTAATGACAACTGGCCTACGAAATATAAGAAAGTATCGGGGCAGAGATGTCAGGGAAGGAAGTAGAGTGATTGAAATATAATAGCTGAGTAAGATAGTCAGACAAAGAGATGACTTTTGATATTACTATTGAATAGACAAAAAATATCCCATTGGCCTCAAGCGCATAACAAATAGTCCTTAAGCCACGACAACATGTCCAATTAATTTGAAAAGATCCCTTTATCGAGTAGAGTGCAATAAAAAAAAGTATCTTTAAAAAATAATATTAAAAAATAATATATAATAAAGAAATGTATCGTTATTTTTTTTTGTAAGAATACATTTACATCTTACTTATTAATTATTTACCTTTGCCATCTCCAATGAGACTTTCAACACTTTCCCTGCAAATAGGTCCGTTTTTTGATACTGTGCATGACTCCAAACCTATAGAGCTGTAAGGACCGAGTAGTTCTGTTTGCTTCAGCAGTATTATAAGTGTTGGGTTAACCACTGGCAGTGGATTAGCCGGTGGCCGGTATAAGAAGTCAGTCTGTCATAGTAAAAAAAAGAGACAATAGTAATCCCTTAATGTCTAATATCTCTATATATTATTTTAAAAATTCTAGCACATATCTCCCCTTCCCCCCACACACGCAATATATTTAGATGTCGATTCTATTACACCGCTTTGAGCCTTTATTAAACCGATCACTGTTGCTGTAAAAACGAACCGTCGGTACCCGTTACAAGTGAATTATAGGCCTATATATTTCTGATGTTATACGTATTTAAAAAAAATAATTCTAAAATAGTTATTGGTCAAAACGCACCACTACACGTTGAGATATTAGTGAAAAAGCAAAGAAATAACTTAAAAAAAACAGCGCATTTAAAATAACAAAAGCTACCAATACTTATTAGAAAAAAACAAATTATATACATTTTAGTCAACACAACATCGTATTAAATGCACACACTGATCACAAGACTTAAAATTAATAGACTTAAATAGATTTCGTTAAAATCCCGAATGTTCATGGGTATTAATGTTGTTTTTTAAAGTAATGTGTGTTACTTTGGCCTAGAAATTGAATATATTTCATAGCGTACGTTTTGATAAGTAGATCTAGAGATCTAAATCAAATTTGAATGAAATAGTTCCTTTCTTCATATTCTAAAATTGGAAGATAACGCCATTAGTTTTGTGTTATTTCCGTAGTTTTAAACATGTGGCATAAGACGTCATTGTTTCGTGCGTTCTTTTCACAACACTAAACGCTTTTCCGGTTTTATAATTAAAAGTGTGTTTCTACATTTTAATATGCCTTCATTTTTATTTTCATTCTTTAAATAAAATTTATTTTATACATTTAAAAAATCCACCATATTATTTTCGAACCCTTCATTTCATGTTGTATCAATTTTGCTACAAAGTGAAACAACCACCAATAAATCTACATAAATGTTAAAATCTGAGTTTTTAATATGCCATACTCTAGCTTGATCACTTTTAACCCAAATTCATACCCGAAACAGACTATAGGTGTATTTCGTTTCACACAATTCGAGTTTGATTTTTTTACACTGGTCGGACAGCTGTGATCGAGGTTTTTTTTTTTAGAAAATAATAAAAATTCACAGACCGTGTTTTTCTCTTCTTGAAAAAAATATTTACCAATCTCAGGTGAGTAATTTTACCTAAAAATAAGTTGTTTGCATACCATTTCTTTATATTTGTTTAAGTTCTCCATATCATATCACTGAACATACTGCTCACATCGCCTAAAAAAACTTGCGGACTGAGAGAGAGAGAGAGAGAGAGAGAGAGAGAGAGAGAGAGAGAGAGAGAGAGAGAGAGAGAGAGAGAGAGAGAGAGAGAGAAGTGTGCACACGGGCTTTTATATATTAGGATTCTGCTAACTTAAACAGTAGTGAACGATATATTAAATTGGCCGCCTTTGCGGGGTTCGCTCCGCGTTACGCTTAATCTTTAGCCTAGGTGGCACGTGATCTAAAAAAAAACAGATAGCAGGACTGCCCGATATTATTTTTCGTGGTAACAATTTAATGTTGACATAGAGTCTAGATCTAGATCGAGTTTAAGTGTATTTATATTATTTCAACACCTAAGAGTCTAGTACTTGTAAAAAAACAGTCCAGTTTAGTGTCAATCAGTGGGTCAGATGATAGTCATATAGTCATAAATCTATCAGCAATCTAGATCTAGGTAAATCAAACTGTCCTTTAACTTTAACCTTTAGGCCTATCTATCTAGCATGCGTGATAGTAGATCTAAGCCTATATTATTTTTACCCTATGTGAACTTAAAAAAAAAGTTTTCAATTTGCTTGAGTGGGTGGGGGTGGGAGGAAGACAGACGATCTCGTGAGCTTGTGTTCATTCTATGACGTATGCTTTAGGCCTGCTGAACTCACAGTGACCTCGCCAGTGACAATGTTTGGAAATTTTATATTAAAAAAAACTAATCATAGTCTACGTCATATTTAAATATGAAAAAAAATTTTAAACAAAAAAAAACTAGTACCAGCCGAGCTAACCCCCGATTCGAACTCGGAACTCCGCATCTATGAACTACAGTCTCCAGCTGGCACACTGTTGACTCAACCACACCGGATGCGAGACTTGTGCAAAAAGTAAGCAATTTTTTTTTTATTATTTTTTTTTAAATTATTTCAACTGCAAGATGGCAAATCCAACCTGCGAGACGCGTAGTCTATTCCTTAGGGGCCACGCTCTGCGAGATGCGTAGTCACTTCGTATTAAATTCCATTTTTTTTGCTGTTTTTATGCCATGTTTATACGAACAATTTTAAATATTGAAAGCAGTATGCGTTAGCAAGATTTACCGTTAAAACTTAGGTTTGTTACTTGTATGATAATATTCTTGCTGTTTTTGGATTTATATAACATTTAAATAAAATACTAACAAAGCAATAGATATGTGCAATCTATATATATAATTCTCTTCTGGGAGCCTTTAGAAAACAAGCTGTAAGCGCGCCTTGCAGTCCCCTCTCTTCCTCTCTATCGCTACCACCCCCCACCCCCTCACATGGCCTGCTGAGCTGTGGTTCACGCTGTTTACATTTTACAATCATAGAGACGGGTTTGGTGACGGCTATTAGGGGCAGATAATTTAGTTTGAAACGATTTTAAACTTAGAGGAGGTAACTAAGAGGAGGCTGCTTTCACGCGAGAGGGGGGGGGGGAAGGGGGGTTTAGTGTTTTTAAGCAAATTTTTTCAGTGGCATTATTGGTACTGTCGAATTCACAAATTATAAATTACTGAAAAGTAGAAAAAAAAAACAACTAAATAGCGGCGTATGATACGCAGCGGGTCGGCTCGTACTATTTATATTAAATATGTTTAACTGTGTTTAAACACTTGGGTAAGTAAAATAAAGGAAAAATAGTGTGTTATTATGTAGTTTATTATCTCACTTAAACTTTGGTAAATTTTTAAAAAGATACATAAATTATTTACCTGCCCTTCAAAACGTCCGTTGGTGTACTGAATATCATGCCAAATTCCCTTAACCACAAGATGGCCGACATCATAAATAATTAGCGAGTAGGTGCCGTTTTCTTTTGGACTCCAGTTTACTTTCGGCCGACTGCGATAGATTTCTGCTCCGCGCTGGAAAATGAATGATGCTGCTAACATAACATAATATTTTTTTTCTTCCTATGTACAGTTTATTCTTATTTAGTTTTATAATGTAATTATTATTTTAGTAACTGAAATTAGCTTAAATGTAAAGAAAACGACTAATAAGTATGCAATTAAAGTCGTTTCTACATACGCACATTTACAATGCAAAACGATTGCAATATTTTTTAGGGTTTGAGTGGTTTTGCAATGTCAGTGAACAAATAATTGGCCTTAAGGCGAGCGGATAAATAACTTTCTAGCAATAGCCCTAGATCCAAGAGCAACAAGTTTGAACAGTCATGTGTGCGAGATTTAAGCCATTTCTACACACACACATTTACAATGCAAAAAAAAATCCACGAAAATTTAAAAAAGCAAATATTGAATTTAAATAAACCGGGAGTGATCTCCCCTAAACTTTCTCGAATATACTTATATGATACAACAGCGACTGGAACGCGAGGTATAGATATAGACGTGACATGTAATCCATTCTAAATACTTAAACTTTTTAAAATAGAATAAAATCTCGTAGAAAAAAGAATTGCACACCAAGTGTACGCCAAATAAAATGTGCATAATAGTGCGGAATATTATTAGAACCTTATAAATTTATTTGCGTTTTTTGAGAAATCGGAAATAACGTAAATTACTACTTCTGGTTAACAGAAATTACTCAAAATTTGAAAGAAGGCAGAAAATTAGATAATTTACTTACGTGTGAAATTTCGATTATCTATCTGAAATAGTACTCAAGTTATAGGCTTTAGAAAAATCCAAAGTAGAAAAAGTTCCACTTCCGGTTATTGGAAATTGCTCAAAAGTTGATACATATCTACGATTTTGATGCGATACTTATATATGAAATTTCTTCAACCTAGCTGTAACGGTACCCAAGTTATCGTGTTTACAGACACAGACACACATACAAACATACGGACAAGATTGCAAAACTATGTTTTTCCTACTCGGGGAGCTGTAAAACGTCGAGATTTGCAAAAAGTCTCGATTTTTTTTGCACGATTACAAGACTTTCTCTATACGTCGTATATAGGAAAAAGTAAAAATCACATTTTATTCATCTTACCTCTAACAAAGACTGGACTGGATGGCCATTGTCCGGCAATTTGAAGGCCTTGACTTCATCCATCATTTGGGCTTTCCCACACACATCAACAGCTTCTGATAACAATGATTGTTGTATAATTAATTAGGGCATTACAATCTACATCCAAAGATTACATCAAAGACTTTTTTAAAAATAATTTTGGAATTGTTATATATGACTTGTTTTAATAAAAAAAATGGATTACATAAAAGATACAAAAGTTATATAGCACAGATGTTGCTTTATAATAGGGTTTTAAATGGTTACAATATAATAAATACATATCAACTTAATACCTACCTTTAGGGCTTGAAAAAATCACTTCTAAATCAGTCGTTAGATCTAAGCTTTCTGGTAGTCCCGCTCTCTGTAAGATGGACTCGGGCACTGGTCTTCAAATTATTGAAAACATTTAAAACATAATTTAAAAAACCATACATTTCAAAAGTTTATCGAACAGTGGGTATAAATGAACTATATTTATAATTTCACTAGGTAACCATAAAACAAAATAAAAACTGACACTGTGATACTTAAGACAGCATGCACTATTTTAATGTATGGAGACGGCGTGGTAGAATGGTATATCATTTAGCTTATAAACGAACGTCTAGAGTTATGTTGGAATTGTGAGCGTAGGACGTCACTGAGTCCATCTAGCTTTGATTAGTACCTAGCTTACGTTGCGAAAAGTAAAGAATGATTGGGCATTCTGCTGACCTTTCATATGCCGAGGTCATGAAAATATGAGCTCTACTGTATCTGCCCAATAGATCGCTAGGTCTAAAGAGGAATCTGTACTTAAACAACATTATTAATAACAATTGTTTCTTTAGTCCAGTATGCCATTCACAAATTACAAGCTTGGGTAGTGTGGCGGGCAGGTAAATCTACTTCGGATTTTTTATGGTGCTAGCTTAGTTTATAACAGAAGTAACATGTTTAATAACGTATAGGCCTGACTTTAATTGCAACAGAAAATAGCATGTTAAAGTGTTGGCCTACCGTCAATAGTAACCGAAAATAGCATAATTAAGTATAGGTCTACCTAAAATTCAAACAGAAAGTCGGATTAACTCTAAAATCAGGACACAAATTTTTATAACAGTCACCAAACCAAGGCCATGTCTTGTCTTTCAGCCTTTCTAGAAGTTGAGTGCGATCTAAAAATAGAAAATTTGATATGCTTTTAATATTTTAGGAAAATGTTATGTCTTTAGAATTACTACTTAGTATTTTCAAACTAGGTTGGACTATTTACTGAAGTCTACTTTTATTTTTATTCAATATTTTACTTTAAATATTCTGATAAGTGCAATTTTGAACAAGTTCAGAAAGTACAGGTGTAAATAATTTAAAGATATAGCCCCCTTTTAAATTACTTTTCCTATAATATCCCTCCCCCTATCGCATTTTCCACTTGTCAATAACTTTTCTTTGTTTTTGTTTTCGTAACCAGATTCCTAATCTATTTTAGGAAAACAAAAACTAGACTGTTTCGGCTTGATTTTTTTTTAATTTTCTAAAATATTAATAAAAACAAATATATTTAGATATACGAAGGCTATGGACAGGAGTCTAGAAAGAAAAGCAGACGGAAGTCGGAGTCAATAGGCCAAATGGCTCAAACCAACTTGGCTATCAATGTTAGAGAAAATCCTACTCTAATATGTCGAATTTTACAAAGAAGAATGAAGAAAAAATTGTACGACATATGATTTTGAAATCAAATACCTAAGCTAAGGTTTTTAATAACATTGCTAACCCGTTTGATGTCATTCTATAGTGCCCTACGTGGGGACGAAGTTGTCTAGTTGTAGCTTAAGAACTCGAAAGGCCAGAGTTCGCTTCCTGGGTCAACTGACCTGACTAGATCTACCCCATATTTCAAAACCAGGTTGAGACGGAAATGACCGTATACACAGACGTACAAACTAGATCTACATCATTTATTCAGCATCAGCTTTATATTATGTTTTACCTGCAACAGCTACTTTAGAGAGTGTAAAGGCTGTAATAACAATCAGAGTAAACGAACGGCCTTTGAATATTTTTACAAGTACATCCATCTTTAATCTGTTTTATGCGAATAGCATGTTCACAAATGATGCTTAAAAGTATTAGCAACAATTTATGAGTTCCGCAGCAAAGTGCGTAATTATAAACTTAGGTAATTAACACGATACTGAAATAATATAATCTCGTAATCAACTGTCCCTATGGTATTAGTGTGTCGTATTACTTTTCCCTAGCATCTGTAGGCTTGAATATTCATTATTTACAACTAAACATTCTATATTATACATATATTTTCAATTTTAGAACGTCTGTCCGTAGAGATATAAAATACTTAATTTGTTTTTAAATACTTTCTTTCCAAGAAAATTTAAATTTTTACTTTTTAAAATTTGTATCGAGGCTATAGGCCTACATATATTACATTCTCGTTTATAGGACCTATAGAGAAAGTCTTGTAATCATGCAAAAAAAAACGAGATTTTTGCAAATCTCGAAGTTTTACACCTCCCTGAGTCGGAAAAACATACTTTTGCAATCTTGTCCGTATGTCTGTGTGTGTGTATGTGTGTGTGTGTGTGTGTCTGTGTCTGTAAACACGATAACTTGAGTACAGTTACAGCTAGGTTGATGAAATTTCACAGATAAGTATTATATCAAAATCGTAGATGCGTATCAACTTTTGATCGATTTCCGATAACCGGAAGTGAAATTTTTTCTACTTTGAATTTTTACAGTTATTGCACATCATTTTGTTGGTACAGCGTGTACACATCTTTAACTTCTCCCAGAGGCTAACTCGGCCTTTTTTTCCTTCGGCGTTGAGGATGTCGGTCCACATGACCTGTCTCCACAATATTCGGTTTGGACCAGCTGCACCCACATGTGTTCATTTATGTCTGCTTGCCTTGGATTTGTTCATACACACCTCTTTAATTTAAAATGGGCGTCCCTTGGGGTCCAGTTCCGCTGGTAAGAACCCAGGATATCTTTGGTATTCGGACGTCAGGCATGCGGCAGATATGAGCCAGCCAACTCAGTCTTCACTGGGATAAAATTCCCTCTGCAATGCGGGAGTATTTGTGCGATATTGTGGGGTACGTTTTTCGTCGTCAGGGTGATACGCTCCCTTTGATAGTATAAACTTAGTATGAAAAATTAGTATGCAATTAGGCACCACATTTAGAATAGGCCTAAGACTAACTGCACAGTTTGCCCCTAGGGACGTTGTTTATAACGCGTGTCCCTTGATGGATAAAGCAAATCTACTTGAAAATAATATTTAGCTTCATTATGGGGGAGCGTGGACTAAGCGATTTGAATACATACATACGAATACAAATATGAAAATTAATCACGAGTTACCTTACTGTTGGGTTTTATTGAAATCAAGAGTAACATAAATGCATATGAATCGTATGTATACATTTATTATTTTTAAAATAATGTTTTTTACATTATTCGCAGTAACACTCTGAATATAATCTTCAAACATAAATTTTAAATATTTTCATGTGCTTATATTAAGATTTTCATATAATATAACTCCAGGTTACATTTGATTTAAAATAATTCTTTATATCATTTATTCAAAACTAATAGCTTAGCCTAAAACGAATACGTATGTCATCCAAACGTGTTAAGTTTTTACTTAAATAGTCAAAGCAAAATTGATTTCTTTCTACGGGCAAATTATTTGACAGTGACCTAACTTCCCACGGCATCTTATATTCATGCAGAGCCTGTCGAAGCGTGTATCACACAGGGGCATTATTGTATAAATATTTGGATTTGTTTTTGTCTTGTTGTTCTTGCTGCAAGGAACTAACTCAGCTGTTTTTTTTTCAATAAATAAACCTGGATTCGAAATCGAGACTTTCTGGTTAGCAAAAAATTTTGCTTTGAAATATTTTGTCTGAGAAATTTTGTCTGAGATCAATTGACCATGGTATCATTTGTCCTGATATATTTTGTCCTGGTATCTTTTGTCCGTGAGATCATTTGTCCTTGAGATCATTTGTCCTGAGATCATTTGTCCTGAGATCATTTGTCCGCGAGATATTTTGTCTGAGATATTTTGTCTGAGATCATTTGTCCTGAGATCATTTATCCTGTCATTTTTCATTTGATATATATGCAAATTTATTCATATATTTTGCAATTTTTTTGTCTTGATGTCACCTCCCACTAAATGGTGCCTCGGCCCTGCATACAATAGTTAAGTAAACTTTGTGAGTTTTAGTTTTAATGTGACGAGGTGATTAGTTGTCATGTTTTGATATGATTTATTTTGTTCGGTTTTTTTTTTGGTATAGTTGTCGAGTAATGATTAAGCCATTTAGGCCTAATATGAAGTTAAAAGTTTTGCAAGCGGTTCCTTCAATTTTTTTTACATTTGAATATCGTTATCATTCGTTGATTAGTTTATTTTTTAGATCTAGTTAAGGTAATGAGTTAACCACTGTTAATTTAGCTGTAATTGCACAGACACCTGTCTCGAGTAAAAAAAAAATGCAACAAGCGTGTCAAAAACATGTCAAAAACATGTCAAAAACATGTCAAAAACATGTCAAAAACATGTCAAAAACAGTGTTTTACCAACAAGTCCGAACTCTTTCGCCCCTGACGTTAGGTTCATTCATTTTTCACTGACCACACATAAATACAGTGAGTTAAAGTTACCCTTTCGGATCTAGCGATCCATGCGGCAGATGAAGTAGAGTGAACCTATTTATGTGACCTAGGCATTTACCGGAATGGTGTTGAGAGTCTCTTACTTTTTAAATATGTGTCAGGTACCCATTCGAGCTGGTTGGACTCAGGGACGTGCTATGAACTGGAGACTTTCTGGTTAGCAGTCAATTAACCGGCCCCATAGATTCAGGTAGAGCTAAGTGCATTAGACCTGGTCACGGATGGGAGTTCAAAATAAATTATAGAAGTGCTATGAGCTCCAAGAGTGCTTAAACTGTAATGTTTATGCATATTATGCATTTCATTTTTTTAAAAACAATGATAACGTTCATGATTTGTGCATACATACATTTTTTTTAATACACTGACCATCGAAATTAGCGTATTTCAAATAAGCATTAGTTGACCTTATTTAATTAAAAATTAATAAGACACATTATTCTGTATTGATTTTTATCAGTTCGTTATTAAATAAAGTGAATTCTATTAAAAATGTCTTTTAATATGCATCCTTTTTAGACAATCACTAGAATTTTAAACATCTAACATACCCTTATACGAAAACTCTAAATACTGGTATAGAATAACCCCTAGTGCATTAGGATTGTCTTATAGTTTTTAAAAAAGTTATTTGTTGGGCTTTTTTTTAATATTGTTATTATTTGAATCTACTTGAACCGTTTGCTGGAAAAAAAACTAAGAAGAATAAGAAACAAACTGCCCTTCCGATTACATTTTGATTGTCATGAACTAACAATGTACAGCAAGAAGCATAAACCATCCATATGCTTTAGCTTTAACGAAACAAATTTTAAAAAAAAACGAAAACTAAAAGACAAATGAGGATTTTTTTTATATTTCTAAGACTCTAATTTACAGCTTCATTACAACCCACATATGAGAGGGTTTCCATGCAAGTTTCTCTACCACTTTCACAAAGACAGACATTCTGCGTGGAGCTTTGCTTGGTGGACGATTCTTTTGTTCCTTTAAAGTTAGAGTCTTTCTCTTCTATCCTGTAACATATATATGAAAAATGTATGGTAATATTTTTAAAAATCTGAACAGTCAATACGAAAGAGCTTATTTGGCAAGCAAGTAAACCTCGTAGTTCTCTTCAAGCTTAAACTAACTTATAAAGGGATGTATAATATACGTTCAACAATATTTCTCAGTCCGAATTAAAGTAATTATTCATGCACAAGATAGCACAGCCATTTATATCAATATGGGGGGTGACAGGACAAATGATCTCAGGACAAATTATCTCAGACAAAATATCTCAGACAAAATATCTCACGGACAAATGATCTCAAGACAAATGATCTCAGGACAAATGATCTCAAGGACAAATGATCTCACGGACAAAAGATACCAGGACAAAATATATCAAGACAAATGATACCACGGACAATAGATCTCAGACAAAATATCTCAGACAAAATATCTCACACCTAAATTGTAATAGTGTATTGTATAATTTTAGTTGATCTGAATTTTTTTGTATTGACTGTCTTATGGTTCTGTTTACTATGTTTAATATTATTTATAGGCCTATATAATAATTGTAAGAAATGTTTGCCATATAAATTTGTCATATTGCACTAAACATTTTAAGGTTAGTATTAGTAATGTAGTATACCAAGATTAAAGAAATAATTTCGAAAGACAGCGTAGGTGTGCTTGACAAGCGTCAGACAATCCTACCACGTCAGGTGGACGAAACTAGATCAAAGGGGATGGAATAACAATTAAGACACACCTTCGTATCAAGGTGGCAGCCCGCTTTCCTTAATGGAATGACATCCGCCCTCCATGGACAATACGACTAGCATATAAAGTCCATTGTAATGCGTCGGTCACACCTTAGTGATCAGGTGACTAATGCTTATTTAATCGACAGCGGTCATCGCGGAGCTGAGTATGTCGTAACAAAGCAGTATTAATGGTGATTGCTTTGCTATGGTCTCTTTCGTTACCTCGCAGAAAGTTATTAGGACATTAGTTTCTGGTGATTTTATATTTGCCATACGCAGGCAAAGAGATTTAGAAATGTGAAATTAGGACATGTCGAGCAAGAGTTCACACAATAGATGATCACCTAGAATTGGAGAGGTGTGATCATAACGATGTACCTACGAGAAAAGAAACTTACACGTTATGTTTGTGTTGATAATGTAATAAAAACAATAGTTTAACGTTACGAACCTTAAGACCCATTCACATTTTTGAAAGATATTTCGCGTGATATGAACATTAATGTTCTATAGCTACCGTTACTTTATTTGTTTTATACATTATCATTTATTATACCTTTCAGGCTAAAAGAGTAAGTTTGTTTTAATTTTTACTTTTTCAAATCAAATTCTACTATAATTGCTTATTACACCTTTTGATGGTTTGTTAGGTTTCACTAATTCATTTTATTCACAATTATTATACGTAAAAAAGTAAACAAAACCATATTAACAGTCAATAAAAAAAGTTCAACTAAAGTCATCGTAAATACTATTAAAATTTCGATGTGAGATATTTTGTCTGAGATATTTTGTCTGAGATAATTTGTCCATGATATCATTTGTCCTGATATATTTTGTCCTGGTATCTTTTGTCCGTGAGATCATTTGTCCTTGAGATCATTTGTCCTGAGATCATTTGTCCTGAGATCATTTGTCCGTGAGATATTTTTTCTGAGATATTTTGTCTGAGATCATTTGTCCTGAGATCATTTGTCATGGAACCATATGGGGATAATTTTAATTTTATGGAAAACTTACAAGAAAGTCTTCATGGCATCTTGGGCATTCTCATTCTTTTTAATGGCACAGAACCCTGAAAATGCACAGGAAACCCATTTTTATAAGGCATATGAAATAAGTATTTTAATTATTGCAATATGGAATCTTTGACTTTTTAATACCAAGTAGTATTGTCAAATCTTGATTGTTAAAATTTTAAGTTTTTTCAATGTCAGTTTCTAATTGATAGAAAAATCGGTATAACAATGAAACTATTTTATTATTCACTACAAAGACAAAGAAACTGTTGAATTATAATCTAGAAAGTTTGTTTTTTTGTATGTTTTAAAGTTAAAGTTTTAATGTGCATAAAAAGGTTTGATATTTAATAATCAAAATAATTTGTATTCATCTCAGTTTGGTTTTTTGCAAAAAATTAATAAATTTTATTTTAAGAATGTAAGTTTTAATGCACATAATGCAGTTTGATATTTAAAAACCAAACTACTTTGTAAACAACCCCGTTTGCTTCATAAATGTGTTGTCCTAAAGATACAATTTCATGGAAACACAATTGAGTGAAAAAAAATGAAATAACATACTTTATGAAGAAAAGATTATTCTTGATTATTAATTTCGAGTTTTATAAAGACTGACTTACGATGTTAGTCAGTTATTATATAGGATGCACTACGCCACATACACCGATCTCTCACCATGTACATCTCCAATCGTGTTTAATCACAGAGTCACACGCGAAATCCCATCCACCCCTTCTGTAAATACCACAATCCTACTAAGTCAAATAACACATTTATCTTTCTTCTTCTTCTTCGTTCTTAATTTTAGTGTTGGAAGGGATCCCCCTTCAACACAATTAAGAATATGAGTCAACTGGTTATGCGCCATTAAGGCTATTGACTCCGATTTCAGCCTGCTTTTCTTTTTGGATTTGTCCAACCAAGAACAAACTACAAGGCAGCAGTTGTTTGATTTTGGAGTTGTCTCTCCTAGAAGAGTGGCTGTCTCCAGCTAACAAGCCTCAAGACTTTTTGGTTTAGCAACCATGAGCTTTACCGACTCGACCACGCCGACCCCTTAACACATTTATAAAAACTATCCTATTTTGTATTAAAAACTTATAGTTTTTACGCAATGCTGCATTCTTTTTTCTAAGAGATTCTATTATATTTTTAAAAGTTTAAGTAATTAAAAATGGATTAAAAATCATGTCTATATCTCGAGTTGCCATCCCCTGTTGTTTTATATAAGAATATTCGAGAAAGTTTAGGGGATATCACTGCCGGTTTATGTTATAATGTTATAGGAGTTGAGAATTATGTTTTATAAAAAAGTTACTTGTCAAAGTGCAAAATTCTTCAATACGCGTTGAACAATATTAGTGACACAGCAAAAAAATAACTAAATAGCTAAAAATCTGACACATAAAATATTATAGGCTGCCTATACCTATTAGCAAAAAAATTAAAAACAAAATTATATACATTATTAAAAATTGTTTAAATTTCATAGCATATATCTTAAAGATACAAACTTAAATGAAATAGTTCATTTTTTCCAATTAAGATTTTGGAAGATGTGGGAAGTGATGACGTCGTTAGTATTGTTTTTCATTTTTGACATTTTAAGTATATCTTTTATCCTACATTCAATGACGCCGTTAGTGTCGTGTAGTTTCCGCAGTTTAAACTTTTTATTGATATTGTTTCATAATGATATTTTTCTTTTTGTTTCATGTGAGGTCTTTTTTTTGCTATTGATAGTTTTTGTGCTACTTATATGCTCGCTATGGTGTTCTTACCACAATCAGACATACTTATTTGGATGCATAATTAAAGATGTGTTTCTACATTCAAATATGCCTTTATTTTCATTTCCGTCTTTAAATAAAGTTTAGTACATTCAACATATTATGTTTAACATAAGTTTTTTAAGATCTCCATGTATTGTTTAAGGTTCTGATATCATAGGCTTGGAAAATATTTTGCGGACAGAGAGAGAAGTGCGCATATGGGCTTTTATATACATATATAGGATAAGAATTGACCCAAATCATGACTCAGCTTTTATTAATTACTTTTTTTTGTAATGAAAATTTTTGTAAATATTTGAATTAAGTTACAAACTAACGCAGACACACATATATGTTGATGTACTTGTTTATATTTGGAAAAAATTGATACAGTACAGGTAAGCAATGAAACACTACAGAATGAGAGTAAGAAGTTACTACATAAAATAAGGAACTCTAATTAAACTGTGTAAAACTACGTAAGTGTTGGTTAAAATTTCAAAGCATAAGTTATTTTTTAAAAATACATTTTTGAAAAACTTGAAGCTTACCTTTAACTTGCTTATAGTTTGATGGTAAAGACGAGATAGATACTGTTAGTGAAAATCCTGTGTCTTCCAGCTTTACTTTAACAGAGTCACCATTAGGCAAGAGCACCTATAAAATATAAATAGAAAATATAGAAACAAACCTATTGATTTTAGTGTGCAATTAGCTAAAGTAGCCTTTTGATAGCTAAAGGGTTTTTTAAAGAAAAATATAATAATATCTTTGTTTCTAAAAATCGTATTAGTATACAAAATAAGTCTAGTCATTACCTCATACTCTTTTTCATTTAATTTAGTAATTCTGGTACCCTTTATTAATTTTTTTCTGAAATCATCTCGTGGCACCAACAATTTGCCTATGTAATCTTCTTCTTCAAGTATTCCATCATTTGCACTGCAATAAACAAAATATAAGTTACAATAAAATGATCCTAAAAACAACAATTTTAAAGCAAACTAACATCTAGTAATAACGTTTTATGCCTAGAAAAAGCGATAATTGTTAACTCAGCATTAAAGATTTTTATAAATCTGATACTATCAATAGTAAAGTAAGCAAATTAATCCATTTTTCGTACGATTTTCTTCTTTCTTCTTGACTTAGTCCTCTTTGCTCCTTATGGAACATAAGACCTCCACCATTTCCTTCCATTTCTTTCGATCCCCGGCTATTAATCTTGCCATCTCCCAAGACATCCCTGTTGGCTTCAGTTCTTCAAGAAGGTCTGTCTTGGGCGCCTTCTCTTCCGCTTTCCCTGGGGGTTCCACTCAAGCGCTTGGCATGAAACATTTGGGTGAGCATTTCGTAGTGTGTGACCCACCCAGCGCCACTTTCTTCTTCTTATTTGCACACCTATAGGCTCCTGCCTAGCGTTCCTCCATAATTCTATGTTCTTAGTCCTGCCATCTCAATTTCAATATCTAAGGCATCTACTTCTTCGTTCTTAATTTTTAGTGTTGGAAGCGATCGAGCCTTATCTGCAAGAGGGTTTGAACTCGAGACTTTTTCGAATTTAACAACCATGAGCTTTGCCGACTCGACCAGGCCTCCAGCACAATTAAGTATATGTGTCAACTGGTTACTCGCCATTGAGGCCATTGACTCCGATTTCAGCCTGCTTTTCTTTTTGGATTTGCTTCCATAGCTTTTGTCCAACCAAGAACAAACTACAAGGCAGCAGTTGTTTGATTTTAGAGTTGTCTCTCCTAGAAGAGTGGCTGTCCCCAGCCGTCGAGTCTCATTTTTAACTACCCATATCTGTTTATTCTTAAATATGCCTTTGCTTCTGCCATATCCTCAGCGTTCACATTTTCGACCACCTTCCAGTAAATGGACATTTCTGAGATGTTTTCGGCAACTTTTTCAGTGTGTCTTGAGCCTCCTCTGGAATAAAAGCTCTCCAATAGTAACCTGGTCAATAAATGCATCCAAAGCTGCAATTCCATGTGATAAACTGACTTTTAAAGGTACGAACTTCCGTTCCACAGAAATAGACGACAAGCTTATCTCATTCTTTTATCTACTCCCAATTCTGATCTTAGTTTCCCGTAACACACATCTGTGACAGCCGCGAATGGCCCTGGAAACACTTCTTTGCTGCACCCTTGCTTACTAACATTAAGAACTAGAGTGCCTATATTTTCAACAGAATATACAAAATAACAGAAAACCTTCCTCTACCATAAACTCCGACATATGTAGTAACATCCTCTTCCACCTCCCAAATTAAAGGAATAGAGCAGGAGGTATTGAGTACTATGTTAATATTTAGAATAAATTTATGAAAGTTTAGTTGCATATTACCTTATACTTTTAAATTATCACAGTCCCTTCTAAAGCCTATATATAAGTATAAATACTAATTGACCTGTAATAATAGGTTCATTTTAAAAAGTTTTTTGTTAATTTTCACTTACATAAATACAATAACTTGGTCCATAATTTGAATGCTGACTGCTTGATTGCAGCCAACTTGAACAAATACGATCCGTCTGGCCTTGTACTGAAATAGTCCCCAAAAAACAGGAACTGATTCCGTTCTGATTTCTCCAATGACACATTGTATATGTTTTGTTCGAACCTGTAGTAATTTTTTTAACAGTTGTGGTGAGAAACAAAGGAACAAATAAGGGTGTGCTGTTATTGAGCAAGTTTTAAATTCTGTACATTCGTGTAGTTGACCATAAACTAGAGATAAATAGCTCCATGGTCGTAGATAATTGGATAATTGTGTCTAGAGAATCAGAGTGTATGTCCTGAGCAGTAAGTTCAGAAAAGCTAGATGGTGCTTATGTATCAGATACCCCCCTCCCTTGCCTCTCTCCACACAGCTGATGGTCCTTACCTATCAGAGGCGTAGCGACCCTTCCCTGCGCCCGGGGACACACTTTTTGATTTGCACCCCCCCCCCCCTCAAGATTTTGATTTGCACACACCCCTCAAACTTTCGATTTGTACCCCTATTACGAAACACCACTCTATCAGCCACAGAGTTGGCGAACGTACCCGGGTTCGTTTAGATGGTTATACACAGATAGCTTAAAGCCCTATAAAAGATAGCTGGCACAACAGTTAACGAGGACACGTACTTAACGTCTAGGGGATACACTCGATGAACTCCTGATACCAACAACACATTTAATCCATATATAACTTTTAATGTGTACAAATTCAAGATAAGACTCTAGCTTTATACAGAATAAAATGGATGAGTAGAATAACAAAAACCCAACTTACAAGTTGAAGAAAAAACACTGTTACACTATCACAGGATATGGCACTTAGGAAAATCACCACAGCTTATACGACACTACTTAAAGCACAAAATATTACTTAAAACCACAAGTAATAAGGAAAAAACTGCTTAAAAACTATAGGCTACAAAATAGCGACACTCAAGGCTTTCTCTCTCAAAGAGGTCTGGTCTGACTTGCTGCTATGGACTGCTGCGGTCGGCTGCTCGCAGAAACCTGTGCGCAGACTATTTGACACCTGAGGTCTCATGGGAGGTCACCTTCAAAACAAGAGACTATTGGTTGGGACATCTCCGATGTCCGAATCAACCAATCGAAAGTATAAAAGTATTGCACCTCTTCTCGAGATGGAAAAGTACTGGGTATATGTCTTTTTAAAACTATGGAAAAATACCTGTGGTTGCACCACCAGTCACTCATGGTTGAGTAATAAAAGTCAAACTAAAAAACTACAATACCTAAGTAGGTCACACCCCCCCCCCCCTTCAAACTTTCGATTTGCACCCCCCTCAACCTTTCAATTTATTTTTCCATCCCATTTTGGCGCCCCCTAAGGTCGGCGTCCGGGGACATATGTCCCCCCCCCCCCCGCCCCCTCCCCCCCCCCTCGCTACGCTACTGTTACCTATACAAATTGGCGTGAGCTGTGTCGCAGAAGCTGCTGAAATGAAACCATAGGGTAATCCTATCATCTAAGGGGCTCTACTCCTATTTTACTTCAGAGTTTTCTCTCCAAGATGGGTTGTTTCCCCAGCTATTGATCCTTATCTGCACTCTCACACCAGACCATACACACCAGTAAAAATCACACTTTATTACTCACTCCAATCCTTAGACAAAAAAGGCAGGTCCTGACTCAACCAACATAATATGATTACATTCCGGCAAATAGCTACAATTGCGAATAATAATAAGATATTATCCGATAGCAATATTGACATATAGTATTGTTTCAATGCCAAAGGTAGACACAGGAACAGATTATATGCTTAGAAAAGTAAGTCATTTAAGTATAATGGTATCCGAGCCCACCACTCACTGAATAACCTCGTCTGCTGTGCATCAGGTCAGAAGTATTAACACCATGACCAATTAGCTCTACAAAAATATAGCATTCCTAACCATCCACATTCATAGCCTATGCCCGGAGGACAATGCCAGGCTTGACCTCTGACCGCAAAGGGTACTAACTGACCACCAATGGATCTCTGACCGCAAAGCGAACTAACTGACCACCAATGGACTATTAAAATTTAAACTACCAAATAGGTGTGTCACACAAACACACAAATAAACCCAAACACACACGCACACACACACACACATGGTCAGTAATACAGACAAAAAATGGCTTCCTTGAATTTACAATTTAGAGTAAACATGAAGAGAGTTGGCAGCATGGTTCCATGGCAGACCAAAACACTTTCAATCTGAACTGAACTCAACTTAAATACATCTTAAATATTCTTTATACTATAGCCATAGATTTTTGTAAGGTTGTAGTGAGACCTTTGGTTTAAGTGGTTGTAGTGAGACTATTAGCTGTAGAGAGATCTTAGTTTTAAATGATACCACAGCTAAGTAATAAAAAATACTGTTAAATTAATAAAAAGAACGTTGATAACTAACCTTAGTGTTTAGGAATTTATGCTCATACATTCTATACTCCCCTGTTAGGAGGTATGTAAACCTGAAATATTGGAGGTCAGAAACAATAAATGTTGCCTTCCATTATGTGGTCCATCTGGAGTGATTGTATGGGAGTGGGGGAGGGGGGGGGGAATTATAACCTTCCTGCCTCTTGCCATCATAATCCTAAACTCGACCATAAAGCTAACTCTGACCCTGATTATACCTTTACCTCTGAATCTAAAACAAATCATAAACCCGACTCTTAACTGTAACCATGACCTCCATAAGATGTATCAGCAAAAATACAAATATAAAAACCTTTAAAATAACAAGCCTTTAAATGGACTAAAAATAAAATAATAAAACGAATGTGCTTTTTTTAAAGAAAAGCATTGGCAGCTCAAATATGTAAGATTTCATGAGAGACCAACAGGGGTGGATTAAGCTTGTGAGGGGCCCCGGGCTGAAACTTTTTATGGGGTCCCTGATATATATACCACACACACACATACACACACACACACACAACACTAAGGGGCAAGATCCGCCATCGTCATCAGAAGACCCAACTAAATAAATAGCGGTTTATTTAGGACTATAGAAGTCTCCGACCTCTGAATCAGAACATAATAGCTATATGACTGTCATTCGAGCCTTTTTTGTCTTACATGTGTGAAAGCTGGAAATTCACACCAACATTACATTTTAATTACTAATTGTCTATCTAATTAGGTTAAAAATTAGGTATTCTCGCATTATCCTTTAAGAAGAAGGTATATGGAAAGTTTGAACTAAATGGCGGTTCCAGAATAGGGTCAAAATTAAGCTTTGACACATCCCACAAACAGACGTTGCAAATTAAATAAAAGCTTGTAATAAACTAGCACTATAGGCTTTTTTATAATTTTATTTAACACCAAATATAAAGGAATAATAAAACAAGTGTTTAAAAACTACTTTTGGTCAAAATTTAACTTACATTGTTTTGTCAAAAGTTTTGATATGTGGATCCGCTACAGATTCACATTTACTCATTTCCTCTTCAACTGGTTTTAGATTTATTATGGTTGGTTTTATACAGTTAATGTGCTGAAAAAGGAGATAAATGTAATGGACACCACTTTAGTGTATGTATTGTTTTTTTAGTGTAATAGATGGCATAGCAAAATTCTAGCCACATGTTATATATGTGAGCTGCAGATCAAGCATGTTTTTTTCACCAATTGTTTACAGTTAAAGAATGAGAATATAAAGGGAATATATGTATCAAAATAACAAACCATCATTTTTCCCAATCTATAATAAAAAAAAATCACCTTCTGATTAAATTTTAATTAAAATTGTTAAAAAATTGCTAATAATTACAAACTCACCTTATGCTTTTTTTCAGCATCATAATAAAAATCCAGAAAAACAGCTTGGTCTTTACCAATATTGTTGCTTATAAAGAAATTTGTGTTCTTTAAAACTTTGAACACTACCCCTGACTTCCAATTATCAGCAGTAAACTCATTGGTACAGCTGTCATATACCATAAGGGCTGATGTTGACGTCCTTTGTGGTGTTCTACTGCTGTATACACAATTATTACGTGAGAGAAAGTTTAAGAAATAGAAAAACAAATAAGTATATTATTTTTTTAATTCAAGTATTTTGTTTGATGGGATTTCTAGGGAAGTGTAAATTAATCGCTGCCATCATGTCTGCAGTTTTATGCTTTTAAAGCAGAAAGACTTCCTATAAAATCTAACGTTATGTTTTGATAAATCCTGCCAAGAGTAATATGCTAACCAGTAAAATGATTTAAGTTAAAGGATTAATTTTGATTGGAATTAGAGTAAGTATTTTAGTTTGGATTAAAGATCAACTTATACTTTTAGGCCAGAGAAAAGTTCCTTTTCAGCACACACACAAAAAGAGTAAAAATGTAGTTTAATTTACGAAAACTTGTTTTTTAATTTTTTAAAACCTTAACAGTGTTCAGGTCACATGAGCTTTTACAACTTAGATAAACTTCACCAACTAAGTTACTAACATAAATTACATTGAAATGCAAGTTATCATTTTGTGTTGTGTGTTAACAGAGGTGTGCATTAAACAGTTTTTATACAGGACAGACAGGGTTGTTTAGTACTGGGGAATGAGTAGACTGGGAAAATTGTAAAATTATAGGAAAGAGAGAGAATCTCGATTAGAGTATTATTTATATCTATGATGACGCTACTTACCGGCAGAGTTTAGTATTATTGAAAAACTCTATGCGTGCTGTTATAGGACAGGAAGTTTGATTCCGTATGCAGTACAAATCAGGAGGGTTGTTTAATTTCAAGGTTAGCTCTTGAAACTGGTTCACTTCAGATTCAGGTGGGATCATGGGACACTGACAAGATTCATGGCTTCCATTAGTAAAACTTATTGAATGTTCACATTATTATAATTTTTTTTTTAAATCTACTGAGATTTTTGTAACTAAAGAAACAAAAGAGTTCTAAAAATGCAATAATTTTTAATAGAACTTTCATTGTTTTAAAAAATGTACATTTTAAGTAACTTATTTTGTACTATTTATTACAATCTACAGAGAGTTTAGCTGCTTTAAAATATTAAGAAAAAGGAAGTTTCTCTCTCAGATCTGAGATATTAGGATTCACCTGCTTATGTGATATTATCATAATACGTTACAGTGTTGTTAGTTCTATGCCTGGCTGCTTTTACTTTGCTTAACTTGAGTCAGTTACTAATTAGAACTTGGTGGACCCAATAAGCATTCTATTGATTTTGGATTTGAGTAAGGGAATCAAACCTGAGATTTTTGGATTGGTAGTCATATGCTCTACCCATTAATCATAGCCTGTCTTTGATGTTATTATTTCAAATTTGTTATTGTTTTTTATAAGAAATCTTATACCTCAAAGCATAAATAGTTTGCTCTTTAATTTGATTGTCTTTAAAAACTATCTAAAATGTATTAGGGCATATTTTTCTTTTAATGAAATACAATGTAAAAAAAGAACAAAATATACTGCAAAAATAAAACTCTTAATAACTTACGATAAATCCAAAATTAATACTGTTATTGCTCCGGACCTCGTTACATGTGGGCATCAGAGTATTTGTAGGTTTGTAGTGGTAACTGCAGTACACCTGTTAATAAATATTACACACACTGATTCTCAGCATTTGGTCTTTGTTTTTATTTGTGTTACTGTTGAAACTTCAAACACCATATTACTATTTTGGTCTATACTATGTCTACTTATCAATTATTACACATGAAACAACATTGGTGTACTTAAAACATTGTATTTTAGACAGGAAATTTTTGTTTTAAGTACATTCTAAAAAGTGGTAAACTACCTTCTTCTCTGACAATCCTTCCTTCAGGTGCTCTGTGGAGAATCGTGCATTCTCGACTGCGTTCGTGTATGAAATAGCAGCTAGATGTTGAGGTTCTTCCTCTGCATACAGGCGATACTCCACCATCATGTTGTGAACATATTCAAACCCTTCAATGCTACACTTTAGAACATCTTTATTCAATGTAATTACAGCTTTTTTGTCTTGGCAGTTTTTGTTTGCTGTGTAAAAAAAAAAATTAAATGTCTAAACAACCTAAATCATACTAAAAATATTATTTTTATGTTTTACATTTAAGAAACCAAACATTTTACATTAATTATGTGTGTTTTCTTTTAAAACCTTTATAAATATTAAAACACAAAACAAAGCCAAACCAATATTGGCTAGACTTTGCTTTAAAAATCAAGCTTAACCCTTAAGCCAATCAATTTACATAGTTTCATAACTGTTACATCCTGAAAAACGAAAACCTAACCCTCAATTACAAATGAATATAGTTAATTTGAATTATATATATTTTTTTAAATAAACACACTGGGAAAAGTGCTGACCTCACTATCCCTTCAAATGTCGAGGTCAATGAATCAGATGAACTCCACGTCATTTGCCCCATGTGTCTTGTGCACGAACGGGATTTAGAAGAAGAAGAAATAAACACTTACCCTTAGCAATTGAAAACAGTTCAATACCTAATAGTAATATTAGGTAAACAAAACCCATGGCTGAAATACAATTAATGTTACATTAAGTGTTGTTTATTTACGAGACACGGCTAGTAATTAATTACATTAATGAATGAAAACATACATAAATCTACTATATTAATATAATAATTATAATTCAATACAATACTATCAATACTATATATATATATATATATATATATATATATATATATATATATATATATATATATATATATATATATATATCAGGTCTACATAGGCCTATATATATATAAAGTTGCAATTTGTGTCACCCACTCCCAATTGTCCAAAAGGCATGGGTCAATTTGTGCGCGCATTATATCAATCCACCGATTAACTAATGTGGAAAAAGCATCGTTTTCATCGTAAATTATTAGATTTTGGTGACACCACTTTCCCAGTCGTTGACTGACTTATTAGTTATCCCAAACACTCAATAAAATAATTTTTCCTCTGTAAATTGTGTATTTAGTATTACACTTCCCTCCTCCCCCCCCCCCCCCCCCCAACCACATCCTCGGGTGATAGTTTTAAAGTGTGCACATTTAATAGTTAAGATGTTTCTATATACAGTCAGTTATTAATATAGGTGGATTAAATCTAATTAATCCTTAATTGAACTAACAAAAAGCATATATTTTACAACCCTTCGCCATGGTATCACCCCCCTCTTAAATGGTGTCACCCGGTGCTGTCCGCACCCCCGCCCCCGCCTCAATACGCCTCTGATTACTATGATTACTTACACTTAAAAGAACATGTATTTAAATCTAGTTATATTACACGGAGAAAAATTCTATATTATGTGTCATGATAAGTTAGCATAAGCTTACATATTTAATACATTAACAGGTACCCTACTTTCATCATCCATTATTTCAGTGGCTAGAAAATATTTTTTTCATTCACGAACTGAATAAATGCAGTTTTCTAAAAGTTCTTTTTAATACTCTGCATAGCTATTTAAAGTCCTGTATTCAATATCTGACTAAAATTATCAGTAACTTTTGAATCTACAACTAATTTTAACATGATACAAATTTTCAAATAACTGAATTTTAATAGTCACACTACTTCTAACATTCCAACACTATCAAATCCTGTAATGTAAAAGTGTCAACGAAGTTAATGCCGAGACTGTCAACTTGGGGGTAATGGTAACGCTTTTTTTTTTTTTTTTTTTCTTAAATACTTTTATTTGCAATTAAAACAAGTACATCAACATCAAATTTTTTAACATAATTTTGAACACCAAATGAAAACGAAAGGTTTTGCAAATGTACATAATCAATATTTACATGATGTCATGTATTTGATTATAAAAAAATTGCAAAGGATGACAGTAAAAGGGGTGAAGGTCAAATGAAAGTGTCAGAAGTCTGGGTGGGGAGAGGAAAGGAAATTTTTCAGAGAGGGTCAATGGGACAGTGAAGCATTTTCTATGTAGGGAAACAACTTAAGTTGACTAGTTGAAAGGGTGTTGTAGTGGTCGCGTTGAGTTTTCAAAAGGTTGCAGTGTGAAAGATGAGGGGAAAGAAACAAGATTTAGAACTTTAAATAAGTTCTGGATATTGATGTTGCGGTGGGTGGTGGGGTCGTTGGAACAGTTAAAGGGATTGTGGGGTTATCATGTCTGGGGGTAAAGTGGATGGAGGGGGAGAGAGGAGGGGGTAGATTTTTTTTATTTTTATTAATTCAATTGTTTTAAACATTTAAATCACTAATAATAATATATTTGATAGATTTTACATAGCATCAAAGACATGAACAATGAACATCAATTGCATATATAATAATCAAAGGGAAAAAATAAAATGGCATAAGAACTAGATTAAAATAAGGTGTGCAAACTAGGTTTCTCTTCACTGCTTAGTTTAGTGTGCTGCGGAGTCAAAAGTTCACACTGTAGCCACCCATGGACAGAAATAGAAACGACTGTGGGAGAAGTGTCTCTGTAATCACGTACATTGTAATCATTCCAAAACTTTCCATGACATAAAATTGACCCTTGGCAATGAGGGCACGCTACCTTGAAATGTCCGCCAGTCCGGTTGAGTGGGGGGGGGGGGAAGTGTATATATATATATATATATATATATATATATATATATATATGTGTGTGTGTGTGTGTTACGGTCAAAGCCCGAAGTCGGCCAAAGCGTGCATTGGTCAATATAGCCCCTCATTGATCGGCCAAAGTCCGAAACTTTACTTCATTTCGGCATTTTGCCACCCAATCCGCGGACTGGCCATGGTGGACCGGCCAGTCCGAATTAGAAGATCATCTGGCTAGGGACAAAGTCCGAATTAGAAGATCATCTGGCGAGGGATGACCGGTCGAAGTCCGAATTAGAAGATCATGAGCAGATTGTTTTTTTTATACCGTAACGATCATAAAAATTAAGTCTTATTATAGTTGATTGTTATTTAAAATTACATTGTTATTTTTACGATTGCAGCGATTTGTTGTGCACTAGATTGTGCAATTGCAGCAAATGTAGCCTTGGCCGCCGGTCAGTGATTGTGAAGATGCGATAGTCCGTAGTGATTTACCTCAGTGCAAACGGGCGACAATGAGAGCAGTTTTTCGCGAAGAATCGAAAACTCACTTCTAGCTTATAGTTGTTTAACTACACCATGTTCCGTTCCTAGCTTGTAGAAAGCGCCCTCGAAGCTCATGCCAACTGCAATGACGCTTCGAGGATCACCGCGACCTCAGTCAACATTTGGAATATGGATGCGACCAGTATGTCCAACTTCAGCTTGTTTAAATTTTGTTAGCATCTTAGCACCTTGAGTTTGCAAGCTAGTATGAGCTGCTGACCTGTTGTCCATGGTTTCTTGTTTATTGAGATATATTCTCCGTACCCTTAGTCTGCTTCATTGGCTATTCCGTATATTGCATGGACATCGTTGCCACAGGAACCACAAGAATGGGCTGCACTACAATAATTTCACAAACTATACCAAGTCTGTTGGCCTTATTATTGTCACGCAACTAGTCTGGACATCGCGCCACGGCAGCAGATGTGTTAGCTGAGGATGTCGTTGCGTTTATGGCAACCTCCATTTCTTGTTCAATATTCTCAAGATCTTCCTCGGTAGCTAAATTATCGAGAGCATCTCTTGGTAGATTTGAAGTGCTGTCCCACTTTTGCTTTGCACCCAAACAAGGTTTCGTATGGCGATTATTGGATTCCTTGATGAAAATTACGGTTTCATTACGGCTGATTCATTTGTCTGCATCCTTGTCATCATCATGTTTTGAACATCTTAGTTGGCACGTTCTACTGAACCTTGGCTTTGGCTATGCCTTGGTTTTCTGTGAACTAGTTTAAGTTCAGGACACATGTTCTTTACTTCAGAAATAACTTGATTCACAAATTCATTTCCTTTAGGATTTTGGATTATTTATTTTGGCAGCCATCTGATATGTCTGTATTTAATCTGACGGTCCTTTTGGTCGCTGTAGTGAGACCATCCGTTGTAGTGAGACCACTCGCTGTAGTGAGACCCTTGGTTGTAGTGAGACCACTCGCTGTAGTGAGACCACTCGCTGTAGTGAGACCACTCGCTGTAGTGAGACCACTCGCTGTAGTGAGACCACTCGCTGTAGTGAGACCACTCGCTGTAGTGAGACCCTTGGTTGAAGTGAGACCATTGGTTTTAGTTTTTAATGTAGCTACGACAACATTTTGAAGCCCTTAAAATACCGGCTACCCTCCAACAGTGAAAAAAAAAATTATTCTTTAAGAGGAGAGCAACGTTAACCTATGGGCTGATAAATCTAGTCTTGTTCCTTTATAAACGATTCTTTTTAATTGGCAAACCGGAAAAGTATCTATCTATATATATAATTCTCTTCTGGGATCAGTTAGAAAACAAGCTCTGTTCACTCTGTTTACATTTTACAATCACAGAGACGGGTTTGGTGACGGCTATTAGGGGCAGATAATTTAGTTTGAAACGATTTTAAACTTAGAGGAGGTAACTAAGAGGAGGCTGCTTTCACGTGGGGGGGGGGGGGGGGTAGTGTTTTTAAGCAAATATTTTCAATGGCAGCATTGGTACTGTCGAATTCACAAATTATAAATTACTGAAAAGTAGAAAAAAAAACAACTAAATAGCGGCGTATGATACGCAGCGGGTCGGCTCGTTTTTTTTAAATGTGTATTAATTACTGTGCCTGGCTTTAACTTAGTGTTTGTTAGTATATTTCATATAATGACTACATAGTGTCTTTCATAAAAGTTAACATAAGCTTTGCTACTGACGTAAAATGTGTTTGTGCTTCTTGATCTTACATTATTTAAACCATTTTCAAGGCTGCAGTGAAATGCTATATTAACTTTATTATATTGTAAATTTTGTAATTTTTTTATGCTTTGATTTTTGTATAATCATTTTAAAATGTGGATTACTTTTTTTAATCCTAATGTTTTTTCAACTAAAACAATACAAAAAAAAGGTTTCTCTGATTTAAATTGTTCTTCTAATTTAATTCTTGCAATACACAACAATTTGGATTCACTCAATTCGCCGTTTAAAATTCAGAATTAATTACTTTGTGATTATATTAAATATGTTTCATGATCAGCTTTGAAGTTTAAAAGTTTTTTTAAGGTCCAACCAGGGTGGTAACGTTCATGTAAAATAAAATAATTACGTTTTTGGTTAATTTGCATTAACCAAGATATTACTTTTGTATTTCTTCGTTGATAGTGTCAACTTTCATGTAATATTTTAATTCAAAATTAATTTTTAATTAATTTGCATAATCAAGATATAACATATATTTCTTGGTTGATAAATAGTTAAGTGCAATCTTTGAGTTCATATTCCGTGCTCCTATCTATATCAAAGTGATGACTGTATATTCACTATAAAAGCACTTGTAAAATAAACAGATAAAATAGAGCTAAATGAATAGTTACTTGATAAATCATGGTAAAATAAACAAATGAAATAGAGATAAATGAATAGTCACTAGATAAACCATGGTAAAATAAACAGATAAAATAGAGCTAAATGAATAGTCACTAGATAAACCATGGTAAAATAAACAGATAAAATAGAGCTAAATGAATAGTTACTTGATAAACCATGGTAAAATAAACAGATGAAATAGAGCTAAATGAATAGTCACTAGATAAACCATGGTAAAATAAACAGATAAAATAGAGCTAAATGAATAGTCACTAGATAAACCATGGTAAAATAAACAGATAAAATAGAGCTGAATGAATAGTTACTTGATAAACCATGGTAAAATAAACAGATAAAATAGAGCTAAATGAATAGTTACTTGATAAACCACGGTAAAATAAACAGATAAAATAGAGCTAAATGAATAGTCACTAGATAAACCATTGTCAAAGAAAGAGAAAATCTCAACTTCATCTACTGAATGGACCTTTAATGTCTATCAAGACTGAAAATAATATTTCTTTTTCTCATCCTTACTTTCATGTACCAGGCTAAACAGAAAATTTAACAGTACTCATTACAACTGTTTAATGATATTATGCTGAATGTTTGAAAACAAAACTTATATTTAGCATGGTTTTCATACAAAGTACAAGAACATTGTAAAGTAGTTACAATTATAAGCATTACATTTAAAGAAATAGTTCTGTTTAAATAAAGGTTAGACCGCTTATCATGGACATAAATTATGCATAATGTGGAGGGTGGTCAAATAGTATGTATCTATATAAGTAAACTATTGGTCAAACAAATATATTTCCATATAAAAATTGACCAAACATATCTAATAAAAATTCACCAAGTAATGAAGGGGCCATTAAATATCTTTAACAATAATGCTCAAAATCACAATGCAGGTTTGTTAAAAATATCTCAAAATCACAAGAAAATAAAGCATGTTAACATGATCTAAACACTCAAGCTACAAACAAGATGGAAACAAGGAAGTGACAAAGTTAAGAGCTGTCCTCAATGTTGTCAAGCAGTAGCCTTCTTCCCCCATCATGTACCTGGGGATAAAAATGACATAAATTCTGAGTACAAGAAAGCAATAAAAATAAACAATTATTTTTATAATATATTACAAATATCAGTAATGTTATGTTTAAAGTGTATCATATGTAGTAGTAATGTGCTATATTTATAAAGTAACCAATAGTAACTGGTACTTCTGCAATATAGCTAATGCATATGTAATTTGTATATCTGGATAGCTGTAACCAAGGTAGATAACAATGTTACACATTTTAGTAGTAAATTGTTAGTTTCTAAAATATAACCAACGAACCGACACGCTATTTAGTTGTTTTATTTTCTACTTTTCAGTAATTCATAATTTGTGAATTCGACAGTACTAATGCTGCCACTTAATATATTTGCTTTAAAACACTATCAGTAGCTTGTTAAGGACGATAACCCCCCCTCCTTTCCCCAACCCTACCCCCCCCCCCCGTGAAAGCAGCCTTCTCTTAGTTACCTCCCCTAAGTTTGAAATCGTTTCAAACTAAATTATCTGCCCCCAATAGCTGTCACTAAACCCTGCTCTACGATTGTAAACATTTAGCATGAACCACAGCTCACCAGACTATGTAGGGTGGGGGTGGTAGGGAGCGCGCTTACAGCTTGGTGTTTTCTAGGGTATCCAAGAAGAGAATTATATATATAGAAGATAGTAACTGGCACTTCTAGAATATAAATAATGCATGAGTAATTTGTATTTCTGGATTGCTGTAAACTATCACAAAGTCAGATGTTACTTCATGTTTACCTGATGAATTGAAGATGATGTCCAAGAAATGAAGTGCATGAATTATTTTCTACCAAGGAGGGACAACTCCAGTAGATTCATATTTTTTTTTTAACTGACAAACTACTGTTTTAATTCTAGATTTACACAGTTAGTAAATAGTCCTTACAGAATACAAAACTAGTATTCCATATTTTTCAAGGTTTTAGTTATAGTGGGACTGCAATAATAAAATTTATTGTGTGCTGCTTTTAGGATACTATTGAAAAAATTCGGTTAGATAAAAGCGTATGCACTGTCTATACACCTAGCTTAATGCTGAACTTGAAAAAGCCAGATTAGATTAAAAACTTCCACACATATACTTTTTTGAAAAGAAGACATGGGACTAAAACATTTTTGAGAAGGTTAAGTCACATGAGTGATCTGCCTTTTATTGAAATTTTTTCGAAAGGTTAGAATCTGTGTTGGGTCTTACATGAGGATACAAGTCATAGTATTAAGCAAGTGAAGAAGAGAATCTTCTTTGTTTTTAATTTATAGCCTTTTCTGCCATTGGGTTTGAACTCGAGACTTTATCAAATTTAACAACCATGAGCTTTGTTGACTCGACCACGCCTCCAACACAATTAAGTATATGTGTCAACTGGTGATGCGCCATTGAGGCGCCAATTTCAGCCTGCTTTTCTTTCTGGATTTGATTCCACAGCCTTTGTCCAACCAAGAACAAACTACAAGGCAGCAGTTGTTTGATTTTGGAGTTGTCTCCAAGAAGAGTAGCTGTCCCCAGCTAACGAGCCTCATCTGCCGAGGGTTCGAACACGAGACTTTTCGGTTTAGCAACCATGAGCTTTACCGACTCGACCACCCCCACCCCTAAGAAGAGAATGAACTAACCCTTCATGAATAAACTCTGTCATGGCATCACACTCCGCTCCCAGCTGGGGGAGAGAACTCGACCACCCCCACCCCTAAGAAGAGAATGAACTAACCCTTCATGGATAAACTCTGTCATGGCATCACACTCCGCTCCCAGCTGGGGGAGAGAACTCGACCACCCCCACCCCTAAGAAGAGAATGAACTAACCCTTCATGGATAAACTCTGTCATGGCATCACACTCCGCTCCCAGCTGGGGGAGAGAACTCGACCACCCCCACCCCTAAGAAGAGAATGAACTAACCCTTCATGGATAAACTCTGTCATGGCATCACACTCCGCTCCCAGCTGGGGGAGAGAACTCGACCACCCCCACCCCTAAGAAGAGAATGAACTAACCCTTCATGAATAAACTCTGTCATGGCATCACACTCCGCTCCCAGCTGGGGGAGAGAACTCCTGATGATAACATAACTCAGTATGGGTAGAAGGTCATCTGCTCCTCTGTCAATTCAAAAAATGGATATTAATTTGACTTTATTGGATTGCTTAATTAGCTCAGGTTAATTTATTTTAAGAATCTTATTCATATTAATGTAATGATATGAATTTATATAGAAGTTAGTAAGTCTACTTTAAAGTAGTGTAAGTGAGTTGCTCAACAACTGAAGTTTTCAATGTATTACTTTTAAAAATCTCATTTCTTCATTATCAAATTGTACTTGCTATAACTAAGACAAAGTTTTTTTCTCAGACAGTTTTTATGTGTTATACTATAAGTAATATTTTAACATTATTTTTATTTTGTATATCATAACTTGATTTTATACTTTCTTATAATTGAAATAATATTAACACAATCTTTAGCTAAGCTCAGTTCTCTTGTTTGAAAACAATGGTCTCAATTGTAAGAGAAAAATGTTTTATAACGTTTGAGAAATATCATTAGTTTCTCCCCCCCCCTCCTCCCCCCAACCCACTTTTTAATTATAAACTTAAAAATCCAGACAAATCTGGTAGCATAAAATGTCTTACACAGAGGGTGCTTTGACTTTGGGATGTTCTTCATCACCATCTTTTTTCCTGTAGTAGTCATCCACACACTCACAAATCAAACGACAAACTTTCACTGAAAATTTTTTTTACAATTCTTTTTAAAAAATTATTCCAAAAAAAGATTTATTAGCAGAGGGAGTACTTCCACAACATTACTACATGTAAGTAAAAGTTCAAATTTACTTTCGATATTTAACAAAAAAATCTCACTTAAAATGTTTTTAATTTAAAAAAAAAAAAACACCCCATCAGCACAGCCATTTATAAACCAAACAATTGTTGAAAATAAAGGCAATTTAGTTTATAATCAAGTAATCTTGCTTTGGTCAGGTTTACATACACAGCACATCTCATTTTGTAAAACTGGGTGAAGACTAGAAAAGTAAACTTTACTCATTGCGTTAAAAATAAGTAGAAACAACTTAAAGGATGAGTACAGTGACATTTAGAGTTTTTTATCCCCCAGTAAATGCATGATCTGTCATCTCTAGAAAACTGACCAATCAAACAACTGACCACTGACATATACAATAGACCATAAACCTATGCATTGGACCATAACCCTATTTAACAATGGCACACAGACCTATTGAAGAATGGCCTATAGACCTATACAACAAGGGACCACAGACCTATTCAACAATGGACCACAGTCCTATACAATGGACCATAGACCTATTCAACAACATACCACAGACTTATACAAGGGACCACAGACATATCCAAAAAGGGACCACACATCTATACAATGGATAACAAACCTATACAATGGACCACAAACCTATACAATGGACCACAAACCTATACAATGGACCACAAACCTATACAATGGACCACAAACCTATAAAATGGACCATAGACCTATTCAACAACATACCACAGACCTAAATAACAAGGGACCACAGACCTATACAATGGATAACAAACCTATCCAATGGATAACAAACCTATACAATGGACCACTAACCTATACAATGGATAACAAACCTATACAATGGATAACAAACCTATCCAATGGATAACAAACCTATCCAATGGATAACAAACCTATACAATGGATAACAAACCTATAGAACGGATAACAAACCTATACAATGGACCATAGACCTATACAACAAGGGACCATAGACCTATACAAATAACCAAAAACCTATATCGCAGACCAATGACCAATAAAGCAACTGACCACTGACCTACACACTCCAGCTTGCTGAGCATGGTGTAGTACTCCTGGACATGGCAGAGCTCAGTGATAGCCCGCTGGTAGGGCTGCTGGTCCCCGGAGTCCTGCAGACAAAGTTTTTTGGAAACCTTCATCTCCTCGGGGCTAACATTGGCATAGCTGGTCATTATACAAGCAAGCACCTGCTCCTGTTTGTAATTGACCACTCTAAAAAAAGTAAAGAATGTTTACTTCAAGCATGGAAGAATTTACAAGGCTAAACGGAAAATTTAACAGTACTCATTACGATTGTTTAATGATATTATGCTGAATGTTTGAAAACATAACTTATATTTAGCATGGTTTTCATACAAAGTACAAGAACATTGTAAAGTAGTTACTCTTTTTAAAATAATTTTTTTTAACAATCACTTCAAGGTTTTTCTTCAGATTTCCATAAAATTTTGCAACCTTGGCAGGTTTTGTGTGATCAAAGCCAACAACCTACTCTTTTACTGACCAATTACAGTGTATTATAGATAAAGATTATTGCAGTTAATATTTAACTATAACACGGTAATGAGCATTAGAGCTTCAAAAAAAAAAAAAACAGATTTCAAGGAAATAATGAATTGTAAACTTATTTGAGAGAAAACCTATTCATCAAGGGAAGGAACTAGTTGAATAAAACTCATCTGGCTTAAAAGTTAATTACTAAAATGTTTATAATTAATGAGATTAATAATAATATACAATGGACCACAGACCTATAGAATGGGCCATAAACCTATTCAACAACGGACCACAGACCTATACAACAAGGGGACCACAGACCTATAAAAATAACCAAAAACCTATATCATAGACCAATGACCATTGAATAGGTCTGTGCACTTTGTTGAATAGGTTTATGGTCTATTGTATATGTCAGTGTTCAGTTGTTTAATTTGTTTTTTTGTGTATTTAAAAGTGATCAAAGACAACATGCCTAAAAAGCCTGAGCAACGTTTTCCAGATGGGTTTGAAGAAAGGCTCCTCCAAAGACACAGCACACTGATCTCTGCCAACAGGAGTATCCAAAGATTCATAGGCTGTTGTCATCATCACAAGAAGCTTTTCTAGTAATGAGGAAGTATTTTCTTAATAATCTCATGGTGTCTTTAAAAACTCAAGCTATCATCAACACACAGAAAATTATAATCAGAGGCTTTCTAGTAATGAGGAAGTATTTTCTTAATAATCTCATGGTGTCTTTAAAAATACAAGCTATCATCAACACACTCAAAATTTCATTAGTTGATTTCCTAATTATGAAACCAAAAACAGATGTAATTAATTTAGTAATAAGTTCATAATCAAAGTTTCAATATACTATCATCAGCTATCAATATTTTTTTTAAATGAAAAAAAAAACTTTTTTATTTGATTAACAAAGTAACAGCCACAAGAATTTGAGCATTAGCTTTTGTTGTCATTTTCTATCTAGATCTATACTTATGTTAAATTTTCTAAAACAAAATACTAGTCAATGTGTGTGGTATTTAAGAAATTTTTTTTGTTTGTAAATAATAAAATCATGTTTCTATTTTATACTTTAATTGTGTATATAAAAATTAATATAGTTTAATTGCATGCTTCTGTTTTAAAGTTATATTGCATATCTAACAATTAGTATGGCAAGTAATGAAAATTATGATAACACCAAAATAAAAACATGACATTTTATTGAGTTGTATGACTAATTGTAAAAAAATTATATAACCTACATACCTAGATAGCGATGTATGTCGTCTGATATAGCTTTCAAATGTCTTGAATAAGCATCGGCCGTCAGCTCATCAAATTTTTTATCTGGCTTCATGTTAGAAGGTAGGCTGTGGCAAGTGTCTGTTTCATCCTGCGGTGTATTTGACGAAGGTGGCTGAAGGCTAACACTGCGGTCTAGGCTAGAGTTATCTACCTTCTCTGACTTCTTCACTTCTGCAACATGGTCAGGTACTGAGGGCTCAGCTGTTCTGTACGAGGGTCTGAAGTTGTAGGCCAGGCTCTGGTAGTCGTATTCGTCCTCCCCGTCAGCTACGTCATCCTCAAACAAATAGTCCAGCGTGTCCTCGTCGTACTCGGAGCAGTCCATTTTGTATCTGCTGTAGTCACGCGTCACCTGACGCATGAGAAGCTGTGCCTGACGCCGCTCCCAGGAGAGCTGGGTGGTCAGCTCTTGTCCATCCCCGGGAGAAAGGCGGTCCGTTGAAACATCTGAAGTTTTTGAAGCATTGGGAGTAGAAGCGAAGAATGGATTTTTAGCGTTGTTTGAATTTTCAACATGTTCTGTTGAACGTTTCGATGCTTGGCTTGAATCATCGGAGCTAATAGTTATATGAACAGGTGGTGAATCTTGTCTGTCTACAACAGTGTTGGTGTCAGTGGGTGTTGAACCTGTATCAGCAGGCTGAGAAGATGTCCCACGAGCACTGTCACCACTAGGTTCTTTGCAGTCATCAAGCTGTAATGGTGAATCTGATTTACCCTCACGAGCTGAGCTTTGAGCTAAAACATCAGCTCCATTTGAGCTCTTATCACTTTCTGATGAAATGTCATCACTGTTTACATTTTCAAGATTGCTTTTTATTCCAGCATTGTCTGAATGCTGATCCTCTGTTATGGAATGTATGGAGTTGAGAGTTTCTGAACGTACACACAAAGGATCAACCCAGGATTCTGGATCATTAGTCACAGTTTCATCTTTACTATTCTCTGGACTACTCCTGTCATCTACCTGTTTACCGTCTTCAGCTTGCAAACAGCCAGTGCTTTTAACACTGTCTTCAGGTGTATCTTTGGATTTTTGTACAGGCGGGGGAGATGACTCTCTTTGGAATATGATCTCTGAAACGCTATCCAATGAGGGCCAGGATTTTTTTGGAAAAGGTACCTACAATTGAAATATGTTAAAACTGTCAAAAGTAAAATATTTTGCCACTTCTTTTTTCCTACTATTTTAGTGATCAAAAATTATTTGGTATAAAATTTTACCTATGTAATTTCTAGGAGATGAGTTTAGTAAAATCTTACAAATATTATTTGACATCAAGGTCAACCAAGATTTTTAAACAATTAGCTAAAGGCAAAGAAAGGTAAGTTGTACTGAATTGAACTAACCTTTTTGTTTTTAAAAAATGTTTACTTATTTCAATATTGTCTTCACACAACAATTATTTTTAAATGTATAGAACAAAGGGAAGTAACAAAAGTAAAAAAAAAGGGCGGTTAAAATTACTTCAATCAGCTCTAAATCCTGATATTTGCTAGCAACCAGAGGGGAGTAAGTAAAGTTCCCTTTCAAACCTGACGGTCTATAGGGCAAGTGAAGTGGAGTTAACTTGTTTCTGTGACCTCGACATATGAAGAGATAGTGTGGTCAGCACTTTGCCCAGCCGCCTACTTTCCCTAACAAGAGTTAGGTACCCATCAGAGTTGGGTGGACTCAGGGACGGTCTACTGACTTAACCCGGATTTGAACTCGAGACTTACGGGTTAGCAGTCCAGCTCTTAACCGCTAGACCACTCAGTCAAACCAGTGGGTAGAGCCTCTCATAAATCTTAAACTGATATACCAAGGAAAATAACAAATATAGATAAAAGACAGGCTAAAATTACTTTAATCAGCTCCAAATCCTGGTGTTTGTTAGCAACTAGTGGGTAGAGCCTCTCGTAGATTTTGAACTGATATTTCCGCAGCAGCTCAGTCAAAGGGTGATCCTGGCATCGGAGGATCTCCGCCACCAGCTGACTGATGAGTATTGGATCTTCTGGGTTGGAGTCCAGTTTGCTTCTCCAGTTTTGCAACCATTTCTAAACAAATGTAAAGGTATTTTCACATGCGCACTGAGCCCAACAGGGATTGTATAACAGAAAAGTTGATTAAGTAATTAAAATGTATTTTATACACCTCAATATAACCTGCCAAATGAAACAAAAAACATGGATAGTAAACTTTTTAACTGATTTTAAAGTAATAATGATAAATAGGTATGAACTAAATGATTAGAATTATTTCGATCTATGTTTATTATATTTGACTACTAGCAATAATTCAGACTATCTTTGCTTTGTCATATGACACAAAAAAATTTCTTATTCCGTTGTATTTTAGCTAACAAAAAAATTGTCAGTTTAAACTTTGCAATAAATAAATACATGTTGAATATTTTTGTAAACTAATTGAAACTATGCATGAATGATAAGCAATGATACATACGGCATCCGTTTCATAGATCAATATTTTCTTATAAATCTGGCGCTGCTCCTGTTCCTCTTTTGACATGCCAATAGGTGTGGCAAAACGCCTGCAAAATTGGAATGAACATGTTAGCTTTATACAATTAGGACATATGTTCATGATATTTTGTTAGCAGAATGAAGAGATGAATTGGTGAATGCTGTCTGCAATAGGAATTAATTTAGTAAAATTTAGTTTGTTATGTTAAAAGTTGAATTATCCTATCTTATTGTTAAAATAATGAAAATTATATATATATATATATATATATATATATATATATATATATATATATATATATATATATATATATATATATATATATATATATATATAAAAATCCTACTTTGCAGCTTGTTCCTCTAGCCTTTGATTTCTGGCTTGCATTTTCCTGGCAAGCTGGAAATTAGGGAATATTGATTCAATAGGATCGACAATACAGTGCTGACCACACTATCTCTTTTATTTTACTTCATTTTTATTTTATTTAACTCCATTTGTGATGGCTTTTATTTTCAAAGGAGGTTGAGAGAAAAATGAATGAAATAAAAATAAGTTTTGATAATAATACTCTCCAAATTAATAGTAGTCTTAATCTTGTTGTATTAAAATTCTGTGTTATTTGTTACTGCATAGTTTAAAATAAACAAGTTTTTACAAAAAATTTTTTAACAGTATTAACTCACTCTAAATATTTATAACCTGATAAAAACCAAAAAAAAAAAGACTTTTACGTCACCTCTTCTTCTTGAGCTTGGGCTATGGCAATATTTTCAGCCATCTTTCTTTGAATTGTCAAACTCTATGGAACAAAGTGAGATTATTAATAATTAGCATGTGAATGATTCGCTTACATCCACACACTGAGAGTTAATTCATGGGTTCCTTACATAACTGAATGCTGATACATTGATTTCTTTACATGATTGAATGCTGATACATTGATTTCTTTATTTAAATGAATGCTACTGCAATGATTTCTTTATTTTATTGAATACTGATACATGGATTTCTTTATTTAATTTAATGCTACTACATTGATTTTTTTATTTAATTGAATACTGATACATGGATTTCTTTACATAACTAAATTTTAATACATTGATTTCATTTGTATCACTTAATCAAATAATGTAATGGTTCCCTTCTATAAATCAATGTTAATTAATTGTCTCCCTTACATAAAACAACTAAATGGTTTGCTTACATAGCTGAATGGCTCCATTACACAACAAAACTAAATGGTTTGCTTACATAACAAAACTAAATGGTTCCCTTACAAAACACAACTAAATGGTTCCCTTACAAAACACAACTAAATGGTTCCCTTACAAAACACAACTAAATGGTTCCCTTACAAAACACAACTAAATGGTTCCCTTACAAAACACAACTAAATGGTTCCCTTACAAAACACAACTAAATGGTTCCCTTACAAAACACAACTGAATGGTTCCTTTACAAAACACAACTAAATGGTTCCCTTACAAAACACAACTAAATGGTTCCCTTACAAACACAATGAAATGGTTCCCTTACATAACACAATGAAGTAGTTCACTTACATAACTGAAGGCGTTAAAGTCTGATCTGTTTAACCTCTTCATCCTGGCCTTGTAGGCTGTCATCAGAGACTGGTTCTGTTTCTGGGCGATCTCCATGGGGGTCAGTGTTGGCGTCCTGATACAAAACAAATTTCCTACATAAAGGGTTTCCAGAATAATGTGCAACAGAAAAATGTGCAACAGAAAAATGTGCAACGAAAAAATGTGCAATGGAAAAATGTGCAACGGGAAAATGTGCAACAGAAAAATGTGCAAATACGACCTCATTATGATAATATACTTTTTTTAATATTTTTTGTGGAAAAATGTTTTTTATGCGGCCATTCTTTGCTAATATCTTAAACGAGCCGACCCGCTGCGTATCATACGCCGCTATTTAGTTGTTTTTTTTTTCTACTTTTCAGTAATTTATAATTTGTGAATTCGACAGTACCAATGCTGCCACTGAAAATATTTGCTTAAAAACACTAAACCCCCCCTCCCCACCCACGTGAAAGCAGCCTCCTCTTAGTTACCTCCTCTAAGTTTAAAATCATTTCAAACTAAATTATCTGCCCCTAATAGCCGTCACCAAACCCGTCTCTATGATTGTAAAATGTAAACAGCGTGACCACAGCTCACCAGATCATGTGGGGGTGGTAGTGATAGTGATAGAGAGAAAGAGAGGGGACTGCAAGGAGGCGCTTGCAGCTTGTTTTTTAACGGCTCCCAGAAGAGAATTATATATATATAGATAGTTTCAGCTGCAAATTTTTCTGATCACCCTGATGAACAAAGGTGGGGAACTAATGTCACTATGTTTTTTACAGCTATAAACATCAAATTAGACTAAAAATAACAGCCGAATAAAAATTTAATCAAAGTGTGCTTGTAAAATAGTATGAACGCTTACTCAAATATACTGCAGAAAGCACAATTTCTACTTTTAGAAATAAAATTGTTTTTAAAATAAAAATATTTAACACCTAATCAGTACAAAGTTAATTTCTCTTTAATGGATATTACTGAAGCTTACTAAAAGAACATGAGGACCAGGAACAATAGCACAGCATTATGAAAAACTAATAGTGATGTTATCAAGACTCTGCTAGAGTTATGGGATAGATGGATTGGGATGGACACAAAGTTTGGTATTGTAAACAAAACAAGTCAACAGTTTTTGGTTCATGTTAACACAGTAAATGTTTGATGCTGATTGATTTTAAGTACTGTTTTAAAAGGTGAACACGTACTTGTTGACTGTGTAGATGTGTGTGATTTTAAGCCCTGTTTTAAAAAGGTGAACACGTACTTGTTGACTGTGTAGATGTGTGGGTTGTTCTCATCTGGGAGCAAGGGCACCAGGGAGTTGAACTTGACTGGTAGCTGTGCTGGAGAGGTCAAAGGTGAAGGTGGCGGTGTGGTGGCTGCAAGAAGAGGAATGCTGACATGCATTGTTTGATGGTTGTTGTATAGTTTTATTTAGTTAATTCAATGTATTGTTAGTTAACTCAATGTATTGTAAGTTATAGGATGGCATAGTCTAGAGATAGAGAGCTAGCTTATTTCTAGTTGAGCCTACTTAAACACATATAAGCTAATGTTTACATTTCTAGTTGACCTTACCTAGAACACATGAAAGCTAATGTTTACATTTCTAGTTCACCCTATATAAAACACATATAAGCTAATGTTTACATTTCTAGTTCACCCTACCTAGAAGACATAAAAGCTAATGTTTACATTTCTAGTTGACCCTTCCTAGAACAAATGAAAGCTAATGTTTACATTTCTAGTCGACCCTTCCTAGAACAAATGAAAGCTAATGTTTACATTTCTAGTCGACCCTACCTAGAACGCATGAAAGCTAATGTTTACATTTCTAGTTCACCCTACCTAGAACACATGAAAGCTAATGTTTACATTTCTAGTTGACCTTACCTAGAACACATGAAAGCTAATGTTTACATTTCTAGTTGACCCTACCTAGAACACATCTAAGCTAATGTTTACATTTCTAGTTGACCCTACCTAGAACACATGAAAGCTAATGTTTACATTTCTAGTTGACCTTACCTAGAACACATGAAAGCTAATGTTTACATTTCTAGTTGACCTTACCAGAACACATGTAAGCTAATGTTTACATTTCTAGTTCACCCTACCTAGAATGCATGAAAGCTAATGTTTACATTTCTAGTTGACCCTACCTAGAACACGTATCTAAGCTAATGTTTACATTTCTAGTTCACCCTACCTAGAATGCATGAAAGCTAATGTTTACATTTCTAGTTCACCCTACCTAGAACACGAATCTAAGTTAATGTTTACATTTCTAGTTGACCATAAATAGATAACATGAAAACTAATGTTTACATTTCTAGTTGACCTTACCAGAACATATCTAAGCTAATGTTTACATTTCTAGTTGACCTTACCAGAACACATGAAAGCTAATGTTTACATTTCTAGTTCACCCTACCTAGAACGCATGAAAGCTAATGTTTACATTTCTAGTTCACCCTACCTAGAACACATGAAAGCTAATGTTTACATTTCTATTTGACCCTATATAAAACACATATAAGCTAATGTTTACATTTCTAGTTGACCCGACCTAGAACACATGAAAGCTAATGTTTATATTTCTAGTTCACCCTACCTAGAACACATGAAAGCTAATGTTTACATTTCTAGTTGACTTTACCTAGAACACATAAAAATGAAAGCTAATGTTTACATTTCTAGCTGAGCCTACCTAGAACACATGAAAGCTAATGTTTACATTTCTAGTTGCCCATACCTAGAACACATGAAAGCTAATGTTTACATTTCTAGTTCACCCGACCTAGAACACATGAAAGCTAATGTTTACATTTCTATTTGACCCTATATAAAACACATATAAGCTAATGTTTACATTTCTAGTTGACCCTATATAAAACATAAGCTAGTTGACCTTACCAGAACACATGTAAGCTAATGTTTACATTTCTAATTGACCATAAATAGAACACATGAAAGCTAATGTTTACATTTCTAGTTGACTCTATATAAAACACATATAAGCTAATGTTTACATTTCTAGTTGACCTTACCTAGAACAGATGGACGTACTGGTGAGACCAGATGGGATGATGTCACACCAACTGTTACTGTAGACATGCTGGTAGTGGTTGACTCTATAAAATAGATATGTATTATTTCATAAAATAGGTATACATTTTATACTTTAATATTATATACTTTAATTTATATACTTTAATAACCCAGAAATGCATTATTTTAATAAAATTGGTATACTTTGTTTTAGTGAAATAAGTATGTTTAATTTTATAAAATAGGTATACATTATTTTAATAAAATAGGTATTGAAAAAATTTTTTTTAAACATTTTTAATCTAGTACGAATTAAAATAGTTTTTCATAATTATTTCATAATCTAATTAAAATAAATTCGCTCTCATCAACCACATATCTCCCGTGAATAATATTATTAGCGTAAAAAATTTCCATGTGTAGGAGATTCAGGTATGGATGAGTGCCAGAATGCACAATGATCGGAGTAAAATTAAAAATGTGGACATCTAAGACCCACCTAATTTCTCCACCAAGGCAGCAACTCTGTCAACACACTGTTGCACCAGCTTCACCTGTTTGCATGTTTTCTTGTCCACAACCACATCGCCACCTACAAATATGTAAGCAACAGAGACCATAAAAACGTAATCTATCAATCAACAACCAAATTGCCACCTACAAATATGTAAGCAATAGAGACCATAAAAATATAATCAATCAACTACCACATCGCCATCTACAAATATGTAAACATTTGAGAACATAAAGGTTTATTTTCAAAGAATACAAAAAAAAAAATATAAATAAAAAATAAAATAGTTGCAACACTTAACACACATGAGCAAAAACATTTCACAAATGGTTCTTGTAACAGCAATTCCAGTTAAGTAAGAAGTATTCTAAATAATTTAAATCTAGTGTAAGCTTTACATTTTTCAGTAGTCCTATTCACATTTGTTTTGTTTTCAAGTTTAGAATTTAAAAACACCCTTTTGCTGTTGTTTATTTTTTGCAACTTTAAAATACTTTTAATTTTGTAATTTAAAATACAATTTTAGAATTGACTCACACAGCCACATTTGTGTATCTCAAAGCCTAGAGAGAGTAATAGACAATGAAGTTTTGGACTATTAAAAACACTTGTTAGTTTTAAAATTAGACACATCACCTGCTTTTTTCATAGCCAAAATCAAGTTGGTGGAAATTTTATATATACAGCTGACATACTTTTTGTATGCCTCCTGCAACAAAAAAAGTACTTATTAGAAAAAAACAACAGAAGTTCTAGAATGACTATTTTCTGTTGAATATAAATTTATCAACCCTTATGTCCCAAAATTAAAAAAAAAATATAACTATACAAAAAAAACAAGAAAAAAAAAACTGATTGAGGTATTTTTCTCCCAAAGAAAACCGAGGAAGATGTATAAAAGAATTCACAATTTTATTTTCTTACAGTGTAATCATAATCAAAGTAAATTAGCTATATAGTGGGTAACCTTGACCTACAACTCATCTCAACAACAGCATTGTAACCTTGACCACAACAATACTTTCATTTAACAGTTTCAGGGCTTCCCCAATTTTAAGGTAACCTTGACCCACAACTCACTGTAAGACTGCCACCATAACCTTGACCCACAACTCACTGTAAGACTGCCACCATAACCTTGACCCACAACTCACTGTAAGACTTTAACAATTCCATCATTATCCAGCTTCAGGGCCTCCCCAATTTTAAGGTAACCTTGACCCACAACTCACTGTAAGACTGCCACCATAACCTTGACCCACAACTCACCTTAACAATTCCATCATTATCCAACCTCAGGGCCTCCCCAATTTCTTTCATCAATGAAGGAAGGTTGGACTCTGTCATTGTAATGCTGATTTTCTTTAAACTCCACTCACTTCAGATCTTGTAGCTCTTTATTTCAACAAGATGATAACCATAGCCTGAGTAGAAAAATAAAATTAATTAAAGATTAGTTTTAAAAAACAAAACTATTTTTTTTAAATAATTAAAATATATTTTTTATTAAGATGTAGATCGATGATTTTTATATGTATACAAGACAATGTAGTCCTAAACTTTCATATTTAATAAACTGCATATCATATCTTTTTTAAAATTGGTCTTTTTATCTTATTTCATATTCTCATTGTCAATGAAGGATGATGCACTGTTCTATAAGCTTGATAAAAATAAAAATGCTTAGGCTTAGGCCTACATGTTTACATTTGTGCTAAACAAATAAAACAATTGTCTGTTATCAACTAAACAAAAAGATAACAGACATTTTGTTTAAATACTTAAATAGGGCCAATTGATCAATTTGTACAAGATAATTATCCCCTTTTAGCACAGACAATTAATAATAAAAAATGCAGCTAACTAGATCTAGTGTTAAGTAGTATGTATGTATGTATGTGTATGTAGTATGTATGTACTCAGACCTAAAGCCAACCAACAGTATAAGTAGGCTATATACTAGATCTATATACTATTATGACTCTAGATATATAATCTTAAATAAAATAAATAATCTAGAATATATTATATTCAATATTCTATTAGTCTGAATTATTGTATTAGATTAGTATTATTAGAGGCCTATGGGAAAAACTAGATCTAGATCTAAACTCTTTCTTCTCTTCTTCTTCGTTCTTAATTATTAGTGTTGAAGGGGATCGAGATTTATCTGCCAGTGGGTTTGAACTCCAGACTTTGTTCGAATTTACCAACCATGAGCTTTTTGCCTAATCGACCACGCCTCCAACACAATTAAGCGTTACGTGTCAACTGGTTATGCGCCATTGAGGCCATTGACTCCGATTTCAGCCTGCTTTTCTTTTTGGATTTGCTCTCATAGCCTTTGTCCAACCAAGAACAAACTACAAGGCAGCAGTTGTTTAATTTTGGAGTTGTCTCTCCTAGAAAAGTGGCTGTCCCCAGCTAACGAGCCTCATCTGCCCGAGGGTTCGAACTCGAGACTTTTCGGTTTAGAAACCATGAGCTTTACCGACTGGACCACGCCGACCCCTTAGATCTAAACATTATTAAATAATAATAGGCCTAAATAGGTAAAATCACGATATAGCGTCGGTTATTATTCCGGAACTGTACAGCAGTAAAAAACAGTAAAACCATGGCGTAGTCTGTCGAGCCATTCCGGAAACCACCGGAAATACTGTAAACCATCATTTATTTGCCGCCATATTATTTTTAATACATAATGTTTAAAAATGTGCAAGGATTGATTTTAGTTGCATTTTAAATACTGTTTTGCTAATTATTTTGTATTTCTAATTATTTTAAGTGTATGTGCTAATTATTGCTTCTACTAAACATTATTCTAGTTATTCTTACTACTTTTAACTTTAGTTAATCTAATGATATGATTTACTAACAGAACTAGAGCTGGTTGTCGCAAATCTTCTGCAGGTTTTTTCTGTTTCTTAAAAAAAAACTACTATTTAGATTTTCTATCTGTTATTAATTTTCTGTCAATTAAACTGTAAATTAAGTTAAAACATTAATTTAATGCACTTGACTTTATTTTTATTTCACCGGTCAAATAAACTATGGTTTACAGCAGGGGTCTCCAAACTTTTCAGTCCGAGGGCCGCATTAACTATCAAAGTTCAGTTCGGGGGCCAATTTCTTCCAGGCATGTCTTTGATTTTTCTGGGCAAAATTCCTCAGACGTCACCAACAAACGTTTTTTTCCGTGGACAAAAAGATCTCCGCGGGCCGGATGAGAGGACCTCGCGGGCCGCATTCGGCCCGCGGGCCTTAGTTTGGAGACCCCTGGTTTACAGTAACGAATGTTACCGAAACTCAACGAACATTACATTACCCAATAATTTCCGACGCTATATCGTGATTTTACCCCTAAATAAATAGGTAATCCCTTAGTTTAGCGTCGGAAATTATCGGGTAATGTTTGTTGAGTCTCGGTAATTAGAGTTACGGTAAACCATGGTTTATTTGACCATTGAAATATAAATAAATTGAAAGTCGATTGTTGTGGGGATGTAGTAAATTAATGTTTTAATTTTTTAAGTTTAATCGACAAAAGGAAACAAGAATAAATATAAATCTAATAGGTAAAAATTTAGAGAAAACCCTTGATATTTCATAGTATCCGCCGCCAACCAATCAAACGCGCGCTTTCAACGCGTTTTGGTTGGCGGCTGACGTCACGATGACGTCACGCGACCCGTAAACACGGCGTTTTTGGAGCTAAAAAGGGCCGAAAAAGCCATTTTTTCTACGTGTAGTTCGGATTTTTTTACGTTTTTTAAAATGGGCCCGAAAATGACACTTTTTAGAAATGGACATAGCCATTTTTTCGATGATTTAATTAAAAAAAGGGCCGTTTTGAGCTATTTTTTGATGTAAACAAAGGCCCATGTCAACACGTGTCAAACCACGTGAAGGCACCCGATCGACGATTTCGGTCACGCATGAGTGGTTTTCGTACGTTCTCGTGAACTAAATACCAATTTCTTGACAACAAATTGGAAAACGACAATTTCGTGAAAGTAACGACCCTAGATGAATGGCTTTTGAAGATTATTAAATAAAAATCGATGTATTGGCTACATGTGTTGATTCTAAAGTTGTCTATAATTGACTAGTAGGGCATGCTGAAACAACGGCCTTAGGGCGCCGTGTAGTGTGTAGTTTCGCTAAATGTAAATTAATCAGCCCGGCCGCAGATCGACCGCAAACTGTTAATTGGTTGAATGTGAAAAGCATACTACTTACAAATTACTTTTGAATATTCACATCACACAAAATAATCCCAAAGAAAGCACAAAATAAAATCCGTTAGAAAAGCATGGAAACCACAATATGTCAACCTTAACCAGCCATCTTTGGCTCGATCTAGATCTAGAGGTCATTCTTTAGCCTACACGGCCTACACATGTGCCTTGCCAATAAATTTAGTTTCTAATGGTACATGACATTTAGATCAATATATTAATTAACAAACTAACTGAATTCCAACATTCTATCACTCTAATCCTAAAATGAAACAGAATTTGAAGCACAATGATCTAACGAATAAATCCCACTCTAAGTAAGTGTCGCAGCTCTAATCCTGGATACAACCGTAGTGTGTAGTCGTGTTGTGAGTAAACTTGCACGAGATAAAACACCGACCTAGACCTTCCTGATGTTGTGTATGGCCCCAAAGTGAAATGCTGGGAGTAGGGGAGGGGAATTTAACAGCAGAATATATTTTTTTCAGTAGTTACGTCACCAGTAGTTCACGCATCCTAACGGGGTTGAAAGTGTAACTTTATATTCAACTAGGCAAAAGGTGGAGGGTGGCGTCTTTCTAGTCGAAGAATACGGGGAAGCCGGCATTTGAAGCCGGCATTTCATTATTGTCATTGCTATTGAGTACAACCCTTTATTCTAGTTAAATGCATGACTAGGCTACTCATTACAAAATCTAAAAAATGTCCTTGTGCTGCCATGCAAAAGTAGCCTAATATTTCTACTGAATGGGGTAGGTATTTGACTTTGTTTATTTAAATGCAGATACCATTAGCCTAAACATATTTGGATGCACATTTCAGTTATATCGTAAGGATTAATTTTATAATACAATGCATATATTCTGACAGTCCTTCAAGTATTAGTAGTTATTGCCTATTGGACTATTCATAACTTGTATTTCAAAGATTTATAATGAGCGGGATGCACTCGATGTTTTAAGTGCTACATTTGGTAGCTGTTACTTTGTGCATGACAGCATCCTGATAGTTCACTGTTAATAATGTAAACTGAGCTTGACGAGACTCCCATCGCCAAGCAATCGTATGATAGACCCAGCAAGCATCACTCGTTAAATTCGACATCATGGCTATACCAGTCCTTGATTTTCATTACAGCCTTTAAACGCCTAGTTCTTGGTTTTGAAAAAAAAAAAACGTCTCCCCCCCACCCCTTTCCGCTTGCGCCGACGTCATCATAGGCCAATATCACGGTGCATTTTTTTTCAACGAGTATAACACACCCCCCTCTCCCCCTCACAGTAAGCGCCAACAACGGTCACCCAAGGCCCAAGGCCAATAACACGCACCACGGTGGATTTTTTTTAATGAGTATATACCCTACCCACCCGCCGCCTTACAGCATACCGCTAGTCTTTACAAACGGGGTTAAAAGTTTAACTTTGAGTTCAATAAGGGGAGAGGATGGTATTGAAACAACGATGTTCTTTAATATGTTTAATAGTACAAATACATAGTAAAAAAATATACTTACCTACTTCTATAGCATCATACATAATTTTATAATTAGCAAATTAATTAATTAATTAATTAAATATATCTAATGATAATGAAGGGAGATAGTTTATTTTGGTTAAGGCACGACACACAACACTATGCGTGCGTGGTATGTGGCCTGACCGACCGAAAGGACATTGTTTATATTATTGTTTTGAGTTTATATTTAACTCAATGCAACGAGCCCGCCGGTTGGTTGAGGCCACGCCGGGGGGACGATCTGTCCGGGATTCAAAGGGTCGATTCTAAATATCATCCAAAAAAACAAATAATAAATATAAACAATACTCATTTTGAATCCAGATTTCTAGATCTAGATCTAATCATCTAATCGGATTCCAAACTTAGAATGTAAGTTTAGTAGATCTAATCTAGATCTAGATATTGTGTCATTTTAACTACTAACTAGACTGTAGTAGACTCCTCTCTTTACAGAGCTGATTGCCTAATCGTAAATTCTCAAATTGCAAAACACCAAAATCACGTCCAAATGTTTTGATTCAGAGTGCTTGATCACGTGATACGCAGAAAGAGTAGACGTATCGGAAATATGCACGGAGTACCAAATGCTAAAGCTAATCATTCAGTTCACATGTCCCAAGGACTGTCAGTTATGGAAAGGGAACTTAACATTTTTTTTAATTAGCCTTTATATATAACACTCCATACTACATATTATTATTAGGCCTAGTATGTGTACTGTGTCGTTAAAGCACCTAACCACAAATATTTATTTTATAAGGGGATCTAACCCACAAATATTTATTTTATAAGGGGATCTAACCAGGCTAGGACGTCTGTCAAAATATTAATGAAGTAGTTTCCCTTCGTTATGTATTCATGTAAAATTTTAAAACTAGCTAGGCTAACACTGATCTATGCATGTCATGTAGATTCTAGTTAACCATTGATTCCATACGGAGTAGAGAAAGACATTTATTTTCTCCGCTCTCCTTTCGTCTTGCTTTTGACTGAATTATAAAGATGCCCATTTAACATAAAAAACGCTGAGTTCTGTAGCTCCAACTCTGCCATTGGAGGCGAGCGAGTTGACGAGATTCCTTCCATAATATTGTTGACATGGAATAAAAACGTGCTTTTTAGATTTAGACCGTAAAAAAAAATAAAAACTTAAGCCTAAAATTAATTTAGAAATTTTATATTTTTAGAATAAATGCTATAAAAGTTGCAAATCCAGAGAACTTGAAAATAATTTGTTGAGTTTAAGGCTACATTTCTATTTATTTTCATCAAGCCTAAGTTAAAACCGGATGTTTCACTTTCGTAAGACAAATATTGATTGGCTGTACAGTAACTTAGTGATCGATAACTATTTGTTTACAAAACTTTGCAGATCAAGTTTTTAAATAACAATGCAAATTAAAAACCCCATGACCTAGTTTTCTATTTTTAGCTTACAATGTGTACAATAAAATCAATGTCGGCCTATCCAATAGCAGGATGCCATTGTTTATGTCGCCATTACACGTGAAAACCAAATTGTTTTGGCTTGTTTTTAAATTTTCAATTAGTTACCGAAAATTTTTAAAACATCAAATAGACCCAATCTTTAGTAAAGTCCGAAATAAACCAGACAGACAGGATTTTATAACCATATTAATTGTAACTACGCCGTGCCTGATTTTTAAACTAATTTATACACCTCTCAAATACCTTTGAGAGTTTTCTCGCTCGTGTCCAATGGACTTACTCTATCCCACAGCCAACACACTAGTCCATAGCAAAAGAAGTTCAAATGTGTTTAATGCCTTGATTTAACCAGCATGGTTTCAAGAAGACACATTCATTAAACAAAAGGAAGAAGGCCTACGTACAGACACTTAGCACAAATTAATGATGGATGGACACACCGTTAACCTACAGAAGTGTGTTGTTTATATACATAAGACAATAAATTAAATGCCTTAATTAAAGTTAATTTTTGTTTAAAAAAAACAACTAATAATTGGTATATATATATATATATATATATATATATATATATATATATATATATATATATATATATATATATATATATATATATATATATATATATATATATATATATATATATATATATACATACTGAGGCGTAGCGGGGGGGGGGGTGCGGACCGCACCGGGTGACACCATTTAGGGGGGTGACACCAAGGCAAAAAATAGCAAAATATATAGAGAAAAACTTGAGAGGGGGTGCAAATCAAAAGTTTGAGGGGGGGGGGGGGTGCAAATCGAAAATTTGAAAGTTTGTCCCCGGGAAGGGTCGCTACGCCTCTGGGGGTGACACCATTAAGTGCCGCACCGGGTGACACCCGACCTCGCTACACCACTGTATATATATATATATATATATATATATATATATATATATATATATATATATATATATATATATATATATATATATATATATATATATATATATGTGTGTGTGTGTGTGTGTGTGTACTGTGTGTGTGTGTGGTTATATGCTCGAAGTGTCTTAAAAATTGTCTCATCGGAAGCGTAACATTTTTACAGCTTTGATCCAACTCCCCACCCACGACCCTCCAGCTCCCCGTCCGTCACACACTTAACTCCTCAGCTCTTCAATGTGTAGGCCTATGGGCTATGCAGAGGCGTAGCTAGGGGGGGGGGCGGGGGGGGGGGGCGGCCGCCCCGGGCGCCGACCCTAGGGGGGCGCCAAAAGGGGTGGGAAAAAATTTTAAAGCTGATTTTATGCTACAGTTTTGAATTATAAACAGTCTAAGTTAAGAAATGTAATGGCTACACGCTTTTACATACTGATTTAACTGTTTTCTACCTCGATTACTAACTGTAAAACATATACTCTTAAGAAACAGTGACCGGCAAAACCGCTTTCCAGCTTTTCCTAGATGGAAGGGGGGGGGGCGCTTTTTCTAGACTTAAATCGGAAGAATTTTAACTAGATTGTTGAGTCGATAAACGTTTACTCTATTAAAAGAAAACAATTTTATTAATACGTATTGTACTCCGTAAAATAGTTAGTGACTTTTATCAAGATGGTGCAGGGGGGCACTTTTAGTCTAAAATAAAATCACAAAATTAAAGTAAACCACTTTTAGCACTTAGAAAGAAACTAATTATACTAAAGTGCATTGTACGATTGTGTAACATTTAAAAAAAAAAGTTAGTTACGTTAAAACCCGCTCTACAAACTTTGTCCAATATGGTTGGGAGGAGTGTGTGTGTGCGTGTGTGTGGGGGGGGGGGGCGCTTTTTTCGCGAACAAAAATCGCAAGTATTTGTACTGGATTGTTGAGTAGATAACTCTCTTAACACTTAGTAAAGTAAAGAAACCAAGTGTATTAACGCGTAATGTATATTTTTACTAGCCAGCTTTGTTAAGAAATGACGCGACTATTTCTTTGTAAGATTCTTACGATTCTCTCAACTTCAACGTGAGAGATCAGATATTTTGGATTGATTGCATTACATCTTGCCTGGATCACTGTATTAAAGAGAAATAAATATAACAGATTCTTGAATAGCTATCCGATCAGTAAAATGGCATACGGTCAGAGCGGGTGGGCGGAAGACGAAACTCTTGTCGAAATTTTAAGAGCTAAAACATAAGTCGAATAGATCATTTTTTAATTGGTTGTTTCATAACAAGTCCAAATACTACAATTCTTACATAGTAAGTAGTAAAGTAAAGTTCCCTTTGAAACCTAACGGTCTATGGGGCAAAGTGAAGTAGAGTTCACTTGTTTCTTGGACCTCGGCATATGAAGAGATAGTGTGGTCAGTTCTATGCCCAGCCGCCTTTGCTTTCCCTAACGTACCCATTAGAGTTGGCTGGACTCAGGGACGTTCTACTGACTAAAATCCGGATTCGAACTCGAGACTTACGGGTTAGCAGTCCAGCTCTCTACCGCTAGGCTACTCCGTCCCATTTTTTCAACCTAACTGATGATTTAAAACTATAATAAACTTTTATCGAAATTGATCTAAAGACACAACCTAAAGTAGACAAAATAAGCACGCATTCTAAAGCAGTGGTTCTTAACCTTTTTTGGAGGTACCGAACCCTACCAGTTTCTTATGCGCCTTCACTGAATCCTTCTTAATAGTTTTAATTTATCGTCCATATTGACAAAATCTTATCGTGAATCATATGTCGGGTGTGTGCAAGCTCTGAGACTAACATACCGAACCTCTTGGGTTCGATTGAACCCAAGTTAAGAACCACTGCTCTAAATTCTTTTGATTTTCTTCTTTTTTTCCGTTTCGGTTTCCCAATGAGCATAAGCGTAAGAAACACTTCGTCAACTCACTTGATTTTTATGAAGATAGAACCCTGATAATCCAGCCTCCCACATCTCTATTTCAAACGATTTCCTTCTGGACTTTTTGTCTCCTTCTCTTCCTCTTTCCCCGTGGACTTTACAGCAGCACCTGCTTAGTGATTTAATTACTGATATTGTGCCCTAACCACCTTTTTTTCAATGTTCTTATTTCTTTCTCCAACGTATGTAATCTACCTCCGACAATGCATTTGAATTTCACATTGTCTTAGAGTGTTAAAACGCGTTTTATTGCTGCTTATTATAATCAGAAGGTCATGGGAGATGCCAATATCATTAAACTGGTAATTACAGCTTCTTCAATCAATACAATTAGTTCTGCTTTTGTTGTTGACTGTGTGCGAGAAGGTAGGGCACATCTGCGAAATCCAAGACTTCGAGCTGTTAACATCAGTTGGATTCCAATTTGTTTCCTCTAGATCAGGGGTTCCCAACCCCGTGCCCGTGGGCGCCATGGCGCCCGCTGAACGATTCGTATGTGCCCGCCTCTCACTATTCGACAGAGACAGAATTTTTTTTCATAAACATTATTGAAAGGTTGAAGTGGATGGAAATCGAAAGTTTGAGGGGGGGGGGGGGGGGGGTTGCAAATGAAATCGAAAGTTTGAGGGGGGGGGGTGCAAATCGAAAATTTGAGGGGGGGGGGGTTCAAATCGAAAGTTTTGTCCCCGGGTGACGGGAAGGGTCGCTACGCCTCTGGAAGGAGTTTGTCGATTTAAAATAAGTGGTGCCCGCCACCCTACCTATATTTTAGAAAGTGCTCTAGAGAAAAAAAAGGTTGGGAACCCCTGCTCTAGATTGTTTCGTTATACCATCAACCAGTCAACGGAATACCCATGTCGTATTCCAATGTGAACAATAAATGTTTCTGATAACTTGCTCTTGTATGTCACATGTGTGTCCTTATTCTAACAAACTTATGATCCAACTATGTACCATATCACAACAGTGATCGTTCAAAAAATAGAACTTAAAAGCTGGTCTAAATAAATTAGCGCTTGTTACAAACCACCCTCTAACTCAGATCAGGCATATTTTTTTCTGACATTACTAACCGTTTGTAAAAGGAAAACGCATCTTAATGGGAATTTAATTGGCTTAGAGTAAAGTTTCAAGGAATGAAAATCATACACTGCAATTATTAAACCTTGTCCGGACTGTCGCACACACGCTTACACACACACACAGACATCTACACTCTTACACACACAAACACGCTTATATACACACACACACACACACACATATATATATATATATATATATATATATATATATATATATATATATATATATATATATATATATATATATATATATATATATATATATATATATATATATATATATATAAAGTGCGGCGGGGGGGGGGGGGGGGGGGCGCCAAATTGAAAGTTCGCCCCGGGCGCCGGGAAGGGTCGCTACGCCTCTGGGGCTATGGCATCATTTATGGGCGACCGCTAAGGAAGGGGGGTGGGGCTACAACGTGTGACGACACACTGTTGCATTTGTAAAATGTAAGGTTAGAAAGCTTTATTTAGCCGCTATTTGGTGTTTTTGGAAAGCTGTTTATGTAAAGTGTATTGGAAATCGATTAATATAGCCGAGTCTATGCTGACTCATTTCAGTCAATAGTTTAGAAACATGTTGTTGTTTTTTTTTAAAAAAAAAGCTATTTTCAAGGGAGGGGGTTTGTAGGTAAAGGCTTGACGTCATTTTAAGGGGGTTGTGACTTTTTGTGAAGATGTGTGACGATAGGCAGGGGCGTAGCGAGGGGGGGGGGCGGGGGGTGCGGACCGCACCGGGTGACACCATTTAGGGGGGTGACACCAAGGCAAAAAATAGCAAAATATATAGAGAAAAACTCGAGGGGGGGGGGTGCAAATCGAAAGTTTGAGGGGGGGGGGGGTGCAAATCGAAAACTCGAGGGGGGGTGCAAATCGAAAATTTGAAAGTTTGTCCCTGGGAAGGGTCTCTATGCCTCTGAGGGGGTGACACCATTAAGTGCCGCACCGGGTGACACCCGACCTCGCTACGCCACTGACGATAGGCATGGGGTGGAGTTGGAGGTATTATTTAAAATATGACCAAAAAGAGCTTATTTAAAAATAGAAAAAGTAAATAAAGTACATAGACCTCATTATTGTTCATAAGATCTTTTTTTTTTATTATAAAACAAACAGCAAAAACAAAGCTTGGTCATAAAATTATTAAAATGTAGTTTTCTCTAGGCATAGATTTTCCAAGTTTAAAATTTTAAACTATGTTAAACCCAAGTCACTGGTCAAGCTTTTGTGTTTAAAGTTTAGGTAAATTTAATGCGCAACCGCAGTGAGAATGTTTACATGGAATCCAAGATGGTGGGGAAGAAAGGAAAGAAAAAGAGCAAAGAGGTTGTTTAGTAATTTTTTAATTTATTATGTTATTTAACATTCATATTTTATAAAAATGGGTAATTGTTTTTCTTTAAAACGTGTTTCTTTTTATTTATAAATTCCAGATCGAATGAAGTTATAATTTATTTCCTTTCACATTATAAATTGGTAAATCACTGCAAACTGAAAAGTCAAAGAGAATTCGCGTTGGAACATGTCACATCAACATCACAACTCAGCTTATTAGACTCCAGTCCCGGTTTAGACTATAATAAACTAAAACTTTGAAATGAGTAGATCTAGATCACACTAATATATACTATTATATTTGGTCTAGATCTACTTAATTTAAGGTTAAGACTTTAACAATCTAAATATTAAATAATAGTTTTTTTCACTAAATCTAGAATTTACGCAATTATCAATTTAAACATGACCACTGAATAATAGACATCCATATTTAATCCATTAGGCACTAACTTTGGAGTTTTTAGTTCGTTTTAAACTAAATTACTTAATTTAATATTTATTGTCAATCACTGCCATGTCCAACACATCTCTCCATGACAACTCTTCTTAAGCTTGAAGCTAAAGAAAACCACAAATCAAGTTAGACTTTTTAAGTGGCCATGCACAAGAGTTCCTGACTAGTGATCACCAAATAGTGGTCACGTGGTTTTTTTTCAAAAAAAATTTGGTTGTCATTTTTTCGGCTGGTCTCATAAAAAAACGGTTGACGATATTTGATTTATTTTTTCATAGACTGATAAAACTAATAATGCTTTAGTATGGAAATCAATTTTGTTATATGGAAATCGATATTTAAAAAGTTCTAGTATTTTTGATGAAACCAACTTTTAAATTTAGCCTTTATTCTCCAACGCAAATTTTAAAATGCTTTTCTGGCATATATAGCCCTGCCACCTATAGCTTGTTGTTATAACGTGTAAGTCCCGCCATTTTGCGCGTGGTAAACATTTTAAAAACTAATTAGTAGAAGGTCTCTGGAACTTGGCCGAAAAATCGTCGGAAGTCAAGCGTCCGGTCCGGGCGCCATATTGTTGTTAGCAACCGACCACGCCTCCAAGTTAGCGAGTAATACTATTAAATAAGATGGGAAAACAGATCCAATCACCAAACACCTAAGCCTAAACACATTATGACTTATGATCTTATATCTTAGATGACATTATATGGGACATTTATTCTTAAGTTTATTCGAGATTGAAGATTATACTTTTAGGGTTAATTTTCATCGATTTTCAAAAAAATAACAACTGAGTTAAATAGGCCTGTAGACAGAACATTAAAATTTAAAAGTAAAATGTCTATTTAATACTATTTATTAGATTAATATTTAGTAAGAGTAAGAACTTGATTAGTTTTAGATTTAGCACTTGATACTTATTCAAAGGAGTGACCCTTTCAAAGGTTTAAACTATTTTTCAGATGTAGGCCTAAATTCTTTATTTTTAAATAATTACATTATTTAATTTCCATTAATTTAAAACCAATTAGCCTACTTATTAAAATTAATAGCAAACCGAAATAAAAAAAACTTTACTATCAACTGATACTCAAAGTTCTCTTGTTTCAATGATAAATCATATTTTATAACATGAGCGTGCATAGAGCAAAGGTTGACTTATCATAAATGGATGAATGTCAAAAGCACACAAAAAAATCCATGGCAAAATAGAACATATCTGTTACTTATTGTATCTTATAATATGGGGTCGGCGTGGTCGAGTCGGTAAAGCTCATGGTTCCTAAACCGAAAAGTCGAGTTCGAACCCTCAGGCAGAGGAGGCTCGTTAGCTGGGGACAGCCACTCTTCTAAGTGGAAACAACTCCAAAATCAAACAACTGCTGCCTTGTAGTTTGTTCTTGGTTGGACAAAGGCTATGGAAGCAAATCCAAAAAGAAAAGCAGGCTGAAATCGGAGTCAATGGCCTCAACGGCGCATAATCAGTTGACACGTATCCTTAATTGTGATGGAGGCGTGGTCGAATCTGCAAAAAGCTCATGGTTGATAAATTCGAAAAAAGTCTCGAGTTCAAACCCTCTGGCAGATAAGGCATTTTCCTAAAATGATATTAAAATACATGCTTTGAAGTAAAAAACCTATATTTTTTATTCATGAAAAATAATCATTATTAATTGCAATCAGCATTTTTTATGATTAAGAAGTATCATAATTATATGCTTTTGTTTTTTTCATATTAAATTAAAAAATCATAAAAATACTTTTTTCTTACATTTATCTTTATAGCATTCATTTCTCAATGTAAAAAATCTATTTAAAACAAGCTAATTTTAAAAAGAATTGTCCCTTAGCGTATTTTAAAAGTACATGTACAACCCAACTAGATTCCTTTAGTCATGATTTGCATATTTCGCATCCTTTGCTGTGGCATTAAATATCGTCATAAACTAATTCCATTAATATATTGCCTGCGAAGCTTCCAAAGACATAACTCGATCTATTTACATTAAAAAAATCACCAAAGGATGTCTGGGTTAGAAGATTATGAACGAGCCGACCCGCGGCGTATCATACGCCGCTATATAGTTGTTTTATTTTCTACTTTTCAGTAATTCATAATTTGTGAATTCGACAGTACCACTGCTGTCACTGAAAATATTTGCTTTAAAACACTATCAGTAAGTCGTTAAGGATGATAACCTCCCCCCCTCCTTTCCCCCAACCCCTTAACCCCCCCCCCCCCCCCCCCCCCCCCGTGAAAACAGCCTCCTCTTAGCTACCTCCCCTAAGTTCAAAATCTTTCAAACTAAATTATTTGCCCCTAATAGCCGTCACTAAACCCGGCTCTACGATTGTAAACATTTAGCGCGAACCACAGCTCACCAGACTTCCTAGAGAGGAAGAGAGGGGACTGCAAGGCGCACTTACAGCTTGTTTTCTAATGTCTCCAAAAAGAGAATTATATATATAGAAGATGGCAAAGATAAAGTTTTGCTGTAAAAATGTAAAGCTATCTAAAAAAAAGTTTAAAACCTAAATTAATTTTTTTTATCCATCCGAAGCAATAACAGATATCGGATATTAATAATAATATTAATTTTAATTAATCCTTCAGTTTATGACTAAAACTTTCAGTAACAAACATATTACACATTGACAAGGAAGTAGAGCTAGATGTAATAAAAATTTCAAATGATGTAAAATAATGTTAGCTTTTACTTTGGTCAATTCAAAATCAAAATTTAAAACCCTTGCACATACTGTATCATACTGATTCAGCTACATTAGTTTTTAAAATTGAGAACATATTTTGGATAAGGTCATGTGCTGTAAAGGGCTTAATGTAAAAACCTGAAAATGTTAACAAACTGCTAATAATTGACTGATTATATACAAAGTTTATAGATATATTACAGATCCTTGTTTTTTATCATTGTTTTTTATACTGAATGAATTCTCATCTAGGTAAAAAATAAATAATTAAAAAGTGTCGTGTAAAGTGAATCTCCAACAAAATATACACAGAAATTATCTTTAAAACTGTGACATTTAAAACTGACTTGTACTTGTGTTGGAAGAAGACACCAAGAATATTGGATACACCTGGGGACAGTTGGAGAGACTAGCCCAGAACAGAGATGCCTGGAAAGCTCTTGTCAGCGGCCTATGTCCCAGTAGGGACGACATTCAAACCTAACCTAACCTATATTTGTGTACAATTTTATACTTTACTCACACAATTCACTCTCTTCATAACAGGTTAAGTCAGCTGTTGTGCCATCGAGCGCATTTGCCGCTGTTCCCACATCGGTAACTGCGCCTGCTGCTATGGCCCCATCTACCTCAGGCAAGACCAAGCAGGTGGCATCACCACGTATCCTTGGCCAGCCCAGCTCCCCAGTGGATGAGTTTAGTGAACCTGAGAGCAGTTTGTTTGACTACCAGCAGATGGACGAGGCTGGGTAAGGATGTTACAAATATGGGTCCTTGGTTGTTAGCCATCAACACTTGTTTACAATAGTTGGATTTTATTATCAGTAGACTAGAAAATGGGTTCTCATGTGCTAGCCATATACATTAAATTAAAGGAACGGAGTGGCCCAGCTGGACTGCTAACCCGTAAGTCTTAAGTTGAATCTGGGTTCAAGTCATTAGACCGTCCCTGAGTCCACCCAGCTCTGATGGGTACCTAACTCATGTTAGGGTAAGTAAAGGCGGCTGGGCATAGTGCTGACCACACTATCCCTTCATATGCCGAGGTCACAGAAACAGGTGGGCTCTACTTCACTTGCTCCGTAGACCGCCAGGTTTGATAGGGAACTTTACTTATTTATACATTAAATTATAACAAATACGTTTCATCAATAGCTAAATACATGGATTCTCATTTGTTAGCCATATACATTAGATTATAACAAATAGGTTTCATCAATAGCTTAATACATAGGTTCTTATTTGTTAGTCATATACATTAGATTATAACAAATAGGTTTCACCAATAACTAAATACATGGGTTAGATTATTACAGCTATATTTCATCAGCTAAGGATGTTATAGACATGGGCTTTTATTAATAACAGGATTTTATGTCCAATAGTGCTTTAGCTGATGTAGGTTCATGGTCTGTGACACCATGTTTTCCCACTTATTGTAGGTGGCCTGTCATCTTTACCTCAGCAGATATTGCTGATACTAATTAACCCATTGTGTTTGGGGTTAAAATCAAGTTCAGGACTGGTGTTGTTTGAGATTCAGGCTTGTCAATGGCAATGACAGTCACTCAAATGTGTCAATATGGCTGACTAAAATGCATAGAGAAAAGATTTTGTTTTAAAAATATTATTTTTTGTTGTTGTAAATATAGAATGCACTTTTTGCCTACAAACTAAAACCTAAGTAAAAAAGTTTTTGAAATTCTTTCAGTTACATGACGGTGGGTTTTGGTACCTGGCCTACTAAAGGGAAACAACAAAGAAGTGGAATGCAAGCACAACCTCAGTTCCGCAACTCTGGATCTACAGGAATTTATGCAACACCGGGTAAATTATATCCAGAACAAACTTTATAGTTGTTGGGGATTATTGAGTTTTGCTACATTTGTACACAAGTAAAATAGTGTTTACTGTCTTCTTTAGCATAAATCAAAATTTGGCTGTACTTATTGCTATAGACTAGATTTAACTTTAAATTTTACTCTAAAACATTTTACCTTCCGATGTTATTATGTGCTGGCCGTAGAATAGATGTTGCTAATATATTTGAATAATTGTTCTTTTGTCTGACTTTGCATCAATTTATCTGGTAAAAAAGGAGATGTTGAAGTATTGGCACAAGGGGACTCATCCCACATTGGCAACATCTCTGATCTCTACGCCACGCCAATGAAGAAAAAAGGAAAAGCGGTAAAAGTTGTGGTCTCTTTGTTTTGTTGGAAACACATTATTGTTGTAATTAGTTTTTAAAGTAGTTTTAGTTCATTTTATGTGTAATGTTGTTGCTTACATAAATATTTTATTTAACCTTTTGTCTGCATGAATAAAACCCCTTTTGTTTCTTATCAGTTTTTAGCTTTTGCATTTTTAATTTGCTTTGTTGACACATAGAAACGAGACACTTCAGAGGTGGATGGTGGGACACTGTCCAGAACACACCAAGCGGTTGAGACAGAGATGAAGAAGATTTATAACATGACATCAGAGCCTAATGATACTGTAAGAAATAGTTGTTGATTCTGTGGGTTCCATTAAGTTATTTAATGAGCCCCTATATTGTGATTCAGTGGGATCCCATATTGTGATTCAGTGGGATCCCATATTGTGATTCACTAGGGCCCAATATTGTGATTCAGTGGGACCCCATATTGTGATTCAGTGGGACCCCATATTGTGATTCAGTGGGACCCCATATTGTGATTCAGTGGGATCCCATATTGTGATTCAGTGGGACCCCATATTGTGATTCAGTGGGATCCCATATTGTGATTCAGTGGGGCCCAATATTGTGATTCAGTGGGATCCCATATTGTGATTCAGTGGGATCCCATATTGTGATTCAGTGGGACCCCATATTGTGATTCAGTGGGACCCCATATTGTGATTCAGTGGGACCCCAAATTGTGATTCAGTGGGACCCCATATTGTGATTCAGTGGGATCCCATATTGTGATTCAGTGGGATCCCATATTGTGATTCAGTGGGATCCCATATTGTGATTCAGTGGGACCCCATATTGTGATTCAGTGGGACCCAATATTGTGATTCAGTGGGATCCCATATTGTGATTTAGTGGGACCCAATATTGTGATTCAGTGGGACCCCATATTATGATTCAGTGGGACTCCATACTGTGATTCATATAATGATTCAGTTTAGTCCCATGAAATGATTCAATTACCAACTTACTTCTCAGGTTTAAAATGTATTATCACAAAGCTTAATCATAGTAATCCTTTATGCAATAAAGGTTAACAATTGTGAAAACTAAATTATTGAAGCTCAATAAAGCTTAGTTGAACTTTTCTGAATACAATATTTACTGGATTCTAAAAAGTTTATTTTATGAATTACTGTATTAGTGAAACCAAATCCCTGCCCCTTGCTTTTAATGTGAGTTTTTAAATGTGTGGATTTTTCAATTTTATTAAAGGCTGATTGCTTTTCTGAAGGATTGAGTCAAGTTTAACGAAAGTTGATTAAACATTTAGCACCAGTTTTTGTATTTCCCAGCATTCAACTATTTAGCCAGATTGATTTTAAAGCTTATGGGGTTATTTGTCTGAAAAAGGCTATACGTGGTTAGAAACTATCATTCACTAACTGACATTTTTGTGTTGATGTTTTACATTTACTCCTGAATCCATAATTTTGCTCAGAGAAAAGTAACACAATTTTTATAATTATTTAAAGATTTATCTATCTTCAGAATCAATTGAAAATGGGTTAAAGCACACACTTGTGAAAAATATAATTTCTACATATTAAAACCTTTTACTAAATGTGGTAACTCCTGCCATTTTCAATGACTCTCTATTACTGACAGTTGCATTCTAAAACCTCCCAAAATAAAAAAATAAATGACATTTTACTTTCACACTTACAGGTTAGTTCATCTGCTTTTTTTTTCTGTAACTTTGTAAAAGTTTAGTTTTTTACTTATCTCAGATGAAAGAAGTTCGAGCCATGGTGCACCACTCACACCCAGGGAGTCACCAGACAGACAGTGGACGTGGGTCAACAAGACCTCGTAAGTCTTGTTTTACATTGTCATCTAATTTCCCATTGTGTTTAAGTAGAGGTTAAGTTTTAAAAGCCAATGTAAAACATTATTAGCCAAGTTAAAGATGATATGTCGGATTTAATTTATAGTTACCTCTGAAAAATCCCTTCCAAATATTTAAAAATTTAATTTAATTGTAGTTGATTCAATTTTCCCTGTATCACCTAATAACACTCACTAAATTAACTAAAAAAAAGTTCCATTTTTCCTAATCGTCACCTAATTTTGCTCATGTCCGTAAAAAAGATATTTCATTTTCCTTATGTGTCCCCTAATAACACCCACTTAATTAAATTAAATAAACTTTCATTTTCCCTGTCACTTAATATCACTCACTGCCCTAAAATAAACGTCCATTCTCCCTAAGTGTCACTTAATATCACTCACTTCTGTAAAATAAACTTGCCATTTTCCCTAAGCATCACCTTATATTACCCACATAAGTTAAATGTTCTGTGTTTTGCTCCAGACATTAAAAAGGAGATCCTATATTTGGACTGCTATATTTACAAGCATCTTTTTTTTTAAAATATGACTAATGCTTCAAAAGAGTATTAATTCAAGCAGTTATTGTTGTTTCTATTTGAATTAGAATTGGTATAGTAAAATAAAATAAAAACATTTCATTCACCAACTACACTCAAGTTTCTGTTTATTGAGTACATCAATATCTAATTACTGCATCAATTTTATCTAATAAACTATTAACATTTATTGAGTTTGCCCACCGATATTTATTAAGTACATCAAACATTATTGAACACTCCAGTTTTTATATAATTACTAACTAGCAGTATTAATAACTCATTTTGTTTTGAGCAATTTTTAAATATTGTTTTGTAACATTTTAAAAAATTATCGCCTATAAAGTAATTAAGTTTGACAATTAATATTTTCTCATCTTCACTGTTTGTTTCGTTGTGTACAACCAATACATATTAACATATTGTAAACATTATATTTTTTTTAAACTTTTCCCTATTTTTTGGTATTGTTCTGTAACATTAAAAAAAAAAAAAATTATAGTTTTTAAAATACTTAAGTTTTAAAATTAACACCTGCTCAGCTGCACTGTTTATTTTGTTGTGTACTCCACCTCAACTATCCATTACAATAGTCATTGTTATTCAGGGTGTCAAAGCTGGCGTAGCTTACATTGCTTGCTTTTTGTTTATGTTTTTTTTTTTCGCCTTATCTTTGCCTACCTGTACCAAGAGAGTTTGGCTGAAGAAGAAGGTCGCCTAAGCCCAGACCTGGCCCACATATCTAACCATACAAACCAGAGTAGGTCAGTGCATGCGACCATATCCTCGCTGGAGGCCCAGCCGACAGATCTGTTTGACCGCGGTCGAGGGAAGCCGCAGTTGCTGGGTAACGAAGTTGTGGAGGAGCTAATCAAAGCTAGCAAAACAGGTTTTTTTTTACTTTTATCATCAGTAACATACCCACACGAGAGAAAATCAGATTGATAACTTCATGTTCATAATAGAAGGCTGGTACAAATGTAAACACGTGAGATTTGAAACAAAAAGTTGTCTTATTATTATGTAGGATTTGAAACTGGAGGCAAAATGTTTTTTTCTGCTCAGCGTATCTAGGGTGGTGGGGTGTGGTTTTTTAAATCTTTTTGTAGAAAATAAATATTTTTGTTTTTACATTTTTTATTAAAATGGCTTTTTATGCTGTATTTTACATTCAACTATAACAATAACAAAAAAATATATATTTTTGTTTGCAATGCTTGGCTATAGTAATTTTTATTGATAAAGTGAATTTAATTTTATTAGTCAAAATATCTTTTCTGTTCATTTTCATTTTTCTTAATGGTTTTACGCTGTTGTTATCATTGGATATAGATTTCCCATAATTAATTATGGTGGCTTGGTATAGGCACACTCATTTACATGCTTGGTGCAAGGCAGGGATGTGTAGCCTGCAGTGATGTGTAAACTGTAGGGATGTGTAGAGTGCAGGGATGTGTAGAGTGCAGTGATGTGTAGCCTGCAGGGATGTGTAGAGTGCAGATGTGTAGAGTAGCGATGTGTATAGTGCAGGGATGTGTAGAGTGAAGGGATGTGTAGCCTGCAGGGATGTGTAGAGTGCAGTGATGTGTAGAGCGTAGGGATGTGTAGCCTGCAGGCATGTGTAGAGTGTAGATGTGTAGAGTGTAGGGATGTGTAGATGTGTAGAGTGAAGGGATGTGAAGCTTGCAGGCATGTTTAGAGTGTAGATGTGTAGAGTGAAGGGATGTGTAGCCTGTAGGGATGTGTAGAATGCAGTGATGTGTAGCCTGCAGGTATGTGTAGAGTAGGGATGTGTAGATGTGTAGAGTAGGGATGTGTAGAGTGCAGGGATGTGTAGAGTGTAGGGATGTGTAGATGTGTAGAGTGCAGGGATGTGTAGATGTGTAGAGTAGGGATGTGTAGAGTGTAGGGATGTGTCGAGTGTAGAGTAGGGATGTGTAGCCTCTAGGGATGTGTAGAGTAGGGATGTGTAGCCTCTAGAGATGTGTAGAGTGTAGATGTGTAGCCTGTAGGGATGTGTAACCCGCAGTGAGGATCTGCTCAGGGCTTTGAAACAAATAACTGCAGCTCATTGCATTAGAATTAAAATGTTTTACAAAGAACAGAGTGGAGAAAAAAAACATTTTTAATGTAATTTACTTAACTGAAAAGTGTTGGAACTAAAATCAAACAGCCCCCCCCCCCCCCAATTTTTAAACATAAATAATTTGTGAAATGTCACTATACTATTGAAAGTTTTAAAAACGCTGGTCTAGGGTGTAAAAATATCTAAATACAGATGTGGTTATTATCTATTTTTATACCTGCAATGTTTTTGTTTATTCTGTAGTCAACATAATTTTAATATTATTGATTTTAATGGAACTTTTTATTATGCATACATTTTTTTCTTGTGTATTTAGCCAGTCGTTCATCCCATATGCAGACACCTCGGAGCATGAACCGAGGGCCAGGAGTGGATGGAGAGGTGCATCAGCTCAGGTCACAGAATGAGGAAATGTTGGCAGAGCTTCATTCCCTCAGGAGGGTGGCGGAGGCTATCAGGGATGGGAGTAAGTTGATGTTAGAGGTGGGAGGTGGGAGTAAGTTGGTGTCAGAGGTGGGAGTAAGTTGGTGTGGGAGGTGGGAGTAAGTTGGTGTGGGAGGTGGGAGTAAGTTGGTGTCAGAGGTGGGAGTAAGTTGGTGTGGGAGGTGGGAGTAAGTTGGTGTGGGAGGTGGGAGTAAGTTGGTGTGGGAGGTGGGAGTAAGTTGGTGTTGGAGGTGGGAGTAAGTTGGTGTGGGAGGTGGGAGTAAGTTGGTGTGGGAGGTGGGAGTAAGTTGGTGTGGGAGGTGGGAGTAAGTTGGTGTGGGAGGTGGGAGTAAGCTGGTGTGGGAGGTGGGAGTAAGTTGGTGTGGGAGGTTGGAGTAAGTTGGTGTGGGAGGTGGGAGTAAGTTGGTGTGGGAGGTGGGAGTAAGTTGGTGTGGGAGGTGGGAGTAAGTTGGTGTGGGAGGTGGGAGTAAGTTGGTGTGGGAGGTGGGAGTAAGTTGGTGTGGGAGGTGGGAGTAAGTTGGTGTGGGAGGTGGGAGTAAGTTGGTGTGGGAGGTGGGAGTAAGTTGGTGTGGGAGGTGGGAGTAAGTTGGTGTGGGAGGTGGGAGTAAGTTGGTGTGGGAGGTGGGAGTAAGTTGGTGTGGGAGGTGGGAGTAAGTTGGTGTGGGAGGTGGGAGTAAGTTGGTGTGGGAGGTGGGAGTAAGCTGGTGTGGGAGGTGGGAGTAAGCTGGTGTGGGAGGTGGGAGTAAGTTGGTGTGGGAGGTGGGAGTAAGTTGGTGTGGGAGGTGGGAGTAAGTTGGTGTCAGAGGTTGGAGTAAGTTGGTTTGGGGGAGTGCGAGTAAGCTCAGTCACGAATCTATAAAATCTTCAAAACTAAAACGCCATTTGAGACGTGTCATTCGGAACACACCGAAAAATGTATGGAGTTCTTTCGTCGGTAAGAAGCTAGTTGCAAACGTCAGAGACTTGATCGAACAGGAAGTTTTCACCAGCATTAGTGCAAGCATCAAATGAAGTCGCGATAGAAAATGCCAAGCAAAAAAAAAAAAAAAAAAAACAATAGGAGAAAATCTCATCAAACGCTGCATGTACGTAAATGTTAAATAACACATTTTTATTGAAATTAAGCTTTCACCATTGTTTGCTTTTCAAGTTGATAAATCATCAGACGTGAGTTTGTGTTCGCAGTTGCTGGTCTGTGTCTATATGCATGCGGATGATAGCAATGAAGAGTGAATAGAGAAAATAAATACCCTTTTTGAAACTTGATGATTAAAATGGGGTTGTACGGATGGTGCGCTATCTATGTTTAGCTCAAAATCGGGCTTTCAGAAAACAGAAAAGATTTAGCTCCCTAACCACTGCCCTAACCAATCGATATTAAGAGTCCATTGCTAGTATAAGTCGTAAATTATATAAAATATGGAGCCTTCAAAGAACTGAGCAAAAACATTAATATAGATCACGAGGTTCTGCTCTTCTACACTACAGTACGTTGGCTGTCAAACGAAATGTTGTAAATTGTGATTTTTAGATTGAAATCTGAAATCGAATTGTTCTTTGAAGTGCAAAGGAAACAAGACTTTTTGGTATACTTAAAACGAGATAGAGTGGTTGGAGAGAGTATCATGTGTTCGAACAAGATAAGCTTAACCTGAAGCTTCAAGGAAAATGAACGAATATTATAACTTTCCATGATAATCTCGGGGCATTTTTATCAAAGCTGCAAAATCGGTAAAGAAAATAAATCTTGGAAATATTGTAAATTTGAGAAACTCTGCTGTGTGGTAGATGAATCTGATTGTGAGATAATTAAAATTTTGAAAGAAGCAATTTCTGGGCATCTTGAATCTCTTGAAAACGAACTGCATCGCTATTTCTCTGAGCTGAAAAAAGAAGAATCTGCATTTACGCATTACCCATTCTCTACTTCCCTTGATGTTGCCAGCATTCCTGATGAATTACAAGATGAGTTCTTTGATTTGCAGAATGATTCCGCGTAAGATGAAAAACTGCACACACAATTTTGGTGTAGTATTCACCATTCATACCCAAACGTAAAATTGATTGACTTTTCAAGAATATATTTTCAACACTATTCTTCGATTAAAAACAAAATTAAGATAATTATAATGACATAGTTTGGCGTTAACAAAAATTTTTAAATTAAAAACTTAACCACGAAGGTTTAGTGAATAGTATGAAAATTTTACTCATGCTATTAAAATAGTTATCAAGAGTAGTTCATATTGAAAGTCTACTAGAAAATCTTATTTTAGTGCTTATTAATTTCCATACTAATTTCGGCTTTTTAATTCTATGGGGGTCGCGGGTCACTTACCTTTTATAAAAGGGGGTCGCCACTCGAAAAAGGTTGGGAACCACTGCTATAGATTGATGAAGGTTTTATTTTATATGCTTTCTAGTTAAAGTTTTTATTTTTACATATGTGTTTCTCATTCAGATGTGGAGAGTGCGCAAGCCTTGTACCTGCGGCGTCAGATGGAAGACATCAAAGAAGAGAACGACACCCTCAAGTCAACTGTCCATAGACTAAATGTGGAGCTCAGTGACTGCCTTGCTAAATATAGACCAGTAGATTCAGCGCAGCTTAAGCAGGTAAAATATTTGTTTCGTTTTATTTGATATGAGCCGGCCCACAGCGTATATCATACGCCGCTAATACGCCGCTATTTAGTTGTTGTTTTTTCTACTTTTCAGTAATTCATAATTTGTGAATTCGACAGTACCAACGCTGCCACTGAAAATATTTCTTTAAAATAAATAGCTCATTAGGGACGATAACCCCCCCCCCCCGTTCCCCCCCCCCCCCTCTGTTAAAGTAAACTCCTTTTAGTTACCCCCCCCCCCCCACCTTTAAAATTGTTTCAAACTAAATTATCTGCCCCTAATAGTCGTCACTAAACCCGGCTCTGCTTGTAAACATTTACCGTGAACAATAACTCACCAGACCATGTAGGGGTGGGGGTGGTAGGGAGCGCGCTTACAGCTTGTTTTCAAGCGTCTCCCAGAAGAGAATTATATATATAGATATGTGAGTCATCAAGATTTGGTACGTTTTTGCCAGAGGAGACCAATCTGTTTCTATGAAAAAATTCGTATGACAATAACTTAGTCATAGAAGTTCTACTACTTTGATAAATCTTGAGTGGTGTTGGTGAGGGGAAGTGTGTCAATAGACACAAAACGGTTTGCTTCTGTGGTTAAAAAAAAATTATCCTTTTTAACCTGATGGTCAGTATTGCAGGTGAAGTAGAGTTCATGTGTTGCACTGACCTCGGCTTATGAAAGAATAGTGTTGTCAGCACTGTGCCCTGCAGCTTTTACTTTCCCTAATGAGCTTGGTGGACTCAAGGACATTCTACAGATTTGAACCTCATGTTACAGGCTTTTGAAAAACCCAAACCAGAATAAGTTACCACAAATCGCTATAAAACATAATACAGAACTACAAATCTGATTTAAAACCTGGGACTTAACCATCTGACCGTACAATCTCCTTACATGTCCCAAGTTTGCAAGGCAGATTAGTCTTGATAGCTGGTGACAGCAATCCATCTAAAAAAAAGCTAAAGCAAGCAACTGCTTTCTTGTATTTTGTTCTTGAATGGACAAAAGCTATGGAAACAAATCCCTTAAAAAAAAAGCAGGCTGAATTCAGAGTCAACGGGATTACGGCCCATAACGCGTTGACACGTGATGCATAATTGTGTTTGGGGAAACCCTTTCCAACATTACAATTAAAAACAAAGAAGAAGAAAAGGGTTATCTGTAACCACATCATTATTTAAAGTCTAGAGCTTGGTTTACAGTTAAAAGTACAAAGATTAGCCAGAATAGCATAAAATTAGTTTATTTAGTTTCTAAAAGTTTGTTACTGGGCCATGACTAAATTGCAGGCTGAATAAAATTAAACAGTTGGATTACATTTCTGCTAAATGTTTCAGGTGATAGAAATCAATGGCCTACCTGTGTTTATAATGGATCACTGTATTTTGTATGTTTCCCTCAGGTGATAGAAATCAATGACCTAACTGTGTTTATAATGGATCACTGTATTTTGTATGTTTACACAGGTGATAGAAATCAATGACCTAACTGTGTTTATAATGGATCACTGTATTTTGTATGTTTACACAGGTGATAGAAATCAATGACCTAACTGTGTTTATAATGGATCACTGTATTTTGTATGTTTACACAGGTGATAGAAATCAATGACCTAACTGTGTTTATAATGGATCACTGTATTTTGTATGTTTCCTCAGGTGATAGAAATCAATGGCCTACCTGTGTTTATAATGGCTCACTGTATTTTGTATGTTTCCTCAGGTGATAGAAATCAATGGCCTACCATCAAAAGGTCCTGTTCCATCTTGGCTGGTGAGTTACATTCATCTTTTCACCATTTGAGTATTGTGAACCATGTTTTGTGACCCTCTGGGTTGGCCTGTATTGTGACCCTCTGGGTTGGCCTGTATTGTGAGCCCCTGGGTTGGCCTGTATTGTGACCCCCTGGGTTGGCCTGTATTGTGACCCCCTGGGTTGGCGTTGGCCTGTATTGTGACCCCCTGGGTTGGCCTGTATTGTGACCCCCTGGGTTGGCCTGTATTGTGACCCATAGGTTGGCCTGTATTGTGACCCATAGGTTGGCCTGTATTGTGACCCCCTGGGTTGGCCTGTATTGTGACCCCCAGGGTTGGCCTGTATTGTGACCCCATTAATTGGCCTGTATTGTGACCCCCTGGGTTGGCCTGTATTGTGAGCCCCAGGGTTGGCCTGTATTGTGACCCCCTGGGTTGGCCTGTATTGTGACCCCCTGGGTTGGCCTGTATTGTGACCCCCTGGGTTGGCCTGTATAGTGACCCATGTTTTGTGACACATGGGTTGGCCTGTATTGTGACCCCCTGGGTTGGCCTGTATTGTGACCCCCTGGGTTGGCCTGTAAAGTGACCCCCTGGGTTGGCCTGTATTGTGACCCCCTGGGTTGGCCTGTATAGTGACCCATGTTTTGTGACACATGGGTTGGCCTGTATTGTGACCCCCTGGGTTGGCCTGTATTGTGACCCCCTGGGTTGGCCTGTATTGTGACCCCAGGGTTGGCCTGTATTGTGACCCCCTGGGTTGGCCTGTATTGTGACCCCAGGGTTGGCCTGTATTGTGACCCCCTGGGTTGGCCTGTATAGTGACCCATGTTTTGTGACACATGGGTTGGCCTGTATTGTGACCCCCTGGTTTGGCCTGTATTGTGACCCCCTGGGTTGGCCTGTATTGTAACCCCCTGGGTTGGCCTGTATAGTGACCCATGATTTGTGACCCCCTGGGTTGGCCTGTATTGTGACCCTCTGGGTTGGCCTGTATTGTGACCCCCTGGTTTGGCCTGTATTGTGACCCCCTGGGTTGGCCTGTATTGTGACCCCCTGGGTTGGCCTGTATTGTGACCCCCTGGGTTGGCCTGTATTGTGACCCCCTGGGTTGGCCTGTATTGTGACCCCCTGGGTTGGCCTGGTTGTATTCTATTAATTGACCTGTTTTGTGACCCAGTACTTAGCTAGGCCAATGCCGCTGCCGAGAAAATCGGACAAATCGGCTTTTCCCTACCCCCTGCATGTTCAACTCTATTTTTTGCATGCTTTTATTATGTCTATGTTAACATGTTATACATCATTCTGTTCGTAATTGAATAACCTTTTAAACTGTATGAGTTTGATTTTAATATGATTTCAGACGTTGAAGAAATCGCCGATTGAATAGCATTTTTTACCCCCGCTGCGACGTGCCGTTTAGGGGGGGGGGGGGCTTTTTCACCTTTTTAAAACAGGGGTGTTACTTTGAGTCTATAGACTCTTCGAGTTTTCGCCCTTCAACAGTGAAACTTGGCAGAAATACAGATTAGATGTAGACGTATACAGCGCAGGGTTCGTCGTCAAAATATATTAAATACTTTCGGAGATATCGTAAAGCAAAGTTGAACCAAGTTTCCCGGGTTATTTATAGACCGATTTTTAATTTGAACCCTGCGCTGTATTGCTAAAATCTGGACGTTTATTAATATGTATGATATGTACCATAATGCTCTAAGATAGAGACGTCTATAGACTTTGAAGTGGACCGAAAATCAAAACATGACGCGCCGACCGCTGTCCGACTGAACCGCTCGGCTGTGCTTCGAAGGTAAACGGAAAAAAAGTCACAGGAAAAAAAAAACACAGAAAAAAAGTCACAGTTTTTGCTAGGAAAAAAAGTCACAGAAAAAAAGTCACAGTGGAAAAAAAATTTTGGAAAAAAAGTCACAGAAATAAAGTCACAGAAAAAAAGTCACAAAAATATTTTTAGAAATTTTTTTTGTTTTGTTTAGAATTGTAAAATTTTGTATGTTTCTTGTTGTGGGTTGTATTTTTTTATAGCATAAATTATTTATAGACGTTAAAAGCATTATGGTTTATAACAATTGTAAGTAAAAATACTCTAATATAATTTACACAACAATCTCAACTTTTGTTACGTATTTAGTTAAAAACGCGGTAGAAAATTTAACTATAAAAAATGTAGGCAAATTTTGCCGTAGGCTATTCTCTGGTCGGCCTCTCCTCAGTAGGCATTGTCCGAACATGTTATTTTGTGTTGTTGACGTCATGCGTCAATGACAGCATTTGAACCTTGTCGGCTTTCTGTTTTGATCCTAAGTTTTGTTATGTAATGAGCGTGATAAATGTGGGCAGTAAAGGTGGTTGAACTAATCATAACTATTGTTGCCATGAGTTGAGGGCAGCAAGTCAGACGAACTTACCATTTCACGGTAATTTAATGTTGGTATTTAAAAAAAACAGGATTAAAACCGTGGACTTTGGGGCATTCTATTAAACGCTACTAATCTTAAGTTTAAAATAATTACAATCTACATACTTCATACTAAATATTTTTAGATGAATTATAAAAATTCCTATGCGTATACAGCCTACACACATTACATTACATTTAATTAATCCTAAGTTAATTTGCACTCTCTGAATATTTAATACATAAAAGTATTAACAAGTATCATGCAAATATATATTTGTGACTTTTTTTCCTGTGACTTTTTTTCCTGTGACTTTTTTTCTGTGTTTTTTTTTTTCCTGTGTTTTTTTTTTCCTGTGACTTTTTTTCCTACAATCGCTTCGAATCGCCCTCTTTAAACAGACGACGCGTTACAAAATATTTATAATATTTATACACGAGTCGAGTTTACATACTACAACAGTGAAACTTGGCAGAAATACAGATTAGATGTAGAGGTATACAGCGCAGGGTTCGTCGTCAAAATATATTAAATACTTTCGGAGATAATGTAAAGCAAAGTTGAACCAAGTTTCCCGGGTTAGTTAAAGACCAATTTTTAATTTGAACCCTGCGCTGCATTGCTGAAATCTGGAAGTTTATTAATATGTATGATTTTTTCTACAATACCCCCATATAAAGCCGCCCATACATTTTAAAATGGAGCAAAAATTAAAATTAACGCGCCGACCGCTGTCCGACGGCTTGCTCTGCTGTGTCGATCTACACACTGTGGCACATCCGAATGCCTGGTCACGTGACGCAAGGCGGTCTATCCGATTGGATGATACTGTAAACAATTTCTAAAGATAGATACATGTGTTCCCGTGTTAGACTCGACGGCTATTTCTATTTTATATAGATTAGATCTCTAAGCCGACAGGCATGTTTCATAATTTTGTCCTTATCCATTTAAACGGGAAAAAAGTCTTATTAGTATTTACGGCTCAGGGTTAAAATTCATCTTGTTTTTAAAATTAATCCAGATAGTTACTGTCCGATTATAACAATTCTGCGTTTCGCGCACCCTAATTTCATTTAAAATTAGAGCATTTCTTTTTCATAAAAACGGCTTCAATTTTTTTTTTCCCCGGTCCCCCCTTTTTTTTCACTACACATTTAGAATCTACATACGCTTAACAACGTGGAGGATACTAGCCTGCCAAATTGACCAAAAAGGGATGGGGTGGGGGTAAACGGAAAAAAAGTCACAGGAAAAAAAAACACAGAAAAAAAGTCACAGTTTTTGCTAGGAAAAAAAGTCACAGAAAAAAAGTCACAGTGGAAAAATTTTATCGGAAAAAAAGTCACAGAAATAAAGTCACAGAAAAAAAGTCACAAAAATCTTTTTAGAAATATTTTTATTAATTTGTTAAGAATTGTAAAATTTTGTATGTTCATTGTTGTGGGTTGTATTTTTTGATAGCATAAATTATTTATAGACGTTAAAAGCATGATTTATAACAATTGTAAGTAAAAATACTCTAAGATAATTAACACAACAATCTCAACTTTTGTTACGTATTTAGTTAAATACGCGGTAGAAAAGTTAATTATAAAAGAAATTTATGTACATTTTGCCGTAGGCTATTCTCCGGTCGGCCTCTCCTCGGTAGGCATTGTCCGAACATATTTTGTGTTGTTGACGTTATGCGTCAATGACAGCCTTTGAACCTTGTCGGCTTTCTGTTTTGATCCTAAGTTTTGTTATGTAATGAGCGTGATAAATGTGGGCAGTAAAGGTGGTTGAACTAAACATAACTATTGTTGCTATGAGTTGAGGGCAGCAAGTCAGATGAACTTACCATTTCACGGTAATTTAATGGTATTTAAAAATAACACGATGAAAACCTTGGACTTAAGAGCATTCTATTAAATGCTACTAATCTTAAGTTTAAAATAATTACAATCTACATACTTCATAATAAATATTTTTAGATGAATTATAAAAATTCCTATGCGTATACAGCATACACACATTACATTACATTTAATTAATCCTAAGTTAATTTGCACTCTCTAAATATTTAATACATAAAAGTATTAACAAATATCATGCAAATATATATTTGTGACTTTTTTTTCCTGTGACTTTTTTTCCTGTGACTTTTTTTCCTGTGACTTTTTTTCCTGTGACTTTTTTTCCTGTGACTTTTTTCTGTGTTTTTTTTTCCTGTGACTTTTTTTCCTACAATCGGGGTGGGTGGGGGTGGGCATTCTGTATAACACCCAACGTAACAACCATAGCCTACGTAAGCCTCACCCCGCCCCCACTAGTCCGTGACGCGACGAGCCGATGGTCGTCGCCTTTGATGTTGTACAACACTCGTACGGTACCTACTCAGTTCGTGGTGGATTCATACCCCACCTACCTCCCCCTTCACTTTGTGGAGTTGATGTTACTAACCTTCGGGCATAGATCAAGAAATCTTGCCAGACTTTTGTCTCTGAAAGTACATAATATTCGTCTGACACGTTCATCGGGTTGGCCGACTAGCCTATCCAGCGGTCGTGTTTATGTAATAAGGCAATACAATTCGTTGGTCAGAAGATCTGGCTAGTCAGATTAAACTAAATCTAGGCAAAAGCTGGTGGTGGTACACGTGTCTGTGTATAGGCAAACACGGTAATCTTACACAATTTCTAGAATCTACAAGATCTACACAGTCAAGCACTCAAACACGTGCTTTTTTCTTAAGAAAGTTTTTAATTTTAAAAGGCCTACTGGTAGGCCTACAAAAATACATAAACCTACTTACTACTAGTACTAGCATAAACATTGGGCTTAAATAAAATTTATGTTATAGACCTATAACTTACACTAGATCTATACCTTGTGCAAGTTTTTGAAAAAAAAATTCTCCAAAAATTATTTTTATTGAAATTGTAAAAAGGATTAATTTTAATATGGGTAATAATATTACATAATTATCATAAAGCACACTCTGATTCTGATCAGACACATTTGTAACTAGACTAATTCTATAGCAAAAAGTCGTATGATATTTAAAATAACAAGAAATATAATTATAATGAAATAGGCCTAAATTTTGGAATAGAGTAGGCCTTTAGTATTGGACATAGATTACATAACATCTTTTAAGAAGTTACATAATCACAAATTTACTATTGTAATAGCATTCTTCTCTTTGTATTGTAAAACTTGATTAGTTATATTTTCTTTTAGTAGGCTATTAACTTGAAGTTAACTGACAATGAGCAAAAGTGATTTCAAAACTAATTTATGGTAGGCCTATATTTTGAGCAAAGGGTGGTATTACATAACCTTAACATTTGATAGTTATGTAACAATGTTGGACCATTTTAAATACTACCATTAGCTTCAGCATATATAAATGTCATATTATAGATTAAAACAGTGTTACATTTAAACAATGACTTCTTATCACATTGATTATTAGATGTTTTAAAAATTGAAAGGGGGGGTATTACATAATCTATGAGATTAGTCGATTGTGTAATCAAAGGACACTTTTTAAAATAGCATCATTGGATTCGGCATACAAAAATCTATAAAATACCATAAAATGACATCAATTGGTGAAGTCTGCTTGCTTTTATACCACTTTTAGTGAAAAACTCTTAAAAATTTGGTCCATACCCTCCCAGTATTTTTCCTCTTTCAGGGTCTACCCCGGTTGTCTGAAAAAACTACTGTTTTTTAATGACTAAAAAATTCATAACTTTTTTGTTTATGGTCAGATTTTGAAAATTCAAACTGATCTGTAATTAGATTGACAGCCCCTATCCAAATATGTAACTATTATATTGTTTTACTGAAATTAAATTTTTGCATTGGCCTAGCTACAGTACTAAACTTATTGTATTTACACACAGACAGACAGACAGGATTGCAAAACTTAGTTTTTTCAGGTCCGTAAGATTGTAAAACTTTAAAATTTGTCAAAATGTTGATTTTGATTTTTGCACAATTACAATAAATCCTTTAGGTTTTGTATATGATAGTTGGAATTTGTAAATTGGCATAAACTGTCAAAATCTCTTTTAATTTTTATGCAAGATTACAATATTTTCTATATATTATGATTACAAGAAAGTAAAAAGAGAAGAAATAAGTTTTGTGATGTCTTGGATTCCTTTACATACCCAGTTGTGGAAATTTAAAAAAAATAGAATCAGGCTGCATTTTACTAAATATCCTATAATTATATCAAGAAAATTTCATACAAATGGCCCTCTTTATCTAAATAAATTCTTACATGGGCACAGATAAGGGGAACAGCCCAAACCTAGCCCCCCAGGATAAATGATGAATGATCTAAATAAATTCTTACATGGGCACAGATAAAGGGGAGCAGCCCAAACCTAGCCCCCCAGGATAAATGATGAATGATCTAAATAAATTCTTACATGGGCACAGATAAAGGGGAACAGCCCAAACCTAGCCCCCCATGATAAATGATGAATGATCTAAATAAATTCTTACATGGGCACAGATAAAGGGGAACAGCCCAAACCTAGCCCCCCAGGATAAATGATGAATGAATGATCTAAATAAATTATCAAACAATCTACAGTAGCTAGATCACAATTGTCTCTAAGGATAACTGAGCACCAATTGACTTCAAACCATTCTAGTGGGGAGGGGCGGTGGGGCTGAAATCACATTTTATTTCTTTACCTATTCTTTTAAAGTCTCATGTAAAATTATTCAACATCATGTTGGTTCATTTGTAGGCATTGGTTTTTTTTTTTGTTATATAAATTAAGTCTTTTAAGATATTTGAAAATATCCACTATCAAATTTAATTTTTTTTTTAAATTGAATTAAAAGTTATCGACTAGCAACTTCAATTTTTTAAAAATTGAATTAAAAGCAAATTTAATATTTTTAAATTGAGCTAAAAGACGAACATTGCCCTCTCTCTATACCAGATCAACAAGAAATACTTGGCGCCATTGTTTTTAGCCTACGACGACCGCTTAGCAGAGAAAGACCAAGTTATAGACGAATGTAAGGTGAGATCAGTTGGTGTTTCAGGTTGGTTTAGGAAAGTACACTTTCAGGCTAGATAGTCCATGAGGTAGAAGAGTTCAACTGCGGACCTTGGTATTTGATTATTTAGTGTAGTTAGCCCAACTGCCTTTACTTTTCCTGAATTGAGTCAGATACACATAAGAGCTGGGTGAACTCAGGTACATCTTGAGGCTAGTAAATTCGTGTTCATGCAAGGTGGGTTATGTCAGTATTTCAGGTAATTATAAGGTGGGTTATGTCAGTATTTCAGGTAATTATAAGGTGGGTTATGTCAGTATTTCAGGTAATTATAAGGTGGGTTATGTCAGTATTTCAGGTAATTATAAGGTGGGTTATGTCAGTATTTCAGGTAATTATATGGTGGGTTATGTCAGTATTTCAGGTAATTATAAGGTGGGTTTTGTCAGTATTTCAGGTAATTATAAGGTGGGTTATGTCAGTATTTCAGGTAATTATAAGGTGGGTTTTGTCAGTATTTCAGGTAATTATAAGGTGGGTTTTGTCAGTATTTCAGGTAATTATAAGGTGGTTTATGTCAGTATTTCAGGTAATTATAAGGTGGGTTTTGTCAGTATTTCAGGTAATTATAAGGTGGGTTATGTCAGTATTTCAGGTAATTATAAGGTTGGTTATGTCAGTATTTCAGGTAAGTATAAGGTGGGTTATGTCAGTATTTCAAGTTAATATAAGGTGGGTTGTCAGTATTTTAGGTAAATAAAAAGTTGATTATGCTTGTATTTTTAGTAAATATAAGGTAGATTAAGTCAGTATTTCAGATAAATTTTAGGTGGGCCATTTCAGGTATTTACATGGTGGTTTATTTAAGAATTTTAGGTACATATAAGATAGGTTTGGTCAGTAATTCAGGTAAATATAAAGTAGGCTGGGTGAGCCCTACAGGTAAATATAAGATGAGTCAGGTAAGCTGTGCATGTGACTTGGGTCAGTGTTGTAGGTGAGTCAATTGTGTATATACATTTGCAGAAAGAGCTAGAGTCACTGAAGAGAAGAGCTGAGGAAATTTTGAAGGAGAACCAACGGTTACGCATGAGTGGTGGCATGGGGCTACAGGCTAATGGCACAGAGTGGTAAGTGGTTTCTTGGTGTCTTGATACAATTTGTAAGTGCTTTAAATACTTGACTTTTACCCACTTTTGAAACTTATAAATTAAAACTTCAACCCATCTCTTGACCCGTTTTTTAAAACTCTGACCCATGATTGACCCACCTGACCCATGTTTTAAGCCTTTGACCCACCTGACCCATGTTAGACCCACTTCACCCATGTTTGACCCACCTGACCCATGTTTGACCCACCTGACCCATGTTAGACCCACCTGACCCATGTTTGACCCACCTTACCCATGTTTGACCCACCTGACCCACTCGACCCATGTTTGACCCACCCGACCCATGTTAGACCCACCTGACCCACCTGACCCATGTTTGACCCACCTGACCCATGTTTGACCCACCTGACCCATGTTTGACCCACCTGAACCATGTTTGACCCACCTGACCCACGTTTGACCCACCTGACCCATGTTTGACCCACCTGACCCACCTGACCCATGTTTGACCCACCTGACCCGTTTGACCCACCTGACCCACCTGACTTATGTTTGACCCACCTGACCCACCTGACCCATGTTTGACCCACCTGACCCATGTTTGACCCATCTGACCCATGTTTGACCCACCTGACCCACATTTGACTCACTGATCCATCTTTGACCCACCTGACCCATCTTTGACCCAACTGACCCATGTTTGACCCACCTGACCCATGTTTGACCCACCTGACCCATGTTTGACCCACCTGACCCATGTTTGACCCACCTGACCCATGTTTGACCCACCTGACCCATGTTTGACCCACCAGGCAACAGCTGCAGGAACAAGCCCGTCTGGTGCTGGAGGAGAACCAGGTGTTACTGGAGCAGCTGCAGGTACAGACCAACAAGTCTAAGGAGATGCACCTGTCCCATATGGCAGAGAGTAAGTGTCATAGATAGATAAAATAAGACTAGACAGGTGCAGACCAACAAGTCTAAGGAGATACACCTGTCCCATATGGCAGAGAGTAAGTGTCATAGTGTAGATAGATAAATTAAGACTAGACAGGTACAGACCAACAAGTCTAAGGAGATACACCTGTCCCATATGGCAGAGAGTAAGTGTCATAGATAGATAAAATAAGACTAGACTGGTACAGAGCAACAAGTCTAAGGAGATGCACCTGTCCCATATGGCAGAGAGTAAGTGTCATAGTGTAGATAGATAAAATAAGACTAGACAGGTACAGACCAACAAGTCTAAGGAGATACACCTGTCCCATATGGCAGAGAGTAAGTGTCATAGTGTAGATAGATAAAATAAGACTAGACAGGTACAGACCAACAAGTCTAAGGAGATGCACCTGTCCCATATGGCAGAGAGTACGTGTCATAGATAGATAAAATAAGACTAGACAGGTACAGACCAACAAGTCTAAGGAGATACACCTGTCCCATATGGCAGAGAGTAAGTGTCATAGTGTAGATAAAATAAGACTAGACAGGTACAGACCAACAAGTCTAAGGAGATGCACCTGTCCCATATGGCAGAGAGTAAGTGTCATAGATAGATAAAATAAGACTAGACAGGTACAGACCAACAAGTCTAAGGAGATACACCTGTCCCATATGGCAGAGAGTAAGTGTCATAGTGTAGATAGATAAAATAAGACTAGACAGGTGCAGACCAACAAGTCTAAGGAGATACACCTGTCCCATATGGCAGAGAGTACGTGTCATAGATAGATAAAATAAGACTAGACAGGTACAGACCAACAAGTCTAAGGAGATGCACCTGTCCCATATGGCAGAGAGTAAGTGTCATAGTGTAGATAGATAAAATAAGACTAGACTGGTACAGAGCAACAAGTCTAAGGAGATACACCTGTCCCATATGGCAGAGAGTAAGTGTCATAGTGTAGATAGATAAATTAAGACTAGACAGGTACAGACCAACAAGTCTAAGGAGATACACCTGTCCCATATGGCAGAGAGTACGTGTCATAGATAGATAAAATAAGACTAGACAGGTACAGACCAACAAGTCTAAGGAGATGCACCTGTCCCATATGGCAGAGAGTAAGTGTCATAGATAGATAAAATAAGACTAGACAGGTACAGACCAACAAGTCTAAGGAGATGCACCTGTCCCATATGGCAGAGAGTAAGTGTCATAGTGTAGATAGATAAAATAAGACTAGACAGGTACAGACTAATAAGAATGGTGTAAACTTGACTGTAGATGATTTGGTTTGAGAGTATGTGTGCGTGTTTCATAAAATATTTGTGGCGTGAGTGTGAAGCGACAATGTTACCGATGACGTAGGACGCTGGAGTGAAGACAGTTGGGGGTTAGCCATAGTAGGAAAAGGACGTGTTGTATATTTTTGTAGTGTAGTTCTAGCTCATTTAGTATTAGTTTTTGATAATAAAGTTAATTCTATTTCATGATCGAAGTTGTTGATATCGTTAACTTAGTATATTTATGTAGTGTAGTTCTAGCTCATGTAGTATTAGTATTTGATAACAAAGTTAATTCTATTTCATAATCGAAGTTGTTGATATCGTTAACTTAGTGTCGTCGGAAAATAATAGTTATTCCCGTCCTCATCACATGTTTATAGTGGAGTATTAGTTATAGGAGTAGTCATCATATAAATCCATATACTACGCATACCATTCCCCCTACCCCCCCCCATCACAATGAGTTGTTAAATGTTTTACCTGTCAGATAATGGGTGTGTAAAGAGTTTAGTTTTACCATTCATGGCATTGTCTAGGTTTTAAATATTTTACCTGTCAGATAATGGGTGTGTCCAGAGTTTAGTTTTACCATTCATGGCATTGTCTAGGTTTTAAATATTTTACCTGTCAGGTGAAGGATGTGTTTCTATATTCTAAAAAGACTCTATATAATATACAGTAATATAGTGAGTTCTAAGCCTTACTTTTGTTTTCCAACAAATTCTTGTCTTTTCTCTAGTCTCCCGGATGGCCAAAAAAATGGCCCTGTCTGAGGGAGAGAGGGCAGAGGTCGAGCGGCAGCTGGACGAGATGAGGGTCAAGTACAGGGAGGTCAAACACAAGCATGATCAGATGGTGATGGAGGTGGGGTCGCAGGTCAACGTGCACACTCACATCAACACCATCGCTGACCTTAAAAGGTGAGTCATTAGACATAACTTGTATCCTCACTCACATCAACACCATCGCTGACCTTAAAAGGTGAGTCATTAGACATAACTTGTATCCTCACTCACATCAACACCATCGCTGACCTTAAAAGGTGAGTCATTAGACATAACTTGTATCCTCACTCACATCAACACCATCGCTGACCTTAAAAGGTGAGTCATTAGACATAACTTGTATCCACACTAAAGAAAAGTCGGCATGGTAGAAAGGTAGAGCATTTGACTACTAACCCCAAAGTCTCAAGTTCGGATCCGGGCTTGAGTTCGTACAATGTCCCTGAGTCCACCCAGCTTGGATGGGTACTTGACTCATGTTAAGAAAAGTAGATGTGGCTCGGCATAGTGCTGACCACACTATCCCTTCATATGCTGATGTCACTGAAACAAGTTGAAATCTACTCCACTTATCCCATGGACTAGTAATGTTTGAAAGGCTACTTTACTTTTAACACTAAAGTAAAGTAAAAGTTTCCCTTTCAAACCTGACGGTCTATGGGGCAAGTGAAATAGAGTTCACTTGTTTCTATGACCTGGCATATGAAGAGATAGTGTGGTCAGCACTAAGCCCAGCCACCTTTACTCTCCCTAACGTGAGTTAGGTACCCATCAGAGTTGGGTGGACTCAGGGACGGTCTACTGATATGAACCCGGATTTGAACTCAAGACTTACGGGTTAGCAGTCCAGCTCTCTACCGATAGACCACTACGTCCCTAACACTAAAGAAAACTGGAAACAAAAAAGATAGGCCAACACAGAAAGTTGGCTTGAAAACATGAACTGGAATAAAGTAGACCCGGGGTAAATAGCTGAAAGTCAAATTTTTGGAGAGTTTGTGTCATCCCATGCTGTCTTCTCAATGGTGAGGGGGGAGGTTCAGGGTGTAATTAAAAAAAAGATAATGTTATTACAATTTTATTACACTATTTTTTTGGCTGAATTTTTTTTTAAATACTTAGAAAAGAGCTAACCATTGTTCTACATAAAAAAAAAAAAAACATGGTCATGCACTTTAAGTAAGAAATAATACTCAAAAAAACCTCAAAATAAATTTTCAAATAAAACTCATCAGCTTTACATCCATTATTAGTATCATAGGCTAACATTGTAACTAACCAGCCAGTCTCAAAATTGTGTTCACTTAAAATTTTAGTTGGTTTTATTTTTCATAGTTTTAAAAGATAATTATTTTATACACTCACCACATGGTAATATAAATGTACTTTGGCACCACTGGTTTCTCATTGAAGGAGGATAGTATTGTTTGTAATAAAGAAAAGGAAAACTGTTAATTTGAGAGGTTTATTTTTTAATTAAGAACAATTTGGCTCTGCAGATCTGTGACAGAAGAGAAAGAAAGCTTTGAGAGGGAGATGGATTCACTTCGAGTTAAATTAAATGTAAGAGATATACTTCTTAGTAGTGGTGTCACCAGGTGAGGTGTCACCTATCATGCATGATTTGAGACCCACTGCTACTGTTGTGAGACCCATCATGTATGTTGTGAGACACACTGTTACTGTTGTGAGACCCTCTGTTACTGTTGTGAGACCCATTATGCATGTTGTGAGACCCACTGTTACTGTTGTTAGACCCACTGTTACTGTTATGAAACCCACTGTTACTGTTGTGAGACCCACTGTTACTGTTTTGAGACCCTCTGTTACTGTTATGAAACCCACTGTTACTGTTATGAAACCCACTGTTACTGTTGTGAGACCCACTGTTACTGTTGTGAGACCCACTGTTACTGTTGTGAGACATGCATGTTGTGAGACCCATTATGCATGATTTGAGACCCACTGTTACTGTTGTGAGACCCAATTATGCATGATTTGAGACCCACTGTTACTGTTGTGAGACCCATTATGCATAATTTGAGACCCACTGTTACTGTTGTGAGACCCTGATGCATACGGTGAGACCCATCATGTATGTTGTGAGACCCTGATGCATATGGTGAGACCCACCATACATGTAAACTCCCTATTGCAGGCATCAGAAGAGGAGAGAAGGAACCAAGCCCTGCAAATGGTGGACCTGGTGGCTGAGAACAAAAGGCTGAAAGCTGAGGTCAAGGCCATGCAGAAATCTGTCAAGTAGGGGTTAATTTTACCTACAATTTATAAAGCTTTTATACCCTTGACTACCAGAGCAAAAGTTATTTGATTACAAGATCAGAATTTAGTTTATACATACATATAGTAAAATCATGCTTGTTATGTTTTGTCATAAATTGTTTACATATTTGACAGGTTATCCCAAACACACCCTTTGGGGGGTCACCATCTAACCCTTAGTTCATGAGCCAAAACACACTCTTCAATAATTGATGCCAAACACACCATTAGGATCATGAGCCCAAACACACCATTAGGATCATGACCCCAAACACACCATTAGGATCATAACCCCAAACACACCATTTGGATCATGACCCCAAACACATCATTAGGATCATGACCCCAAACACACCATTGGGATCATGACCCCAAACACACCATTAGGATCATGACCCCAAACACACCATTAGGATCATGACCCCAAACACACCATTGGGATCATGACCCCAAACAGACCATCGGGATCATGACCCTAAACACACCATTAGGATCATGACCCCAAACACACCATTGGGATCATGACCCCAAACACACCATTGGGATCATGACCCCAAACACACCATTGGGATCATGACCCCAAACACACCATTGGGATCATGACCTCAAACACACCATTGGGATCATGGCCCTAAACACACCATTAGGATCATAACCCCAAACACACCATTGGGATCATAACCCCAAACACACCATTGGGATTATGAGGCCAAACACACCATTGGGATTATGAGCCCAAACACACCATTGGGATTATGAGGCCAAACAGACCATTGGGATCATGACCCCAAACACACCATTGGGATTATGAGGCCAAACACACCATTAGGATCATGACCCCAAACACACCATTGGGATCATGAGCCCAAACACACCATTGGGATCATAACCCCAAACACACCATTGGGATCATAACCCCAAACAGACCATTGGGATCATGACCCTAAACACACCATTGGGATTATGAGGCCAAACACACCATTGGGATTATGAGCCCAAACACACCATTGGGATTATGAGGCCAAACACACCATTGGGATCATGACCCCAAACACACCATTGGGATTATGAGGCCAAACACACCATTGGGATTATGAGCCCAAACACACCATTGGGATTATGAGGCCAAACAGACCATTGGGATCATGACCCCAAACACACCATTGGGATTATGAGGCCAAACACACCATTAGGATCATGACCCCAAACACACAATTAGGATCATGACCCCAAACACACCATTAAGAGACCCCAAACACACCATTGGGATCATGACCCCAAACACACCATTAGGATCATGACCCCAAACACACCATTGGGATCATGAGCCCAAACACACCATTGGGATCATGAGCCCAAACACACCATTAAGATTATAAGGCCAAACAGACCATTGGGATCATGACCCTAAACACACCATTGGGATCATGACCCCAAACACACCATTGGGATTATGAGGCCAAACACACCATTAGGATCATGACCCCAAACACACAATTAGGATCATGACCCCAAACACACCATTAAGAGACCCCAAACACACCATTGGGATCATGACCCCAAACACACCATTAGGATCATGACCCCAAACACACCATTGGGATCATGAGCCCAAACACACCATTGGGATCATGAGCCCAAACACACCATTAAGATTATAAGGCCAAACAGACCATTGGGATCATGACCCTAAACACACCATTGGAATCATGACCCCAAACACACCATTAGGATCATGACCCCAAACACACCATTAAGAGAGCCCAAACACACCATTGGGATCATGACCCCAAACACACCCTGGGGTCACTATCCTAAACACATCTGTGCTTTTTTTAAAACTGTCTCAATTACTGCTGAAGCTTCATTAGTATTTTGTAAACCATGAGCTAAGATCAAGAGTTATCCTCCAACAGACACGCCCAGCAGAAGATGGCAGTGCTGCACCGAGCTATTGAGTTGTCTGAAGACAAGGAGCTCATCACACAGGAACAACTGGCAAGTGTTATCAAAGTGGTAAGTGTAGGAAAAAAAAAATTTTGGACCACGAAATGACAAAAATCTGGCACATATCACAGCTTAATTATTTATTCATTTCAATTTTTAAAAATAATTCTTATTGTGTTAAACAGAAGACTTTTTTTTAGGAATAGATGAAAATTAAACCTCTTAATTCATTATATATTTTTGGCTGTAATATTAAAAACGAGCTGATCCGCGCCGTTAGCATATGCCACTATTTAGTTGTTTTATTTTCTACTAAATTATCTGCCATTAATAGCTGTCACTTATTCAACCCGGCTCTACGATTGTAACCATTTGGCATGAACCACAGCTCGCCAAACTGGCGGGGGTGGGGGTGCTAGCGATTTGCCTAGAGAGTGAGGGAGGGGGCGGTTCTGCGTGCTTAAGTGGTGTCCCGCATGGTCCCTCCATGTAAAGAATTTTATATGTAGATAGGAAATTCAAAGAACCAATTAGTGTGCATTATTTTACTATTATTAGTCTTCTGATTTGCTAGTTACACTTTCTTTTTTTAAACTAGCATTGTCTTACACACCTGCTTGTTTTTTAAAACATTTCTTGTGCAGTGAATGACAAGAGTTGGTTTTGTTTTGTTTTCAGGCAGAAAAGACAGCACTAGAGAGGGACACAGTGTATAAAGTGGTGAGTAAAAGTGTGCCAGGATTTAGTTTGGAAGGAAGTTTGATGTGGTTTTCTTATTATTTCCTGTTTGTTGTACTGGTGAATAAATAACGTCACACTTATTTTGACGATTTTTACCTCCCCCCTCCCATCCAGAGTTTCTTCCAGTTCGCCCCCACGAAAAAATTTTCCGCCCCCCCGAACGAAATGAAATTTATATAATTTATATAGAAAATATATACTTTTAACAGTGTCCGCCCCCCCCCCCCCCCCCCCCCCCCCCCCCCCGAAGAAAGTTTACCGCCCCCCGAAAATTTCAAGTGCCCCCCCGGAGAAAAAAGTCTGGAAGAAACACTGCTCCCATCTGTCACACGCCACAAAATGCCAGACCCCCCCCCCCCTAAAATTACATCACACCTCAACCTACAACCCCCCTCAAAATTGCAGTTGAATTTTTTTTAAAACATCGATATTTTTCTAAAATCTTGTCTGAACTCTGTCAAAATAGAATATTTTAATCAATTCCTATTACAATTTATCAAAACAGTTTTCTAAAACGCGAAATAACGTCTAAAATTCGTTATCTAACATTGCTTTTTTATAATGCAAAAGTGTGACGTCGCACCATCTGAGCTCCCCCTCATCACACACTGTCACAAAATTACGAACCCCCCCCCCTCCCCCTCCCCCTTTTTAAGTCTGTTACAAATGGACTGGCTGTATTAAATAGGTGGGCTGAAGGAATTTCTGGGGTTTTGTGATACTTGGATGGGTTTTAACTTGTTTGAGAGTTTTGTGGGCTTTGAAAGTTTTGAGAGTAAAGTTACATAGGCTGGAAGAGTTTGGTGGGCTGGAAGAGTTTGGTGGGCTGGAAGAGTTTGGTGGGCTGGAAGAGTTTGGTGGGCTGGAAAAGTTTGGTGGGCTGGAAAAGTTTGGTGGGCTGGAAAAGTTTGGTGGGCTGGAAGAGTTTGGTGGGCTGGAAGAGTTTGGTGGGCTGGAAAAGTTTGGTGGGCTGGAAGAGTTTGGTGGGCTGGAAGAGTTTGGTGGGCTGGAAAAGTTTGGTGGGCTGGAAAAGTTTGGTGGGCTGGAAAAGTTTGGTGGGCTGGAAAAGTTTGGTGGGCTGGAAAAGTTTGGTGGGCTGGAAAAGTTTGGTGGGCTGGAAGAGTTTGGTGGGCTGGAAGAGTTTGGTGGGCTAGAAGAGTTTGGTGGGCTGGAAGAGTTTGGTGGGCTGGAAAAGTTTGGTGGGCTGGAAAAGTTTGGTGGGCTGGAAAAGTTTGGTGGGCTGGAAGAGTTTGGTGGGCTGGAAAAGTTTGGTGGGCTGGAAGAGTTTGGTGGGCTGGAAAAGTTTGGTGGGCTGGAAAAGTTTGGTGGGCTGGAAAAGTTTGGTGGGCTGGAAGAGTTTGGTGGGCTGGAAGAGTTTGGTGGGCTGGAAGAGTTTGGTGGGCTGGAAAAGTTTGGTGGGCTGGAAAAGTTTGGTGGGCTGGAAGAGTTTGGTGGGCTGGAAAAGTTTGGTGGGCTGGAAGAGTTTGGTGGGCTGGAAAAGTTTGGTGGGCTGGAAGAGTTTGGTGGGCTGGAAAAGTTTGGTGGGCTGGAAGAGTTTGGTGGGCTGGAAAAGTTTGGTGGGCTGGAAGAGTTTGGTGGGCTGGAAGAGTTTGGTGGGCTGGAAGAGTTTGGTGGGCTGGAAAAGTTTGGTGGGCTGGAAGAGTTTGGTGGGCTGGAAGAGTTTGGTGGGCTGGAAAAGTTTGGTGGGCTGGAAGAGTTTGGTGGGCTGGAAAAGTTTGGTGGGCTGGAAGAGTTTGGTGGGCTGGAAGAGTTTGGTGGGCTGGAAGAGTTTGGTGGGCTGGAAGAGTTTGGTGGGCTGGAAAAGTTTGGTTGTCTGGAAGAGTTTGGTGGGCTGGAAGAGTTTGGTGGGCTGGAAAAGTTTGGTGGGCTGGAAAAGTTTGGTGGGCTGGAAAAGTTTGGTGGGCTGAAAAAGTTTGGTGGGCTGGAAGAGTTTGGTGGGCTGGAAGAGTTTGGTGGGCTGGAAGAGTTTGGTGGGCTGGAAAAGTTTGGTGGGCTGGAAAAGTTTGGTGGGCTGGAAAAGTTTGGTGGGCTGGAAAAGTTTGGTGGGCTGGAAAAGTTTGGTGGGCTGGAAGAGTTTGGTGGGCTGGAAGAGTTTGGTGGGCTGGAAGAGTTTGGTGGGCTGGAAAAGTTTGGTGGGCTGGAAAAGTTTGGTGGGCTGGAAAAGTTTGGTGGGCTGGAAGAGTTTGGTGGGCTGGAAGAGTTTGGTGGGCTGGAAGAGTTTGGTGGGCTGGAAGAGTTTGGTGGGCTGGAAGAGTTTGGTGGGCTGGAAAAGTTTGGTGGGCTGGAAAAGTTTGGTGGGCCAGAATAGTTTAGTGGGCCAGAATAGTTTGGTGGTCTAGAAGAATTTGGTGGGCGGAAGAGTGCGAGGTCCAAAGAGTTTGATAGGATGGATCAGTAGTTTGGGTTCAGGCTGCCACTGGGATTGTGTGATGTTTTTTTGCTTAGACCTCAATTAAAATAAAAATTTCCCCATGCAGGCAAGAGAACACCAGGAAGAAGCCAAACAAACAGTGAACAGGTTGATGCAGGGCAGTGTAGCAGTAGGAAAACTTGAAGAGAAACTCAAAGTAAGAGTAATCCTAATGTCTTTATTTCATAATCTGCTTTGTGTTAGCTTTATATAGATTAGCTGTTTTAATTGAATTTTTCTGTTTTCTCTGTAACTATACAGAGGCGTAGCGACCCTTCTCAGCGCCCGGGGACAAACTTTTGATTTGCACCCCCCCCCCCCCCCCTCGAACTTTTCATTTGCACCCCTCCTTCAAACTTTCAATTTGGCGCCCCCCACTAAGGTTGGCGCCCGGGGACATATGTCGCCGTCCCCCCCCCCTCGCTACGCCTCTGTAACTATATGCAACTACTTGTTATCTCCTAGGTGTAAAGAATGTGTATTCTGTTTGCAACTAAATAATTTTTCTCCTTGTTTTAGCTGTATCGCATGAAAGCATCAGCAAAACTTAATACAGTGGCTGAAAGGTAAGATCTGTTTTCTGCTTAATTTATTTTGTATTATTAAATTCATCAAATGATAAACAAAAATATTAAGTACCTTTAGGATACATGTTTAACTGACCTTGACATTTGATGGGATTGTGTTGTCGGAGACATGTCCAACCAACTCTAAATCATAGTTTAAAGCTTTTTTATTTATTTATTTTATATTAAGTTCAACAAATCAGTACTTTTTTTTAAAACAATATTCATTTACCAAATCATCTGAAATGAGATATTTTTTTCTTCCTTTTATGACATTATTCAGTCGCTTATAATGTTGCTCCAAAATAAATAGGTGGGCTGAAGGAATTTCTGGGGTTTTGTGATACTTGGATGGGTTTTAACTTGTTTGAGAGTTTTGTGGGCTAATGCATGTGAATACTCAAACTGTGTTGCATTCATTCAAACTTTGCAGGTTAAAAGAACAGGATGAAGCTTTTAATAGCAAAAAAAAAGAATATGAAAGAGAAATCCAGTACTTACGACTATTACTTAAAGAAAAAGAAGAAGTCATTGAGTCTCTCGAGAAAGATAAAAAGTGAGTTCCCTTGCTATGTCCTGGTTTGTTTATTGTGAATTTGCTATTTCAAACGTTTTTTAAATGTATAGATTTAATGAATTTTACATTTAAAAATTACAGAATGTAGAAATATAAATAAAAAATATTAAAAATAATAATAGAATATAATAGTTTTAAAAAAATTACCATTTACAGTAAATAACTTATTTATTAAATGGATGAATACAAACTGTATATATAAATGTTTAAAATAGTGTATAAATTATAAACTAAGTACATCTCTATTTTGTGGGAATACAATTGTTGTGAGTGACTCTGCAGTTAGAGAAAACTATTTCTAGTTTTAAGATTTTGAGTATTACTTTTAAAAATATGGGATTGATTTACCTACCCATTTTTAGAGTTGTTTCTTTCCTGTCCCTTGTCAGTGCTCATTGCCATTGTTAAAAAAAATGTATTTCTGCTTTAAATTTTATATATTAACCCTTTGCTGTCTGGGTGGCAAATATTTTTTTTTTCTTAATGTATGGCCAAACAGCAGAACCTAACTCTATTCCTCCCTCCCCCATTGCTGATTAGAATAATTAATTAACTTTAAAAATATCCATATATGTTTTTTTAAATAATTAAAATGTTATTCCCAAAGAAAAATGGATACAGTTTTAAAAAGTATTATCGAACACGATAGTGAAAAAAAAAATGGTTTACAAAGGACAGGCATTTTGGGGCGAAAAAAACACGTAATAAAAATCGAGAATGCTTTCGATCGCATGGGATAGCAAATGGTTAATAGAATTTAACATCGTAACTGATTATAAAATTGACACAATTGATATTTGTTTGATAGGGACATTGAGAAAGACCTGGACACAATGTGGCAAGCTGCATCGTGCGAGAACCAGCGTGTGAAAAATATTTTGCGCAGCGGTCCCAGAAAACTGAGGGACCAGGTCCACATAACGGACGCCCTGAAGGACGAGATGGAGAACGAGGAACTGCTGCACTTCTCCGAGGATGAGTCGAGTAAACTCTGATATTAACTGTTGCGATAGTGTGCTACAAGGCTGTGATATATTTTTACTTCACGTTTATTTTTTATACAAGACTGGACATTTAAAAAAATTTTATAATGATATATTGAACTTGTGGTATTTGAAAATATCCCAATTTTTTTAGTTATACATTTACACCAAATTTATTGAAAGGAATCTCAACAGGACTAGATCACTAAAGGCACAACTTTCTGCTTGTGTTTTGCATCGATACTGTAATTAGGAGTAATTGTGTAATACCTAAATCAGCTAGCTGTGCTTTATACAATTGTTTACTTAAATCAACTTGATATGATTTTACACATGTTTTACCACCATAGTTTTGTGAGTGCTTACTATTTTATTAGGAGGTAACTCTGTCATTACAAGAATAGTTTTCTTTTAATTATGCCATAAGATGACTGTATTATTTATCCAAAATTTAATAGACAGTTCTATTTTTTTTAAAACCAGTTTTAGTTGTGTTTGCCTATTTTGCTAAACACTTTTTAAATTGAAGAAATAAAAATAGTAAATACTTTGAGCTATATGTAATAACAGTTAGTGTTAATATAGCCCCAATTTAATTTTTTTTTTTTTTTTGAGGCTACTGAATTACTACTAGATCTACTATCTGACAAAAACAGGACTATCTTCAGGGTTTGCCAAGAAATGCCAGTGACCGGCAAAAGAGCTTTCTGTGGCAGCCCCATGTGTCTTGTGTACTTAAGGGAAAAGATTATCTGGTTTTTAATTATTATTTCAATACTTGTTAGTAGTTTATTATTTCCATGAGTATGCTCCCACTTTTAATTTGACTTGTTACTTTTGTGAGGTTATGTTTTTTTATTTCAACTTAATTTACTTCATAGTAATGTTATGGTGGTAGTTTAAAGATAGATGATTTGCTGGATTTATTCATGTTTTGTTAGTTTAGTTTTACACTCAATGATTGAAGCACATTGATACCACAAAGATCCACTTCAGCCAAGGTGATTTTTATGTTTAACTGTCAAAATTGTCTCTTTAACTTCGTTCATATTTTTATAACCCCACAAGTGTTGCCAAAATCAATGTACCACCATACAAGACCTGTCTAGTGTCACTCTGGTGACCTAATGTTTCTAGATCTGGATTCTGCTGTAATCGTATTCCATACTTTAAAATTTTTCTTCGTTGTTTAAAATGCATCTTTAACCATTGATGTTTATAAGTATTAACTTTATCATTATGATGTAATCTTTAAATGATCACCTTGCATTCATAGTAATACTAAAAAGGCTTGACATCAGTATCTTTTAGCAGCACAAATCCCACCCCATTTATGCCCATATTTTAAAGGAAAGGTTGTGAAATACATTTTTTTTGGAGTATACTTTGGTCACTTTAGATTTTTAAGTAGTTTTTATAATTTTAATAGTCCCACGTTTCTGAAGATCTTAGCATAAACTCTTGTAGTTTTCACTTTAAAGTGCAATATTTTTCTGAAAGAAATTTAAGACAGATCTAGATAGTATGTTTAGCTACTTATGTTTAAAAAATTGTGTTTATATGTAGGAAGCTGATTATTTTTTTGTCTCTTTGATTACATTTTTGAACGGTGGGTTTACTTTTATAAAAAAAAACCTGTGTGATTTAACTCAGATGAGTTCTGAAGAAAAATTTTATTTACTTGTCACTTTATGTAAGTTAACGATTTATCTCCGTCCATGCATACTTATAATGGTGCTAATATTCGTTAATTGCCTTGTAAGAAATATTTTTAAATACTCAGAGGTCAATACAGAACGTGGTCCTTAACTGAAACAAAACATATAATTAGAAGGCAGATCAGTCTTCCTTTGTTGCAATGTCACATTTTAGACTCATTTTTTTTATCATATAATAAAGTAATTTTGGTATCGTATATAGTGTATGACATGTTTATATTTATATATATATATAATTAAAGTTTGAATTATGAATGTAACTATTGCATTTGTGTATGTATATTTCATAATATACTGTTGAAATTAAATACTTTGATCAAATTTTAACCTAGATCTGTTTCTCCATTTTTGCTACAAAGTTGTTTTAAAAGCTAAGAGGAATTTTTTTTAAAAACTGCATACTCTTATTTATTATCTTAAAACAAGGCACACTATTGGGGAACCATATCATACAAACACCCAGGTTCAAAACCATAGAAGATGCACTTCACAAATGGCAAAGAACAGCCAGACCCAGATCAAAATTAGAAAAAATCAGTGCTTATACAACAGCAAAAAAAGAAATACACATTAAGAAAAATTGAAGTTTTAAAATCAGTTTTATTTAATATTAATCAGACCATGTAGACAATACATTATAAAAAATACTTGCATTCATTTTTATGAAAACCCAGTTGGATTTTTAAAATCTTATTCATTCTTAAATTTTACCCGACCATATAAACAAATAATTTTAATAAACATTTTTCCAATATAGACATGAAAGTTTATTTTTTAAAAGCAATGCATTGATATACGTAATTAAAAATCAATCACTTCTGTTTAAATAGATAATTCAAACAGTTTATCTTCTTCTCCGAGATCGACTTCTACTATCACTTCTGCTTGATCTGCTTCTTTCTTGTCTGTTTCTTTCTCTCTCTCTACTGCGTTCTCGCTCTCTTTCACGTTCTCGTTGTCGTTCAAGTCTTGCAGCCTCCTAGAAATACAAAACAAGTTTACCTTGCTTTTAAACTCAAGTTAATTCAAAACAATCCAGAATCTAGAAGTTAAGTGACACATTTAAGATACCTCTGTGCATGAAACGTCCTTTTAAATTTAACTATTCATCTGCATTGGATTACATCATGAGTGGAATAAACCCATGATATTTTAATAAATGAATTAGACAGCATACATAAAACCAATAAAAAGGCAGTTAAGCATTGCTGAACTATTATACTTTTTAACAGTTGTAACATGCATTATAAGGGCTGACTAAAGCTAATGTTCTTCATCTATTTGAGAGTACATGCACCCAACCTCCCCCCCCCCCCCCCCAAACCATGAATTTGACTGGGCTGATATTGATTTCACCCATGATCAAAACAAACTTTCAAAATTAAAAATGTAGGCACTGTAAGAAAAAAAAAATTCTATGCTCTTTTCCCCTCACCCTTCTCTTTAGTTCCTCTTTTTCTCTTTCTTCTTTAGCCGCTATTCTTTTCTGTCTTTCTTTCTCTAACTCTTGTTTTTTAATCAGTCTTTGCAGAGACTAGAAACAAAGATGATATTAAAAAGTCAAACAATATAAACAACAAGCAATATTAGTTATCATTTAATATAATAATATATGCTATAGTGGCAGGACTAGTATGTGCTGGAGGCCCTATAACATATCAAAGTATCTTTTAAAATAAATCAATGAACTGAATTTTAGTGTGCTCATCAATACTGTAAACAGTATAATAATTTCAAATTTAACCAACTAGTAGCAGCAGTTTTATTGACATATTTAGTTTGTATACAAATTTGATTTCAAAACTGTTATGCTTATGAAGCTTAAACTGAATATACACAGCCTACGTTAAGCTTTTGAAAGCAGCTCTGGGAAATGTAGAGGTCATTTCATAGACTTACAGACAACTTATATCTGCACTCAATTGTTTTCCATTCAAATCACTTTAACTAAACAAGCCCACTCTCAAACACTAACAAAACTGGTGTAAGTTTAAAACAGGAAACCACATACCTGTTCTTCTGTAAGTGGCAACCAATAAATGCAAGGTGTTGCTTTAGTTTTCCTGAACAAATCATCTAATAGTTTGGCTGGAGGTTCTTCTTCCCCTTTGACATCTGCAAAAAAAAGTTCATGTTTGATAGTACAATAAAACAACAATTAATTCTAGTTTAATTGGTTTTTAGATTGTGGAGTAGGTAAGGTTTTGAGAGATCTTAAGAATTCATGAACATAACTTTAATGGAGCTTAAAGGATTTTAGGTGTTTTATTTCGAATCTGCATGCAAAACACTTAATGATACTAAGAAAAAATTGTTAACCTCTTGACTTCTTTTCTTTCCGTCTTTCATCATCCTTTTTTTCTCTGCTATGTTCTCTTCTTTTCAGCTGCTCCCTGTCCCTTGATCTAGATCTCCTGGCAGGTCTTTCTCTTTCTTTAGATCTTGATCTGGATCTATAAATGTACAAACTTCAATGTTATATACATATATATTAAAGAAATACTGAATATATGAGCAAGCATATTCAAATTATACAAATATTTACAGTGAAAAAAATTATTTGTTTTCTTGAAAAAAACAGGAACAAATCTTATTTTTTAATTTACAGTGCCACCAATAGAAGGTGAAGTTATGTCTAAAATGTGTTAACAGTATTGTTTATGTTTTCTTACTTAGATAGTTGCTGTACTTTATCTCTATCCCATTCTCTAATAGGATTTTTCCTCTCAGCTTCTCTTCTTCTGTCTCTGGCATCACGCTTTTCTCTGGTTTCTTTCTCCTTTTCTTCTCTTTCCCTCTGCTCTCTCAACTTCAACCTCTTTTCTCTTTCTTCATCCTCTTTCTGTTCTTTGATCTTTTTAGAATCTTCTACGGGTCGCTTTACAAGTGCAGGAAGTGGAACATCTCCTTCAGTCTTCCTATGTATTACCTGAATTATTTGTTTATAAAATAAATACCTCGCTTCATAGTTAAGCATCCATAAGTTGTTTGTGATTTTAAAATATTGATTTTTATTTATAAATGTGAATTTTCCATACATCTATTAAACCACTAGCAGAGAAACATGTAGGTTTTCTCAAGCAATAAAACTATCAACAGTAGTGTACAACATTTGTTACATTAACAAAGCCCTCTGGTGTAAACCCATCCACAACATGTCATCACACCACAATGTTGACAGTGATGTGAAAAATGTGTGGAATGGAGAACTTCATTTTACCCATTACACATGTCCTGGGACTGGAAAAAACTCAAACCAAGTTTTTTCAAATTATTTTGGATTTCATACATTTTTACATACTATAACCCACTTTCAAAATAGTGATTTTTTTTCCAAACATTGCAAGTCTGAAATGCTATACACTTTTCTAAATTCAAATTTTTTTCCAGTTTGTGTACAAACCCTGTGATTTATAAAGAGGCTAAATGGTGATTGTAATTTTTTGACAATTTCACAGACATTCTAAAATTTTAGAAAAAAAAAAATAGTCAATTAGCGGTTTTACTTACATCTTCAACAGTAGCAAAGTCCACAATAAGTATTTTGGGATTTGACTGTGGCCATCTGGTGCCATGCAGAGCTGCCCGTGCTTTAACAGCATCTTCATCAGATTTGTACTGGGAAAGATAATTTTGTAATCATAATATCTATGTTATCTAGCAATATGGTCTACTAAGTCAATTAAATTACTCATAGACAACCTTTAGAGAATGAATTACAGACTCAGGTGTAAGAGTGAATGTTACTTACAGCTGCTAAGCAGTGAGATTTGATATCATTTATCCAAAAGTATTCATCATCAAGCTCCCCAGACCGCTTTAAGAGTTCCTTCAACTGACCAATCGTAAAGGGTCTGACTAGGCCAGCTATCCTGATCACCCGGTTGGGGGGGTTTCTTGCTGGTGACTGGCTGTTTTTTACAGGCTCTGGTTCATCCACAACAGGAAGGAGTGCTTTACTTGACCGGGTGGTGGCAAAAACTTTTTCTGCACAACAGAATGGATCATATAAGTACATTGTTTTAATGTCGCAGCAAGTACTAAAGCTTTTAAGTTGCAGACATGGTAAAAGAGAAATCAATACTATGAGTGGACATTTCACAAATTTAAGTTTAATTCACACATGCTAGGCTGAGAGAAAATATTAGGTAATATGCAGTAATGAAAGTATCTAGTTCTGATCTCAAGCTAGAGTCTGTAGGGCGCCCCGAGTCCACCCAACTCTTGTGTATCTGACTAATGTTAAGAAAACTAAAGTGGCTTGGAATAATGCTGACTACACTATCCCCTCATATTCAGAGGTCCTAGAAACAGATGAATTCTACTTCATCTGCCCCATATGTCTTGGGGACAAGTGGGATAAGATGATGATGCAGTAAAGAAATCAAATAGGATTTATTTTAAGATAGTATGCAAGATTTTTTTTTTGTTCCAGTAAATTTTGTGAGGTGTTTTGTTGGGTGCATGAACTGTTTTGATGTTGACCAATAGATTTGTATCATCTGAATGTAGAAGTAGGTGAATAATGCTTGTATTACAACATTAAGTAAAGACAAATTTATTTAGGTGTCAAAAAATGTAAAAAATCAGCAGTTTGATCTTTCCCCCCCCCCCCCTTTTTTTGTGTATGTGTAGAAAATAAAAAAATTAAAACTAAATCATAGTCATTATTAATTTGTAAACAGTGCCATATACAGTATGACCAACCACTATTTTGGGTCATTATTGAAATGTCAGAAAAACTGTTGTTTTTTTACTGGAAATTATTGTACTGCAAGACAAAATTTCAATGTAATGGAACATTAAATAACAGGAATAGCTAATTGGATGGAAAGCAGATTAAAGAAATTAAACGATTCTGGGGCATTTCTCTAATTAATGAACATCCATGCTACACTAAATTAGTGAACTGTTTTTATGGTTATTTTGCAGTGAGTATATGCAAGTATAAATGCTTGGAGTAAAAGAATCCTTAATAATTATCCTCATGTATTTATAGAAAGCTTAAGACTGAAGCAAATCAACTATGTTTGGGCCCAACCTTTTTCTTTTTCTGTATCCTTGACCTCTGTGTTTTCTTTCTCTTCTACATCATCTTTCTTCTTTTTCAACTTTTTCCCCTCCTTCAACTTTTTCTTTCCTCCATCTTTAGGAGAGGTTGTTGAAATTTTGATAATTTTTTTCTCAGGTTCAGAATGCGACTCATCTGATCTATCATCACGGGCTTCAACTTTTCTAGCATCTTCTTGGGCTGGTTCATCTTCTTTAACATCTTCATCTGACCTTGGAGACTGCTGAGATAGGGAAGTTAACAGCTTGATACATTCTGTTTTTTCCCTGGCTCCCCCTCCCCCCCCCCCAATTTTCAGCAATAAAAACATACATTTTGATAATAATCAGCTTCTGCTGGTAATTTTAAAGAATCTATATATATAATTCTCTTCTGAGAGACGCTAGAAAACAAGATGTAAAAGCGCTCCCTACCATCCCCACCCCTACATGGTCTTAGTGAGCTGTGGTTCACGCTATGTTACCTTCATGGAGTCGGGTTTAGTGACAGCTATTAGGGGCAGATAATTTAGTTTGAAACTATTTTAAACATGGGGGGGGGGGGTTATGGTCCTTAACGAGCTACTTATAGTGTTTTAAAGAAATATTTTCAGGGTTAGCGTTGGTACTGTCGAATTCACAAATTATGAATTACTGAAAAGTAGAAAAAACAACAACTAAATAGCGGCGTATGTTATGCCGCGGGCCGGCTCGTAATAGATATTACACCTTTTTGATAGACAAATTAATTAAGTCTGATTGAATATTTGTCACACTATTTTTTAAATGGCTATTTTACCCTTCTTTGATTTTTTAATAAAGAAAACAATTGTCATTTGAATCTAGACTCCTCATAGTCACAAAAAAAATCTATAAATTATCAGAACATTATATTCTTTATTGCTTGCATAGTTTATTATTCTAATGCCTGAAACAATAAGCTATTTTTTTTTTGAGGAAAAAAATGTAGATTTAGGTTTCTGTCCATGCTAGATCTAGTTCTGCCTGACTTGACATTTGTCTGGAAGGAAGGGGTGGTGTATGACGAGAGTAAATGATAAGTGGATAACACAGCTGTAATTATAACAAGCTAAATGCAAGACTCTAGGCCAGGAGCCAAAGGTTACAAGAAATAAATTTAATTTATAATGGTCTTGATTTACATTTTTACATAAGGCAAAAGTGTAAAAATGTAAACATCTGTAACATTTTTAAAATGTACCTAATGTCAAGTTATGAAGTTATGAGATAAAATTGTATAAGTAGGAAGCCCTGCTATTACCACTTTGTAGCTGGATAATGTTTGAATGGCATAAGTCAATCCTGGTTTAATTAAATGAACAAGTGTTATATAACTTTTAATTAAGCCTTTAACTCATGAACCAGAATTCCCCCAATCCCAGCAAAATATCAAACCAAAAAGTAGCTTAACCAACTGTCATATAATTAATGTATCTAACTACCTGCATAAGGTATCAGAGAAAAGCAAAAGACTATGCAGAAAGTATCAAGTATAAATACAATATTACTCTTACTTCAGAAGACAATGAAATTCAACCAACCTGTACAATAATTCTCTTAACTTTAACATCTCTATGATCCTCTTCATGCTCATCATAATCAAGTGTGTTTACTTCCTCTGTTTCTATGTCAAACACTGATTCAGTTAATTTCACATCTCCGATAAGATTCTATCATAAAAAAAAAAGCTTTGTAAGATACTTAATTTATTGATATAAACATATGTTCAGAGTTAGCATGCAAACCTAGGCATTTGTTCATACTGATAAATAAGGTTGATATGGTTAGGTCGTTAAGCCCATGGCTGGTAAACCAAAAAGACCCAATTTCAAACCCCCAGGCAGGTGAGGCTCGATAGCTGGGGACAGCAACCCATCTAGGAGAGACAACTAAAAATATTACAACTTCTGCTTTGTAGTTTGTTCTTGGTTGTGCAAAGGTTATGGAAGCAAATCCAGGAAGAAAGGAGGCTGAAACTGGAGTCATCGGCCAATATGGCACATATGTGGACATTGTTACACCTATTCACTAGAAAACTAAAGAGTTACTTCCACACTTGCCCAGCTAAAGGTACATCTGTTCAAATGTTTTACCTTTAAAGAATCAGAAGAAATTTCTAGACTAGTTGCCCTTTTGACAGTCTTTGCAGCCTTGGATGTTTTGGAGCCCCATTTCCTCTTCTTTGCACCTTTATCTTTTTTGAGGGTTGTCTCAGAATCTGCCTCTTTTGATACAACTAATTCATAAAGAAAATATGGGATTTTTTATGAGTCCACCTGATAAATACATATGATTGTGATTGCAGTTTAAATTAAATGTTTTTGAAAGTGAAGTTGCAATTATTTAGAAATGTAATTGATGTTAGCATAGCTAGGCAGGGATGAATCAAAGTAAACCTTTAGTAGTGTCATCTTTACAAGTATCTGCATCACCACCCCCTGTCGTACTCAAAGAACTTGATTCATTGCTTGGACTTTTCTGATCCTGTTGTTATTGAATAAAAAAAGGAAAACAAAATCTAAGATACATTTTCTTCCAGTATTTTAACTAGTCGGCATAATTACGTGTTGATGTCATTATGATAGAAATAATAATTTTAAGAGGTTAAGACCAATGAAACTTCAATACAAGGGGCAAAAAAAATTTAGCACAATTAAAACAAAAAACCAATGTAAACAGGAAACTGTTTTATACACAATTTAATGAAGAACATTTTTAGAAACCCCAAAATTTTCTAAATTTTTCAACATGACTATTTAGGCCCACCCACCATGCCAAAACTACTCTTTAAAATCTATTAGTTACCCAGTATTTTATCTTCATTGTTTGATAAATGAAATTATAAAGTGTCCTATTTACAAGAGAAAAAAATTGGTAAGAGTTGAGGGAATCTGTGTCAGTCTCTGAAACTGGAAAAATATGACAAAAAATATACACTAAATACCACTCCAGCCATTGCCCTTGTTTGCAAATTCTTGTATGAAATTATCTTAGATTTGACCAGCTATCACATCCAGTTGAATTAATTTTCATTTTGGTAAAAAGCTGTAGAAATTCAGCAGTATTTTCACTTTGGGAATGCTTAACAGTCTGTGGTTAAGTCCATTGAAAACACAAAGTAACGAAAATGTTCAGTAATTGTTCATTCATGTATGAGCAAACAGTAACTAAGTACTGTGATCACGGTGAATTTGAAGAGTGTTGAATATGAACGAAATATTCTTTGAGTGGTTGCTGATTCATATTGCTGAAGAACACATTGCGACTGTCCTGGTAAAGACGGGTTAAATTTTTAATTCAAAACGGTTCAACGAAGGCATGTAGATGAAGAGTAATGCCTAGGTTGCAATTATCCTCTGTAAGTTTTTCCATTCTGGAAAATGTTTGAAGCAAAGGTAATGCTTATTGGAAAGTTCATAGCGAAGTTGCTTTTAAAGTTCATATTGAATGAGTCTTGAATAGCAGGTTCAAGTAGTCCTTGAAAGACGAACACGACAATATGCAGCTCTAGTTTGAATAGCTTGAAGTTTATTGTCTTTAGGTATAAATAAAGTTCGTAAAGATTTTGTGACTTTTTGTGTTGCAGAAATGAATTTCACACAAAAGTCCTTGTTGGGGCTGTTGGGGCCAATGAAAACAATTTTCAAAGGTGTAGTAGTGACAAGTTTGCACCCAGTGCAAGGCTGGTAAGAGGGGCTTCTTTGGCAGATTAGCTGCAAGTGTGGTAGTTTCATGGCATCTCATCCTCCAGGGCCTAGCTAACAGGTTGAATCAATGCAAGGCAAGTGAGGGGACATAACAGCACAAGCACAACAGGATAAAATGTAATTTTAAATTATACTCTTGAGTCAAGCTAACACTTACTTTACTTGTTTAAGGTGTATGTGCTTAAGATGTGATTAAAAAAAAAAAAAAAATTTAATGTATAATTAAATTTTTTTCAGATTTTTTTTTACAGGATGCAACAACAAAATAACTAGCTATATATTTAGAGTTTTTAAAAATATAAATATATACCTTTAATTTTTTAGCTTGGTTTTCTGTGGGAGAAACACTGGAAGTCCTGTTATATATGAAAATATTTTTCTAAACATACAAATCCAATAGATTTTCAGAATTCAAAGAAAAATACTAAGCTATACACACATTATGTAATTGGGCATATAAAATAGTTATACAGTATAAAACTTACAATTGATCTGACGTTTTAACTAAATTTTCTTCCTTAGGAGCTTCAGATACGGCCTCTTCCATTGGTTCATCTTTGTCTCCAGCCTTAATACAAACATTTATTTCAGGCTGATTTTAAACAAGCTGAACATTTTTTAAGCTACGAATGAACTTTAACTATATCACACAAGTGTAAATACTAATTGAAACAAAAAGCTTTTCTTTCTTCCCCAATATTTCAACAGACTTATTACAGACTTCACCAACATTGCAATAAAAGTAACAAAAACCCACACTAAAAATCCTAACAAGCAAATTCTAGCAAGAAATATTTACCTCAAACTTTCCCTGTGATACTGAAATGGGAGATCTCTTGCTTGTTATCACTTGATCAGCCTTCCTTTGTTTACCTTTAGAAGAAGAGTCTGAGCTGCTACTTGAAGAACTAGAACGTGACCTAGATCTGGAACTAGAAGAACTCTCAGACCTGGACGCTTTACGCTTAGGTGCTGGTGATTTGGATCTTGACCTGGACGATGATGAGGAGGATGAAGAAGATCTGGATCTTTTATTTTTAGAATCTTTTGGTGAGTTTACAGGCGATTCTTTGCTAGCCACTTTAGGTTCTGATTTTTCTGAGTCTAAGTTAGTTTTGTTTAGCCTTTCACCAGGTGGTTGTACAGTCTCTGGACCAGCAGGTGGTTCAGCTTCTTCAACTTCTATAGGTGTAACTGAAGCCACTTCAACCTGCGGAGCAACAACAGCCACTTCAACCTGCGGAGCAGTAACAGCCACGTCTGGGGCAACAATATTGGTGCTAGACACTGACTTGTCTGATTTATCCTCTGCTTCTGCATTAGGTTCAATTTGTGGTTCAGGTGTTTCTAGCCTCTCTGATGGCTCAACTGACTCGGTGAAAGATTGTACAGACAAGCTTTTGCTGGTTTCAGATTCTTGCTTTTCATGTTTTTTATGATCTGTGCCTTCTTTATTTTCTGTGTTCTGTTTTGTATCTGGTTTATTCTCTGTCTCATTTTCAGATGATTCTTGTTTTTTCTCAGTTTCATTATCAGAGTCTTGCTTTTTCTCTATTTCAATAGCCACATCTTTATTTTCTGACATAACTGTGCTTTTGATCTCTGGTACAACAGTGTCCTCTTTAATCTCTGTTACATCTTTGTCTATTTTTTTCTCTGATTCAACATTTATTTGCTGCATTTTTTCTACCTCTGGTTCCTGTTTATCTACTGTTTTTGACTCTGTCATAGTATCGGTAATGTGTGTTTTCTCTACATCCTTTGCCTGTGAATCACATAGTGTAGATGTCTCTTTTTTCTCCACAGCCACAGGCTGGGCTTCTGTGAATGTATCACAATCTTGTGTCTTCTCATCTTCAACTGAGGCAGGTGTAAGGTTAGTAGTCTGTTGTACAACTTCCATGGGCTCTTCATGACTCCGGGCCTTGTCAGGAGACTTCTGAACTTTTTTATCAGTGATGTTTTCATGAGCTGTGGTTACTACTTTTGTGGGTGTTGGTATCTCTTTAGCGGCTACAGGTTTTGACTTACTCTGGGACCCTCCTCCATCATCTGGTAAATCCTCATGTGGTGGTTCTTCTACTGGGATTTTGCTAGAAGCTGCTGAGCGCCTTGTGGATCGTCTGGACGTTGTGATAACATCAGATGCAACAATCTGTGGAGATCGGGATCGTGAACGCGAACTAACAGAGTTGCCACTTTTATTCCTCTTTTTCTTTGGGGTTGCCTCTTGAGATGATGATGAAGATGACCGTGACTCTTTGGCTGGCTGCTTTCCTCTACGCCTAGTACCTCTTTTAGAAGCTCTACCTCTTGCTTGCCTTCCCCTTCTACTACGAGATGGTTTTTCTGGTGTCGGTGATCTGGAACTAAAATTTTAAGGTAAGCAAAAATATAAGAAAATTAATCTGGAAAAGTTGAACATTCAACCCTTTATGATTTTTTTCACTCAATAAAAAAATTTCCAAACAAAAATGCAAGATGATTTCAAAATTATAAATATAAAAGCAATAAATAATGAACTGAAAACCCAAATGATAGGGGTTCAGATTTATGCTTCCAATCAACATTTTGTTTCAGTATATAAAGAAATATTTTTAAATACCCATTTTACAAAAATTAACATCTACCACTGCAAGATCTATGGCACATTAAAAAAAAAAAAACAGCTTGTGTTTGGTGTATTAGGCTATTTCATTAAAAAGGTACAGCAAATTCCTCAAATACTTTACTTTAGCAGCTATCACCTACTTTAAAATAACTAATACTACAGTCATGAAGACTTACTGTTTTAGTGAATAAGAGGATTAATTGTAAATTATTTTCTTTTACAAAATAATCTTTGTTTTGTAATCCATAGGGTTAAAGTTAATATAGGGAAATGCACTTGACAGAAAACAAGGGGGTTACAAAAACAGAAGGGGGTTAAGAAAATGGTAACCATTATTTTTACAGCTGTTAGTTCTGGCTTTTGGTGATGTGACAAAGATGGGATGACAAAAATAAAATTGCATGTCATTTTGCATGACCTTTAGCTAAATGTGGAATTTTAAAATAATGTATCCTATCCTTGCCAGCATCTATTCGTTTTGAGCAAGCCAATCACAGTTGTCTCTTCTGAGAAGGGAACAGCTAATTGTGAAACTATGATAGAAGTACTTGTAGACACGTCAAATGTCCTCAATCTTTGCTCTATTTTTCAGTATACTTTTAGTATAACAGAATTCAGTATAATATTGGCAGACAACCCATTTCAGTATATGTGATCAAAATGTTTAATTGTCAATCTAAATCATTGACAATTAAAAATATTTTTATTGCCCTTCCATACCTCTTTAATTTCAAGGCCACTGAAACAGGTAACTCTACCTCATCTGCCATTACCATCAGGTTCAAAAGTTATTCCCTTTTATTTTACAACCTCTTAAATAGAATGCATCCTTTAAAATTATGTATTTTTTTCTAAGATGGCTCATTTTTTTAAAAAAAAAAAAGCATTTCCACATTCCAAATATTGTCATCAAACACACTTATGTAAGATGACTGATACACATATTGGTCTCATTAGGCAAAGACATAACAGCTAAAATTATCTTCTCATGAGGACTGAATATGATGCACCATTTGAAAATATCTTCAGTTTACTGTTGTAGTGAAGTGTTAACTAGTATAGCAAGGTTTCCTGAAAGATATCAGCTTTAGATAATTGCAGTGGCTTCCCAAAAATGTCTCCAGTTGTCTTTTAGACAACAATTATTTTTTTTAATGTGGTGTAGGCGCTTATGTATTTACACTGCACTCTATTGATCTTAATCCACAAATATTCAATGATTTTAATTGTCATAACTTTGTTCACATTAGTATTGAATCAAAAAAGAAATTGATCGAGTAGCACTGAAGTTCTCCTTGGGTAATTCATATACAGATTTTCAAATATGGGTTCAAAACGAAAGGGAGTCATTACAAAATATTAAAATTACATTGAATCTTCAATCTTTACTACATGTTGCATAACAATCCTCAACATTAATAAACAAAAGTGAAAATGTATATAATTTTGAAAGGTGTAAGTGCTAGAAAGCCAAATACTCAAAACCATAAAAATGTGTAAAGTTAAGAACTGCAATTTTGAATGTAACTAGATCCTGTTCGAAATGAACCCATAGAATTTTTTTTACATTCAATCTCAGTACAGACACAACAAAAAAACGTGTGTACTAAAAATAAGACAACAATAAAGTCCAAGGAAAATACTATTTATTTTTTCTTTAAATTATTTTCTTCCTTTTTATGCAGAAATAATTATTTTTGAAAATAAACCTCATGTCACAACATGGTTCATTTTTGTTTAACAATATCCAAGAATAATCAGAGACAGTAGCATACACTGAATCATCAATTTTATAACAAGTCATATACTTAATACTAGGCCCATTCTATTTTATCAAGGACGCAATAACAAAAAACAATATATACACAAAGTATGATGAAGCATAATATTTCAAATTAAAATGCTTTAATACTAAGAAATGATAGATTTGTAATGAGATAATAACTGGCCAAATATTTGCAGCCAATCTAAAAGAAGTTTAGAAAGAAAGGAAAAAAAAACTGGTTTTGAGTATTTGACTATTAACACTTTTCAATTGCAAAACTTGATATTTTAAGTAATTAGCAAATGTAGGTAACTACACTTTCTAAAACCCAAGCAAAATAGATATGCAAGATGCAGCAAATGAAAAACATATTTATACAATTTTTTCTCTGTGGAATAATTAAATTGATGTAACATTAACAAACCAAGACTATAACTGAGTGTATGACAAAAGAAATATTTACAGAAAAAAAAAAACTATTACATAAATGAAAAGAATAACACTATTTAACCTAATACATTGACATTTGCATCACATACTGTGTTAGTTATTTAATGATAAATGTAAATGAGCTGTGGAATATTGTGTAAAGTAATATTTCCATAAAACAAAGATTAACTTACAAAAAATTTACAATTTTGTCATTAAAGTTGAATGCATTAGCAATTCACAAGGGGAGTTATGTTATACTGTGACCAATGTTTAAATAAGCATCACTATACACACATTTTTTTTACCCTTACAACAAATACCTTTTAGCTCTCAAAAGAGATAATAAAACCATTTTCATATATCTCATTTGATTTGTTTCCTAAGATCAATTAATAAAGAAATAATTAAATTAACATTTCTTATGCATTGTAAAAAAAATTTTCACTTAATAAATTGAGAGGAGGGGCAGGAAAAAAAAATGCGGGAGCTTTAACCAAAAGGAAACACAAAAAATTAATTTAAGCTAAGTGTAAGATTCAAATACTTCAAATGAAGATAAATTCAATTTACAATGATCATTTAGTGAATCAAGGTTCCTGAGCAATATATGTGTATAATGGTTTTCACATTTGTACAAGCAACTGTTTTAACAATGCTTCAGAAGTACAAGTGGAGTTGTGAAAATGAAGAGAAAACAGGGTAATCTCAAAATATCAACAACAAAAAAAAACCCAGTTTATGTCCTGTTGAAATTGAATTACAAACCTGGTATCTTTGCAATTTATTTTACCTATTGTATATAACAGTTTGGACAAAGTATTGCATTAACATTTTGATTGCCGAATTATAATGAAACAATAAATATATATAGCTTTCAAATCAAATCCAACCATGTCAGATCATTAAAGAAATCTAAAAGTAAATTCTGTATATGAAAACGTGTATATTCTCAACAATGTAAATAGCACTTCTAAACCCTATCCAATTATTTACCTCGACGAAGATCCTGACCGTGTGCGCTCTCTTAGCCTTTCATTTTCAGGTGTAGGTGATCTAGATCTATCTTTAACAGGCTCAACTTCCTGTCCATTTTCACCTAAGGATACATTAAAACAAGTTTGTACCAATGATAGATGGAAGGGGGTGTAATGCAAAATCAAAGATACTGACACAGACTGATAAATCTTTTTTAAGTTCTGAAATAATTGCTATTGTATCAAAAACTTTTGTTCCAGTTTTACTGCTAGGATCAACATAGCATTGGTATGTACCAAAATTTGTTTTCTGTCGAAATACACCAACCTGACCTTTTATCATCAAGATTCACTTATGACAAACTTTGATTTAACGCTGTTGACCACTTATGTGTACAAAAACTACATCATCAAATTTTGGGGTATGTGTATAAGAATAAGAAAATCCCAGTGATGTTTTCTTAAAAAAGGGATGCTAGGTTTCTGGCAGTTAACTGAATACAAATGAGACATGCTAATGTCAACAACCCTATCTGTAATTGAAACTGTAACCTAAGTTTTAACTTATCCCATCGCTCAAGTTTCTGACCATAACACTAAACTTCAGATTACAACACTACTAATAACCTAACACACATTTTCAGAAAGTCTGAGTGTTACTACTCTCAAAAATCTATAATACCAATATTCCAAAGATTTTAATAATCACATATATTCAATAAAATTACCAATGTAAGCCACTAATTTAAACACCCAATTTATTACTAGCTTTAGAACATAATCTATATATATAATTCTCTTCTTCGAGCCGTTAGAAAACAAGCTGCAAACGCTCTCCCTACCTCCCCACCCCTACATGGTTTTAGTGAGCTGTGTTCACTCTAAATGTTTACAAGCAGAGCCAACGATTTTAAACGTAGGGGGGGGGGGGAGGGGGGTTATGGTCCTTAACGAGCTACTTATAGTGTTTTAAAGAAATATTTTCAGTGTCAGCGTTGGTACTGTCGAATTCACAAATTATGAATTATTGAAAATTAGAAACAACTAAATAGCGGCGTATGTTATGCCGCGGGCCGGCTCGTATATATTATTAGGCCACTTAAACTAGACAATCCACAACTTATCTAGGAGTCTAGGCTGAATGATGCTAACAAATCTATATATAAAATCTACTAAATCTAGCTAGTGTTTGTCTGCTTGTGATCAGTCGTCAGCCACAGTTAATGCTAATGTTTATAGGGGTCGGCGTGGTCGAGTCGGTAAAGCTCATGGTTGCTAAACCGAAAAGTCTCGAGTTCGAACCCTCGGGCAGATGAGGCTCGTTAGCTGAGGACAGCCACTCTTCTAGGAGAGACAACTCCAAAATTAAACAACTGCTGCCTTGTAGTTTGTTCTTGGTTGGACAAAGGCTATGGAAGCAAATCCAAAAAGAAAAGCAGGCTGAAATCGGAGTCAATGGCCTCAATGGCGCATAACCAGTTGACACGTAACGCTTAATTGTGTTGGAGGCGTGGTCGAGTCGGCAAAAAGGTCATGGTTGATAAATTCGAACTCGAGTTCAAACCCACTGGCAGATAAATCTCGATCCCCTTCAACACTAATAATTAAGAACGAAGAAGAAGAAGAAGAAGCTAATGTTTATAAAATAATTTACACTTCTTATTTCATACTTAACTGAAATTCAGTGAGATGTGTCATGTTATTCACCAAAGACCCAAAAGAAAGAAAAAAGGGAAGGGGGCGGTAACACCCTGACAATGGAAAATTGGTGGGGGAAAAAACTCACAAGGTCTATATTCTTATATATTCACATATAGGCCTACATTTTTTACCATAATAATTATAATCTTACAGCTAGCTTTAAAACAGCACATAAAACATTTTCCTAAATTAAATCCATTATTTCTGAAAATTAATAAAAAGCTGGCTAACAGTTATCTTTAGCCAGAACAACAAAAACTGCATTGTGGTAAAAGATTAATGGATTTTTAATAATTTCCCAACAATTCAAATAGTATTAGAATGCTGTGTTTGTCATTGCAGATTAAGGTAATTACATAAGGATTAGGCCTATATGCCGGTGGATTTTTTAATACGAGTGTTCGATAATAGAATTTTCTTTAAAAGGCCGTGTTGGGTTACTGGTAGTTTTCTTAATACATAGTCAAGATCACAATACTAGATACAAACGAATACTACAACTACACCTATTTTTAGAAGTCTATTATTAGACATCAGTATTCCAAATCATTTTTGAATCATTAAAACAGTTTAACCACTATAAAATTTGACTTGAGCATGTCTGATATTTATTTTAACCTACATTTTTGTTTCTCTCCCTTAGTCTGGGTGATGGGGCAACTACCCCTATTTATTACTAGATCTAGATCTAATTATTAATATTGCTCGCTACCCGGGAGGCTTGGCTGGTTGCTAACAACAATATGGCGTACGGACCGGACGCATAACATCTGACGATTTTTCGTCTTAGTCCCAGAGACCTTCTTAGTATTACTTTTGAAAATGTTTACCACAAGCAAAATGGCGGGTTTTCACGTTATTTTAAAATGCTATATGTGGCCAGGGCTTGATATGCCAGAAAAGCACTTTAAAATTTGCTTTGGAGAATGAAGGCTAAATTTTGAAGTCGGTCTCAATAAAATTAATAGAACTTTTAAAATATCAGCCTGGAGGGTACAAAAATGAATTGGAGGTTGTAGAACTAATAGGTTTGTTAGTCTATGCAATAATAAATCAAACATCGCAAGCACTTTTTAGAATAAGACACGACTTTTGAATAACAACCAAATTTTTTATTTTTTAAAAACTATGTGACCGCTATTTGGTTATCACTAGTGAGGAATGCTTGATGCATGGCCACTTAAAAAGTCTAACCTGATTAGTGGTTTTCTTTAGCTTCAAACGTAAGAAGAGTTGTCATGCAGAGGTGTGTTGTGCATTTTTGTGAGTGACAATAAATATTAAATTAAGTGGCCTAATTTTGTTTAAAACAAACTAAAAACTTCAAAATTAGTGCCTAATGGATTAAATATTAGTACTACTCGCTAACTTGGAGGCGTGGTCGGTTGCTAACAACAATATGGCGCCCGGACCGGACGCTTGACTTCCGACGATTTTTCGGCCAAAGTCCAGAGACCTTCTACTAATTAGTTTTTAAAATGTTTGCCACGCGCAAAATGGCGGGACTTTCACGTTATAACAACAAGCTATAGGTGGCAGGGCTATATATGCCAGAAAAGCATTTTAAAATTTGCGTTGGAAAATGAAGGCTAAATTTAAAAGTTGGTTTCATAAAAAATACTAGAACTTTTTAAATATCGATTTCCATATTACAAAATTAATTTCCATACTAAAGCATTATTAGTTTTATCATTCTATGAAAAAATAAATCAAATATCTTCAACCCTTTTTTTTTATATGAGTGGCCAAAAAATGACAACCAAATTTTTTTTATTTTTTTGACCACGTGACCGCTATTTGATGATCACTAGTGGGGAACTCTGGGTACATGGCCGCTTAAAAAGTCTAACCGCATTTGTGGTTCTCTTTAGCTTCAAGTGCCTTCAGGGGTAAGAAGAGTTGTCATGGAGAGATGTGTTGTCCATGGCAGTGAGTGTCAATAAATATTAAATTAAGTAATTTAGTTTAAAACGAACTAAAAACTTCAAAATTAGTCCCTAATGGATTAAATATGGATGTCTATCATTCAGTAGTCATGTTTAATTTGAAATTTGGGTAAATTCTAGATTTAGTAAGAAAATCTATTAAATATGGGTATATCATTCAGTGGTCATGTTTAAATTGAAAATTTGGTAAATTTTAGAATTAGTAAGAAAAGCTACTAGACCCTAATTATTTATTATTAGACTAACTACCCACTTAGACTTAATCATTTAATTAACATCTAGGCCTAGATCTAGCCTAGAATCGAGATCTAACATCTATGCTAAATGATACACCTAGAACGGGTAAACCTAGATTCTAGATCTAGAATAAATCTAGATCTAGACCTAAATCTGCTCATAGATTATAGATTCTAGACTCTAGTCTAGACTCTTAGACCTAGAATCTAGATTTCAAGATCTAAATCTAGTGGTGATCTGCTTGTGATCAGTCAGCCATAGTTATTGCTAATGTTTGTAAAACAATTTATAATTTCCACCGCTACCCTCCAATACCGCTTTAGACGCGGCGAGATGAGTAAGGTTACTCATCGAAAATCCAATGGAAAAAAAAAGGGGAAACAACAATGAAAGCTAGACTTAGTACACGGTTCTTTCTAGATCTAGATCTAGATCTAGATTTCTAGATCTAGCCTAGATCTATCGTTCGTTGGTAAATCATACATAAAAATACACAGCGTATATTGGGCATAATTATCAGTCCTTAACTATGAATAATGTAATCATATTTTAAAACTGTTTGGAATATCGACTAACCCTTCGAAGCTGTGCGACTGCTTTTCCTCGCCGGTCTTGGCATTTTTCCTATTTCTTTCGACTTCGCAGGTGCGTTACTAGTGTCGTCCTTGAACTTTTTCGGTGACGTCACGTCCGGGTCGACCGTAACTTGACTCCCAGCGGGAGCGTTCGATTCGTCTGCGGAGGATTCATCTGCCGACTTTCTTTTTCTTTCTTCTAGTGTTAAAAATTGTACACATATATATATTATTTTTAATTAGAATCCATGGTGCTAGTCAAGATCTTAAATCTAGATCTATATTCCTAGAATCTCACACTCGATTACGAAAAGAAGTTTTTTCAATAGGAGAGGCCTACACATCGTATTGTCAATGGAGGCGAGCGAGTTGACGAGATTCCTTTCATAATGTTGTTGTCATGGAATAAAAACGTGCTTTTTAGATTTAGACCGTAAAAAAAAATAAAAAATAAAAACTTAAGCCTAAAATTAATTTAGAAATTTTATATTCTTAGAATAAATGCTATAAAAGTTGCAAATCCAGAGAACTTGAAAATAATTTGTTGAGTTTAAGGCTACATTTCTATTTATTTTCATCAAGCCTAAGTTATAACCGGATGTTTCACTTTCGTAAGACAAATATTGATTGGCTGTACAGTAACTTAGTAATCGATAACTATTTGTTTACAAAACTTTGCAGATCAAGTTTTTAAATTACAATGCAAATTTAAAACCCCATGACCTAGTTTTCTATTTTTAGCTTACAATGTGTACAATAAAATCTATGGCAGCCTATCCAATAGCAGGATGCCATGTTTATGTCGCCATTACACGTGAAAACCAAATTGTTTTTGCTTTTTTTTTAATTTTTATTTAGTTACCGAAAATATTATAAACATCAAATACATCCAATCTTTAGTAAAGTCCGAAAAAAACCAGACAGGCAGGATTTTATAACCATATTAATTGTAAATACGCTGTGCATGATTTTTTAATGAATTTATACACCTCTCAAATACCTTTGAGACTTTTCTCGCTGGTGTCCATTATTGTTCATTATTAAATATAACTAGAATACCCGTCATCCCTTGGATAACTGTGGGTTTCGGGGGTCATCCATCAAAAAACATCACGTCTGTCACTCAGAGGCATAGCGAGCCTTCCCGGCGCCCGGGGACAAACTTTTCGATTTTTAACCCCCCCCCCCAAGATTTCGATTTTCAACCCCCCCCCCCCCCCCCTCAAACTTTTGATGTGCACCCCCTCCCCCCCCCACTCAAACTTTCGATTTGAACCCCCCTCAACCTTTCAATTTATTTTTCCAAACCATTTTGGCGCCCCAACATACGTCCCCCCGCCCCCCCCCCTTCACCTCCCCCCCGCCTCCCCTTCCCCCCCCCCCCCGCCTCCCCTTTCCCCCCCCCCCCCCCCCCCGCCTCCTCTTCCCCCCCCCCCCCCCCCCCGCCTCCCCACCCGCCCCCCCCCCCTCCTCGCTACGCTACTGCAGTGTCACTTATCGTCACAAAAACAGAGCCCACATTCAAAAATATGTTTCTTATCTTTTAAAAACACCGAAAACACCGATTTCGGACTATCCCTTCATATACTGACGTCACATGTGACCTACTCAACTCTACTTCACCTGCCCAGTGTCCCGCCAAGTCTCAGACAACATGTTTTTATCGTTTAAAAAACGATTCCAGCCAAGCATGTCTCTGACCACACTATCCTTTCATATGGTTAGGACAAAGAAACAGATGAACTCTACTTCACCTGCCCTGTATCCTGCCAAGTTCAGATAGGCAACTTTATCATTAACATCTAAAAAAAAAAAATTGAAAAAAAATATCATTGACATATTGGTCTAGAACCTGTACCACTCGCATGAGAGCGGACTACGCTACAAACTTAGCTATTTACTCGTGACGTCACAAATGAATTTTTATACTATACTTTGATGCAACTTGATTTTCGAGCGTCTAGTCTAGAAGTAGTAACTTTCAAATTAAATTTTATCTTAAATTAGCCAAACAAAGATTTATATAAAATAATTAAGGCCTGAAATAGATTCTAGATGTATTAAGGCCTGAAATAGATTCTAGATGTAGAATTTACATTAAGTCTAGATTTAGAATTTACATTGAGTTTAGTGATCTAGATCTAGAACAAAAAACTCTGACGTCACTATCAAGGGACGTCACTATCCCCACAAAGTTTATTCAAAGTATTAACATTTTTAAAAAAATACGGTTAATTTAACAATGAATAAATCAATAAATTAATTAACGTCTTTAAATAAATTTGTGATTAACAGTCTGTCTGCATTAAAAAATTATTCTCTACCTACATACTATTTTACAGCTCTCCAGATAGAGCCGAACATATCAGGATACTTGATCAGGCAAACAAACAAACAAACAAAAAAACAAAAAAATAAATATTCAAACATGTAAACAAACTTGACTTTTAGTAGTATATAGATAAATAAATAAAATCATATTATTAATAGGCATGTAGTGTAGGCATTTGACTAATTATTACATGCTTTAATAATTTGACTATACTAGATTATATTTATAGATCGGTAAAATAAATCTTAGTTTAGCGTCGTAAATTCCAACGTAGCTAGTAATGTGCGATGAAGGTAACTAATAAATATTTCTTTCATTTGGCCATATTTATGTCATATTTTACATAATATAACAGATAATTGAATAACAAATCACAATCCAAGACCAAACCAGTCATAAATATCACGGAATAAACTTTAAACTACCCCGTTCGAGACAACAATGAGTAAATACAAGCAGCGACCATGTTTCAAAAACAATAATAGAGTAGTTTCCCTTGAAAAATTGTCTATTCGCATGTCTTTTGTGTTGATTTTGTGGTTTATTATGATTGTTTTAATATATGAGTGGGGGGTCGTCCATAAATGACGTCACACTCGTATGGGGGGAGGGGGTACGTAATTTTGTGACGGTGTGTGATGGGGGGGGGGGGTTCAGATGGTGCGACGTCACACTTTTGCATTATAAAAAAGCATTGTTAGAAAACGAATTTTCGACGTTATTTTGCGTTTTAGATAACTGTTTTAATACATTGTACTAACAATTGATTAAAATACTCTATTTTGACAGAGTTCAGACAAGATTTTGGAAAATATAGCTGAATAAATTCAACTGCAATTTTGAGAGGGGGGGGGTGTAGGCTGAGGTGTGACGTCATTTTAGGGGGGGGGGTCTGGCTTTTTGTGACGACGTGTGACGGAGGGGAGGGGGAGGTAAAAATCGTCAAAAAAAAAAGCGTGACGTCATTTATGGATGACCCCCTGTAATTTTTCTTTTTTTTTCAATATAGTTTAAATGAATGACTAATAGACCTTTTCAGACTTAATAGTGTGCATCCAAGACCACAACAATTGTTTTGACGTCGAACTTTTGAACACTTTATTTGCAGTAAGCAAATCAATATTAGATCGCTCATAAATGAAGTCGCTCTTAAGATAGTAATGACAGCGTGCATTATTACAGAACAAACATATGAACATATTGTTTCAGATTTGTGGTGGGGAGAGATTGAGTAGAAATCAGCGATGTGATTTTGGAGACGGGTCAGGTTTTTTTTTTCTCGTGAAAACGGGATGGTTGTGGGAGAAAGACCAGCTGTAGAAGTATGACGCGTCATTCATTGGTGATCCATTTTCTCAGTGGGGACGATAGAACTATTAAGAAGGGTCAAGAAATGTAAAAAGCTTGCTGAGTCGCATTTCTTGAACCCCACCTTTTTCATTCCCCCACTTAGCACATCGTCACCGAGTTAACGCTCGCACGTGACGTCATGTACCGGTACCGCCGACCGTTAGGTTAATTTTATAGAAAAAAAAACAAGCACTGCCTTTTTGACGCTTAAGCGACGTTTAATTTGATTACATAAGTTGGTATTCATTAAACACCCCCTAACACATCTATCACTCGTCCATTTAAACGTACGTAGTTATTTCTGCAAGCTTGCTGTCTTGAGACTTTCGGCCCTTTAAAATTATATTAAGCTCTCACCGTATAGAACTAGACTACCCATATTAAGCTCCAAAAGAAGCTTGGTGAAAACAGGATGGCCGTCCGATTTTGAAGCTGCTCTGCGCTTTATAAAAAGCACAATAAACGATAAGATGACACTTAGATTAAAGTAAATTATAGTTCTGAATCTTGATACATTAAAAGTGATATTCGGAAATTAAGAGCCAGACAGTCAACATGATATTTCAATTTAAGTCCAAGAAAATAAATTTCCTCAAACGATGGAACATTACTAAATTTTCGCGCAGTTTAGCGAAATTGAATTTAAGTATTTACGTCATCTTACAAAGCGCGATAGCCTACTGGTGCTCTAACGCGGCCTATGCTAATTGCTGCCAACAATAGAAATACAATGTTTATATCCGTTCACATGCTGTAGAGTAAATAAACATGGTGCATATAATATATCCTCTTACATTTGATCCCCACCCTCACTTTCCACTCCAAAATTGTAATGCCTTAGGCCTTTAGACATTACATTATTTTATTTAAACGTGTTTGGAATTTAATGAAAGAAATAATAAGTAATTATAAAAATGTACATTTTAGTAGGGCCTAGAGAAGTTATAAATTATGAAATCGTGTGCTCAAAAACTCAAAATCATTAGAATCTATATTTAATTTTGCAATCAGCTGAGGCCTAGGCTGCGTTTACTACTTTTTGAACCATGCGCGCTCATCTGAAAATTCAGAACATGTCCTATGTTTTCGCTCAGCGGGAGAAGACTAAAAAGAACACAAAAAGGGGCGTGGTTTTGTGCCCTGCGACTCAGAAGATGTTCCATATACCCGTAACATGTTTAGTATACACTTTAGTAGGTCAAGTCTAGTATACATGTCCCGTAACATGTTTAGTATACACTTTAGTAAGTCAAGTCTAGTATAAGTGTAAACGCGGTGTTAAATTTAAATTAAAAAATTTAACATCCCACCTCAAGTAATAAAACCATAACTTCAGCTGCTACAACATTATTGGCTTGATTTAACACCAGTAAGACAATATCAGAACGGTCGCATGAGAAGAATTTTTTTTTTAGTAATTTAGAGCAACACATCCATTTTTGGTGGGGACCGTAGACATGTCTACGTGAGCTATTCTCTGTTCCAAACAAGAAATCTTCAGAGCCATTTGCAGCACTTAGCCAAGTTGACACTCAAAACAACCATCAAAATATACCATTATGTAAAAATAATCTGACAAAAACTTCCATTAATATATTCTTAAAATATGTATTTTATGCTTTTAAAAAGGAGCTAAATATACGTCACAGTTGACCAAAATAAGCACATTTTTATTTCATGTACCAATTATCGGAATAAGCACTTCAGAATCGATTAACACATTGCATATTTATAAAATTCATAGCTTGTTTTTAATTTGTGAGGCAATACTATTTTTCTAAAAACATGATTTGTTTTTTTTAGTTAAGAGAGAAATGAAATACACTATGGATACGATGGGTTACAATAATCGTTGACTAAATCAAACCAGGATCGTCTGCTGGATGCCTGATTGACCTGCAGCACCCAGGGCTCCCTGTGAGCATTATGACGCCTACATTTGTTTTAAAGAATATCATACAGTAATGACACTGTGGCACACAACATTCAATGATTAAAGAAATCAGGAGCCGTAACAATGGATCCTGGAACTTTAATGTATCAATAATGAAGGGCGATCAAAGGAAATGTTTAACGTATCTCATATAATAAAATGTGAATGTAAAACAATATCAATATGCATGAACAGAAGTGAACTGAAAGAGGCAAGAATTAATATTTAGTTAAGGTTACAAATTGACTTTTGTGGACGCGTATGGACTTTTATAAGGGAAATAAGTAGATTTTTGTGGGGGGAGGGAGGGGGGGTTCCAAAATCCAAAAAAATTGTGGACGTCATAAATGGATGACCCCTATGGCTCATGAAAAAGGTATCAAGCCACTAAACTCAGAGGAACACTTTATTGTTGATGAGGAAAAAAAAATGTGATTTTATAAAATATGTCTTATGAGTACCTTTAGTTTACCTTCTCAAAAATAATAAATTCAACACTTAAACTATGTGATAATTAATATTTAAGAAGTTATATTGAAATCGGCTCACGGCAACACGTGCAATAGTTAATTTTGAGAGAGAAAAAAGCTCATGAAAATGTGTCATTCAATACATCAGCAAAGAATGACCACAAGTAAAATGTGGCATAATAAAACATTTCCCCAAATGAAACTGATTAGCATAAGTTTGTATTTCGCATTTTTCTGTTTGTTAATTTTGACTTTCATATTTTCCGTGTGCTTTTTACTGGTCACCAATAAAATATACATATATAAAAAGGAAAGTAATCTAAATTAATTTATTTTCTTTGAGGCAACAGTTTGTTATGCAGAAAAATATCTGATGCTATCATCAGCTTTTAAAAACATCTATTTTAAAAAACAAAAAAAGAATAAAGAAAATCTTAGTTACATTTACTTAATGCTTAATTTGGTTGACAATTAAGTTTAATGACATTATGAAAGATTTTTGTTGTTATAGTGTCCTAACTTTTTTTTTTTAAACTCTTTACTTTCCTTTTTCACTGAAATTTTTCTTAGTTGTAGAGTCTGATGGATCTAAACAATGTATAATACTTTAATTTCAGTGGAGTAATAGAAATGTGGCTGGTAATGAGATTCTGTAGATACTGATGTAAGTGGGAAATAATAAGCTTTTAAAAATATTTTTTTATTACTGGTGGTCGATTTTCTATGACTTTTTTTTTAAAGGTCAGTATTTTAACTCGTTTTTATTAACTCAGCTTCGCGTTTGTTTGTTGTTAAAATTGACAACGAAAATTAGCCCACTTCTAATTGCTCTAGACATCTGAAATTCGGCATGCAGGCTATTTTCGCCTAACAATTTCAGATGCAATCATAAAAAATAGCAATTAGATACCTAAATTAGCTTAATTAAATTACGCCCCTAGGACCCTAAAATTGAGGACATGATTTCTCAAAAACGCATGTAAATTTATAAAGTACTAATAATATCCCGCACTTTTATACACATTTTATTAGGCGTTCACTTGGTGTGGGATGGAGTTGTCTAGCGGTAGAGAGCTGGACTGCTAACCCGTTAGTCTCGAGTTCGAATCCGAGTTCAAGTGAGTAGACCGTCCCTGAGTCCACCCAACTCTGATGGGTACCTAACTCCTGGTAGGGAAAGTAAAGGCGGCTGGGCATAGTGCTGACCACACTATCTCCTCATATGCCGAGGTCACAGAAACAAGTGAACTCTACTTCACTTGCCCCATAGACCGTCAGGTTTGAAAGAGAAACTTTTCACTTGGTGTGCAATTCTTTTTTTTTATTACCACGTTTTGTTTTTAATGTTTTACAGTGTAATGCTTAAGGTGGGTGGAGAATCGACAGTTAATCTGTTCGAGGAGGGATGGACGGTGGGCCAACTACCTAAAAGCATTCAAAAACCTGTTGATCCTTTTTATTTTGATAAAAAATCCTCTAAATTTTTATGTATTTAAAAACACTTAGTCAAGTCATACCTAATCAAGTCATTAGATAAAGTAGAAAATAAACTATATAAAAAACTTTTTAAAAACCACGTTTTTCATGTGTAGCAACGGACTAAAAAGGAGAAAATAAAATACTTAAAAAAACTTTTAAAAAAACCACGTTTTTCTTGTGGACTAAAAAGTAGAAAATAAATTTTTCTTCCGACCCTAGGGGATCTACCAATGACTGCTCGTAGATTTTGTGCTTCCTCGAGCTGTGCAGGTTCTTGTGATGACTGTTCATACATTTGATGACAAAAAACGTGTGTCGGGCAGATTTATGATTAAAGCGAAAAGCACACAACACACGAATTTTGGAAATTTGATGGTGAACGTACCCACGTTTTTTGTCATCAAATGTATGAACAGTCATTTTCTACTTTTTAGTCCACAAGAAAAACGTGGTTTTTTAAAATGTTTTTTTAAGTATTTTATTTTTTTTTAAATTACACTAATAAATTAGCTACATTTTTACCAATTAAAATCACTCTGCTATAAAATTTTCAATGATAATGCTTTTTGTTTTTAACAGTTCACTCTTATAATATGTGAATATTTTAAAATAGCTTGTATGAATATTGTTTTAACTGAAAATGGCATCAGCATTTAGCTTGTCCATGGTGGAAGGAAAAACTTTTGTATTGTCAAGGCAGTAAATGTTTAAAGTATCACTGAAATGTTCAAAAGCAATAATATGCATAACTAAATGTTTTTATAAATTAATTTTCTTTGGTATGAATGTTACCAAAATTATTGACGTCCATTACAAAATTACAATGAATGTGTATGAATTTTCATATCACAATAGACAATCAAATTTTATAAGCTCTTTTTAATTGCTTATTTGTTCTAGTCCCTTTCAAGATTTAACTTTGATCATGAAGCCATAAACAAGTTAATAAAAAGTCTAGTGACAATTTAAGCGCAATTTCCTTATGTTATCCATAACAATTTTTTATTTTTTGTGACCGAACGAAAGGATATTTTTAAAAACTTTCTTTGGCAATATTGTTCTAAATTATGGCAGGAATCGATTGGTAAATGTTTCAAGTCGCTAAGTGGTCTGGTTGCCGAGATATGGACCAAAAACTGCATTTGTTCGAGTTTTTTTGGCTTCGCCGGGAAATTCAGGAATGAATTCCGGGAATTTTTTTGGCCCACAATCATCCTTGGAACTTGCTTAACATATTTGCTTTTGGAACTAGTCCTCGATATTGCTTCGTTGAGGAGGAGATACGACTTAAAGCTGCGGACACACATCCATCCATCCATTCATACATCCAGAAATGACGAGTTAATAATCGCAATTGTCCGTATGGAAATTGCGCTAAAAAACAAGTTAGTAAATAGCTATGTATTTTAATTTTTACGCTATGCCAGACATGCCTACCCCTGTCAGCCAAAAGTAGGAACAGTCATGCCTAAAAAGTGGAATTTGAAGCAAAAAATGGGAACATACACGCGGACGCTACTTAACTAAGTCAAAAATAAAAATAACTAACTAAAAATTAGTCCAATATCATTAGTAGGCTTCTATTTATATATAACTAGTCTCTAGGCTACATTTAAATACTGCTTAATGTTAGCTTTCATTTTTTTAAAAATGTTAACCAGTATCCAGAGACCCCCCCACTCCCCAAATAATAACTATAGCTTTGACATAACATTATTGACTTTAATATTCCTGCCTTGTTAGGTTCTAGGCTATATGAACGATAAATGCTGAAGGCTTCGTAAGTAATTATAAGATATAAGTTAAGACATAGATCTATCTAGCAAAAATCCTAGTTACTTCTTACTAAGTGCTTCATAATAGTAGTAGTTACAACTTACAAGATAGATCTGTAACTGTATCTAGTAGATCTACTATATAGATCTAGAAATTAGCATGTTAGTCATGATTTTATTGTATTTTTCTCCCTACATAGTTTAAATCTACAATTCAATTGCAAATACTAAAAAGAACGTTCAGAAGTTAGATTGTCCACATTATCTATTAGTATATCTTTTAGTATTAGATGATACTTGTAAATATTGTAAACTAGGAAACGGAAACGTGTGCCAAATGGAGATCATCGCTATTCCCTGATCTTTTTTTCAATTCGATATATTACTTCTCTTTAGTAATTTTTTTTTCAAAAAGCGGAACAAACTTGATGAAAACAAGTGGCGAAACAGGACACAATTTTTTGTAAAAAAGCTGAACAATTCCACTTTTGGCAGGACGGTAGGCATGTATGCTATGCTGTCTTTAAATAAGTATTATGGTAACAATTCTTTCAATATTACCCAAGATAATGTAAAGTGAAAAAATCTTCAAACCAAAACTACTATAACAATCTTACCTTCAACCTGCTTTTTAACCTCCATCTGTATTTCTAGATTTCTTTGCTGCTGTTCAAGATATTGTCGAACAAACTCACTCTGTCCTGCTTTATTGTCTTGTTGAAGCTGTAAAAAGATGAATGAATGAAATTAACATACAAGAACGTTGAGACATGTAAATGATTGTATTTGACGTTAAAAAATCCATTTATATGGTATTTTCAAAAACTTTCAAATACTTTTACTTATATTTCATGTTTTCAAGTCTTTTTTAAATAAACAAAAAAAAAGTGTATGCTATACTATACTATAGAATCAAATGTTTTTCCAACTATTAAAATAATTTTTTAAAAGCTTACCGCTATATTGGGAGCTTTGCCTGAAAAAAAAAAGATAATTGTATTATTATATTTATAATTAAAGAAACTGCTGTACTAATAATAAGCTAAAACTAAGATACATATCTACCTTAAATAAAACATGAAACAGCTATCCCACAATATCAGGATTTAAGAAGATTGATTTGTTTATTTTAGTCTTTTATGGCTTATCACTTATTTACACAACAGTATTTATTTAACAAAATGTAAATGAATGCAAGTTAAGAACCAGTTGGACCTAAGGTTTAACTGATAAAATAAACAGTTTTGTTTAAACAAAAGAGATTAAATAGCACTTGAAAAATGGAATTAGTTTTCATCATGACCTGATAGACCTAGGACCCACTACTCTGTCTAGCTTGCATATTTTCTACAAATATTAAAGCTTGGATCAGAACTAAAAGGTGTTGAATTCCCCATTATGAGCTGCTAATTATTATAAGAGAGGAAGTAGAGTTCACTTGTTTCTATTACAGAAAATAAGATGATTATAATGCTGATTATAATACTCTACAAAAAATAATTAATAGTTTTAATTTTTAAATATTTACCTTCAAGTTCATCTCCAGAAGATTGTGCTGCATCTTGCTGCAACTTTTCAAGAAGTAATTGCTGAAAATACATTATGGTTAATATTAGAAAAATATGTAACTCTTTCAATTCAGTTATCACTTAAATAAAATTTTCACACATAAATGTTATCATTTCTTTTTTAGTTGAATTTTACATTGATGGAGTACTAGGGTGTATCTTTAGTTATATTCTGACATTTTATTTCATTGGTGTTTTGTTCTCTGCAGTAAGAACTTTAGAAGTTTTTAATGCTGATTTAAGTGCAAATGATTTCCAAATGTCAAACAGTTTAATTCATTATCAGTATGGTGGAATAATTTTCAATATTAACCATTAATGTCCCGTAACGCCCGCTGCCGCCCGACACCGTTAATGTCCCGTAACGCCCGCTGCCGCCCGCTTACAATACGCATAGAAAAATTAAATTTGTTTCATTAAAATTTGGCCTACAAATCCTAATTTTTAACTAAACAGGAAGTCGGATGGTTTCAGCATCCTTTTCCGGTCTTGTAATTTCAATGGCGCTTTTGAAAGATAAAAAATAATAGTTTCTTTCTATCTCGAAATTTTCGACTCATCTGTCGTATTTTTAGTAGATTTAATATTAAAAATAAAAAAAATTAATGCCTCTAAACGTATCTAGGCATGTATTTTATGAATGATATATGTTTAACATAACCAAATTGATATTTAACTGTTAAATTCGATGCATAGTTGTTAAGACAAAAATAAATAAAGTTGACTACCGAAAATGACCTGTTTTGAATTTTCTCAGACATTTTTTATTTTTATACTGTAATTTTACCGAATATAATATATTCTATTTAATACTGTTGGAAAGCCAGGTTTATTCCCAACATTAAGCAGTACTTTTTATCTTAATTTTCAATTTCATTTAGACAAAAACAAATATTTTGTGAAACTATTCACTTGATCATACAGAGTTATGCTCCTTACATTGGGCCGTCATGGGTGGAGTTTTGGTAGAATGAATGGGACATTAATGGTTAATAGGTTCTTCAAATGATAAATAAGTTTTTAAAATAATTTATTTTTGAAGGTGGGTAATCTCACAATTTAGCATTGAATTTTATACAGTAATGTTTGCTAAATTTTGTAAACATTAGTTACTGCAAACCAGTTTATTTGACTGATGAAATATAAATAAAGTAGTTGTGTACTACTTAAAGCTTTTAAGTTTAATTGACATAAAAGAAAAACAGAAGTATGCAGAAAATTAGCATCAATTTGTAAATATAAATAATAAAGTGAAGTGTGGTAACAATTTGTTTTTAAAGGAATACAGAAAAAAAACTTGTAAATTTGAAAAGTTAGTAGTGCTAAATAAATATAAATTACATCCTCTATTCTGATACATATCAAGTGATTATTTAGCAAAAATACTAAATCAGATATTTTTAAAAGTTACTTAATTAAAAAGAGTAAAACTATAAAAGCTTAACAAATTTTGAAATGCTCTGTAATAAAAAGAAGAGAGTCCCTAATAGTAATAAAATATGGTTTACAGTACTTCAAGCGTACGTCGCAAACGGTGTGACAAAATGTAGGCCATAGTCTTGACGTTATTTATATTTTTTTACTGCAAAACCGTTGCAGAATAATAACCGATGCTATATCATAAGATGACACTAAAGTTGTTTGGGGATGTCTCCCTTAGCATAGGATCTGTATTTGAAAAAGACTCTAGCTGCAAATGAGTTAATTGCAAGTGTCTTGGTAAAATGCAAGACGTGAAACGGCAAGGCTGTAAAATATGATCTGCACACGAAAACAGCCAGTCATGTGAGATTTTTGCCTTGCATTTTACCCCAACCAGATTTGAAGGTTTGGTTGGAGTAAATAGCACCGAAATCTGCTGAACATTATACCACACCCGAATTTTTACATGATGCAGAATTTTTAAACACATTTCGTATTGTTATAACGTAGCTACTCGCAGAAAACGTATTTCAAGTCCAATTAATCTAATGTTTAAATTTTTTAAAACCGCAGTTGAAATTCATCGATGCCTGAACAACTTATTTTTACTTTCTCGATGATTGAACTCCTTTCTTAATATCATTTTATACAATCTAGTTTGAAAAAGCCAGAAATTCCACTTTGAAAATTAGTTATTTTATGTAAAAATGTAGCCTACTTTAATTTTATATCACACAAAATTTACTGCTGTTATTTTTCAGTTAGACCTACATTCTTAAGGGGATAAGCGCGGCAAAAAGACACAAAATTTCTTGTTTTTCGTCATGATGGGTTTCTTGCACTTTTGGATACTTTGTCAATTTTTGTATTAAGAAAATAATAACTTTAAATAGAAAAACAAGTAATTAAAAAAAGTCTAGTGACAATTTTAGCGCAATTTCCTTGTGTTATCTAAAAATAGCTCTGTCGTAGCGTAAATCAAGAGCAGGGTTAGTAAAACCATTGGTTAGTTATTAAAACGTTTTTTATTTTAAAAAATTTCAGTATTTTACATGTTTTATTTACAATAGAGTAACATGACTAAAAACCATTGCGCGCCCAGCTACCGAACGTGACGTCGCAGCCATTGAACGTGATGGCGCAGCTATTGAACGTGATGACGCGTGTGGTGTGGTTGCATAAAATGCCTATTAATTCGGTCCAAATTGTAATTAATTCAAAAAATTTTTTGTGACCAAACGAAAAGATATTTTTAAAAACTTTCTTCGGCAATATTGTTCTAAATTATGGCAGGAATCGATTGGTACATGTTTCAAGTCGCTAAGTGGTCTGGTTGCCAAGATATGGGCCAAAAACGGCATTTTTTCGAGGTTTTTTGGCTTTTCCGGGAAATCCATGAAAGAAACCCGGAATTTTTATGGCCTATGTTCATCCTCGTAACTTGCTTAACATAATTGCTTTTGGAACTAGTCCTCGATATTGCTTCGTTGAGGAGGAGATACGACTTAAAGCTGCGGACACACATCCATCCATCCATCCATCCATTCCCAGAAAAGTTAATAAACGCAATTCTCCAGAATGGAAATTGCGCTAAAAAAATGTAGGTGTTTAAATTACCATTTTTATGACCCTATTAATTAAAAAAATAATAAATTTTTCCCAATCTTACACACTCTATATGAAAAGTTTTATATCCATCATCATATTGTATTTGGCACCATTGGAAAGCTGGATTTCTCTTGTGTTTGATAATCTTAATTTCCATCATCTCAGAAACATCCAACGCTTACAATCAGCTTTACAGTTTACACATATATGGTATTTTCTTGACCTACTTTTCGTTACTTTTGGCTGTTTTTCTCAGTTCGAAGGTTTTTAACACTATAAAGCCTACTACTTTTTAATTTATTTAACAATGCCCACCATATTTTCAGCAATTGTTCTTGATGCAAAAATACAACTTTTGTCACGAGAGAATTGTGATGGCTTTCATAGAAAAAAGTATTTGGTAATTAATATGCAAATTTTGAAACTTTTGAACACTAAAAATGGTACGATTTTGTAGACTTTGTAAAATTCTTACTTTTAGCTATTTAAAAAAGTTTTCGTGAAAAAAGTTTTAATATATACTAAAATATAAGCAGTTTAAATTTGATTGCTATAGGTGCATAAATAAAAAAGCCTTAACATTGTTTAAAGTATCAAAAAATTCAAAATGGCCGAGGTTTTTTGGGGTTTCCATGACAACCAAAATACTTTTTTTGCTGTTTAATACTTACTTTTATATGCCAAACATGATAAAAGTATTTAAAAGGCTTTAGATATTAAATTGTAAAAAATAGGAAAAAAATGCGCCTATCCCCTTAATATCTTCACTTAAAAGTAAGTCTATAATTAAATGTTGTCATACTATAAAAGAAATTTAGACCCATTTGTTACGCTATGTTGCATGCCTGGTAATAGGCCATAAGCTTATGTGAACTCACAATTACTAAAAGTACCTTTTTCTTAATATTTGGTTTGGGGGAAAAATAAAAGTGTTGTTCCTAACAAATAATACTAGATCTATGACACATGCCTTAATCTCCTACCTCGCAGGGACACCGGAGGGAAAAACAAAACTGATGTGCATGGCAATGTCTGATTGTCATGTTTATAATTGTTATGATGTTTGATACAGGCCTAACGGTACTAATATCTAAAATAATGTTAACTTAGAGTGACCCTTGACAGAATCTGCCCATTTGTCTTGCTGACAACAAAACGTGAGCAAGCGGTCAAAGGTCTAACGATGTTTTTTTTAAGAATTGGCATATTTTAATATTATTAAAAACCTACATCGACAAAAAATTAAAAACCTCAATTGTCCATTGCTATTTACTACTCGTAATTTCGCAGTTATGAGTCACAATTTCTTCTTCCATTTTACCTCCTCGTCATTTTGAGTTTTGCATTTTACCAAGACCCTAAAAAACCATCACCATGAGATAAGTTTCTGACAACTTTTCATCTCATGGTTGAAACATCATCACTTAACCGTTTTGGCTTAAAGTTTAGCTTTAAGTTGAAAGTGCAGTGTGCCTCCTGGCCTCAAACAACTGTTGAGTTGGTCTCTCTCTGAGCCCTAACCAAAACAATATTTTTTGCTAACTTAAAAAATCCAGGGCCTGCAGTTTACTCACTGTAGTAATCTAAACTCCCGCCGAACATTAGAGTTTCTAGATCTTGATTCTAGATCTAAATCTAGATCTATATTTAGACATGAAAACTAGATCTATAGTCTCTAGAATCTAGATCTAGATTCTAGATTCTTGTCTAAAATCGAATCTTTTTGAATAGGGGGCCTACATTTCTTTTTTTTAGTAATTTTTTTTTTACCCAAAAAAAAGTGGCCAAAAGAAAACATTCTTTTTTAATTATAACAAGCTTAAATAAGAACATACAGCTTTTAAACGCTCTGTAAGTTGTGTCTTGCTTCCACTCTTTGAAAGACCTCTTTTCTCCAATTCTCGCTTAATATCTGTAACTTTAAGTTCGGTAACAGGCGTTCCTTTAAGAGTTATATTATTTAAGGAGTCCTCCTCGGACGCCATTTTCAATCTGAACAACGCGAATATCGGTTGTTCTCGGAGTATTTGTAAACAATTTCAAAGTTATTTACATGAATAACTTTTTTATTACACTAGATACAAATTGATTTAATTTAATAAGGACGAATATTTTAAATGTAATGATATAAAATACTATTTGCTGTTTAAACTTAAATAAAGTCGGTAATTTCCGGAAAAATTTAATTGTGGCTAAGTAGCTTATGGCCTACTTTCACGGTATCCCGTGATTCAAAAGCAAACAGACATGATTTTACAAGATTGTGTTCGGCCAAACGATTTTTTTAAAAACTAGACCTAGATCTACACATCTAGATGTTTATTAAATCACACTTTATACATTTGCAATTAGATTTAAATCTCGGAAAATTATGATAATCCCATACTATTGCGCCCATACTATTTAATCCATCTAGATTAGATCATCAATACAGTTTCTGTATCTTGATCTACGCCTTGAGATATATTTGTTCAGTTGAGAAATGCAAATCTTGATATATCTGAGAGTGTAGGCTTAAATAAATGTTACGGTCAAAGCCCGAAGTCGGCCAAAGCATGCATTGGCCAATATCACCTCCCATTGACCGGCCAATGTCCGAAACTTCACTTGATTTTGGCCTTTCATCGGACAGGTCATGGTGGACCGGACAAAATCCGAATTAAAAGATCGTTATCTGGCTACGGGTGACCGACAATTATGAGCAGATTTTGGGTATTTTATATCTTAATGATTATGAAATTAGGTCTTTATTGATTAGTAATGAAAGCGAATGTCAGAAACATTCAAATTATTTTTTTAAATTATATTTTCAATAAATAGTATCACTTGTTACAACGAGATGAACATTTATGGCATTTAGAATTATATAGTAGCTTGTTGTTTTTGGGAACCGAGCCCCACTTCAGGTGGGCATCCGATGGTGGTGAATTTTTTTTTCTTTTTTTTTTTTTTTTGTAATTGAAAAAAGTTACGGTATGTTGTGTCATTGTGTAATCATAAGTTTTCTTCTGTCTCCTCACTGACTGCTGGCTGATTTGTTTATTTACTCAAAACAAATTGTAATGCTCAATCGTCTATCACTGTCTGTATAGCACAACTTTTATGGAAGAAGAGGGCTTTAGTATATATACAGTCATTAATGTTTCTTTAATAAATGCGGTCTTTGTATCTAAATATTTATTTAGTATAGTGTAGGGGCATCTTTTAGATTACTTTTGCCCATTAATTCCTATGCACTGTAGGGGCATCTTTAAAGTGAAGTAATTATGCCCATATTCGTTATATTACTTTTCAAAGAGATCTGTAATTATGTCCACATTTATTTGTATACACTGCAGGGGCATCTTTGAAGTAAGTTTGCTTACATTCATATCATATATTTGAAGAGCAATTATACAGTAATTATACCCATAATAATTTTCAATTTAAAAAAATTAGGCGAAAATTTGGGTAAAGTTTAAGGGGCCGGTTGATTGACTGCTAACCCGAACGTCTCCAGTTGATAGCACGACCCCAGAGTTTCTTCCAGGTGTGACCTACTTAGGTCGAGTCATTTTTATTTTGACATTGTATAATTCCTTATATGGAATGATGGTGTAACACCTGGGGTTTTTCCACTGACTTATTCAGGTGTTTGAGACATAGAAATTTTCCATTAAAATCTGATTGAATGATTCTGATCAGATGATTATCCCAACCAATGGCGACATGAGTTGAGGATAACCTCCCCTGCCACAGAAGTCTTTAATTGCACTGCACACTCGCAACACGTGGCAGTTTTTTCTTGACCTGGCAGTCTACGGGGCAGTTTTACCTCGTTCAGGCAGCCGTCCATATTGTCCGGCTATAGACTCTGACCATTTGAACGTGAGAGTACTTAAGACCTGTGTGTGCCTTGCTTTCTTCAGTTGATTTAGTCTTCTAGTTTAATATTACTTGTCGCTAAGTAAGTCTTGAAGCTACAGCAGTGTTGTGTGGCCTGTAGCTGTTCTTTAGACAGTGTAGAAATCTGTGATAGTGATTTTTCCTACATTTTGTGAGTTGTGTTTTGATATTTTATACATTAAATATTTTATCTAGTTCATCTTTGTGTTCTGCCACAACTGAGTTCGCTGATTAAAAGGTCGTATGTAGATTGGATGAGTGTTAATTACAATAGTACCACTAGCTTCCCTAGACATTAAATTCGAGCCCTAGTGGGTCGTTGTGTTAAGTGTTCATCCACTTAGGCCGTAAGGCATTTGCATATGACCCCGAAAAAAGAATCCGGGGACGTTCTCCTTCTATTTAGCTGATAGATAGGTTAACGTTACAAAGTGGGGTCTCGCCGAGATTTAATCTGCCGTTCCAGTTGTTGGTTATATCAGTTGAATATTAAGGTTAGTTGGATTTAGTTGTTTTTATATCCAGTAGCGCAGTGTTCTTACAACGCGCGCTCAGGCTAGAGTATCTAGGTCAAATAAGCAGACGTGTCACGTCCTACATTTAGAGGTCAAGTACACGGCCCAACACGGTGTATTAATTTAAAGAATCTAGGCTTGTTGTGATTTTCAAGTTAGTGTTATGGAGTCTTTTTTGGCTAATCCTACTGTTGAAGATGTAGAAAAGTTGAGTAGAAAAGTTTTGGTTAGTGTTGTTAAGGAATTGAAATTGGATTATTCTGTTACGCAGAAGTCAGAGGTGTTGAGAGATAAAATTGTTGTTCATTTCATTAATGAAGGAGTATTTGATGAAAGTTTGTTGGCTGGTGTGTTGCTCCGCGAGGAGAAAACTCTAGAGAAGGTAGAATTAGAAGCTAGAATTGCTTTAGAGAAGGAGAAAGTTACTTTAGAGAAGGAGAAAGTTGCTTTAGAGAAGGCTTTAAAAGAAAAGGAGTTTGAAACTAAAATTGCTCTAGAGAAGGAGAAAGTTGCTTTAGAGAAACAGGAGATAGAGGCTAAAATTGCTTTAGATAAGAGGAGGTTGGAATTAGAGTTTGGTCAAGTTAGTGATGTCACTTCTCTGGTAGATCCAAAAAAGTTGTCGGTAGGGCAAGTGATTGCCAAATTTGGGAAATTAGTTCCTAAATTTGATGAAACAGATTTGGTCGTTTTCTTTAACTCGTTTGAGAGTTTAGCGAAGACATGTGAATGGCCCGAAACTTCCATTACTGCTTTATTGAGCTCTGTCCTTACTGGGAAAGCTGCAAAAACATACCAGGCACTCTCTCACGACGTTCAAAATAACTATAGTTTGGTCAAGACTGCCATTTTAAAGGCCTACGCACTGACGCCCGAGGCCTATCGGACAAAATTCCGAACACTCCGCAAGTTACCCACACAATCATATGTGGAATTTCTCTTTGAAAAGGAGAAAATATTCTCAAGGTGGCTACACTCTGAGGAAGTTTCTGAGTTTGAGAAACTCAGGTCACTTATCCTAAGGGAAGAATTCCTATCGTCCCTGCCTGAAGAGATACGACTACACATACTGGATAACAAGATAACTGACATCCAGAAGGCTGCTGAGTCGGCTGACACATATATGTTGGTGCATAAGAAACCACCAGTGTCAGGAAACCGCCTCAACCCCGTGCTTCCCCTTTTTGGCAGCAATCCTCCTGTTGGCCAACACGTGAAGGCATTACAGTCCAGAGAGAAACCAAGATCAACTCTCAATCGTCGAGCAGCATGCCAGTTCTGCAAAAGGCCTGGTCACCATGTCAAGGACTGTTACAAACGTCTTCAGTATAACAGAGAGGTGGTGCGTACTTCTGCGCACTATGCTCTATCCCCTCAAGCAGCCAGTTCAACTATGAACTCTAGAATTCAAAAGGACTCTAACCCTAAGTGTCCGCAAGAAGGTAGTCAAGTCTCCACACATTATGTGCAGTCACATTTTGACTGTTCTCGCACCCATCCAGTTTCTTCCGAGTCTACCGATCTCGAGGGATCGAGAAAAGTTGACTTTTCATCTTTTATTGCCGAAGCCATCATTAGCCAACCAGGTGATCCGTTGTCCCAGCGGAATATCACCGTCCTAAGAGACACAGGAGCGTCACAATCACTCCTTTTGAAAAGTTCAATGGACATTACACCTGAGACGAACACCGGAAGGATTTCCATTATCCAGGGAGTGGGGACAAAATCTACTGTCGTCCCTCTACACAAGTTTGCCCTGAAACATCATCTCGTCGAAGGTGAGGTCATTTTAGGTGTGATAGATAGTATTCCTGTCCCAGGAGTACACCTACTTCTAGGGAATGACCTTGCGGGAAGCAAAGTATACCCCTGTACGGTTTCAGACCCTTTGTCAACAGTTCCAGATAATGATTATGAACTGTATCCTGCATGTGCGGTGACAAGAAGCCAGACCAAACAATTGGCTGACACAACGTCTGAACCACATCTACCATCATCGTCAAGAAGTTCGACTCCCAAACTGGAGTCTATGCTTCCAGAAAACACAAGTCTGGGCTTACCCCTGAGGATATCTCAGGAAGACATCATTAAAGCTCAACAAGTCGACGCGGAGCTCCAAGCAACGGTCGAAAAATCTCTATCATCTGGCGATGGAGAATATTTCGCCGAGAACGGCCTCTTCTTTCGTCGCGCTATACCAGTGATTGCCTCACCGGCCGAACCATGGTTGGGTAAAAACCAGCTGTGGGTCCCTCCACCTTATCGGCACGAAATACTTAAGCTGGCACATGACCATCCAATGTCAGCGCACCCAGGAGTCACTAAAACGACGGCGTAGATCAAAGAACTGTTCTTTTGGCCCAAAATGAGAAAAGATGTGTCGCGTTACTGCAGAAGTTGCACGAACTGTCAGTTGGCCGGAAAGCCAAACCAGACAATTCCTAAGGCCCCTTTGAGTCCGATTCCTGTATTAGAAGAACCTTTTTCTAAAATCGTCATGGACTGTGTAGGTCCCTTGCCTAAAACCAAGGCGGGCAACGAGTACCTACTTACCTTTATGTGTTCAAGTACCCGTTTTCCCGAGGCGATTCCCTTACGGAACATTAAGGCAAAGAC